ACAGTATTTCTAGATCATCTTCATGGCTGCCTATACATGCTCTAGATGTCGAAGATTCTACTGTAACGGATTCTTCGATGATGGAAAAAGTTGGTGATGAAGAGGAAGACACATCATCACTTGCCGAAGCTCTGCCGTATCTGCCGTCACCGCTCTCGCTATATCTCTCTAGTGGGTTGCTGTTAGAGGATGGTAGTATATATGACGTTGCTCTGATTGGAACGAATCAGTACTTGTATCTTGCTCAGCCGAATCTGCATGTGTGGCCACCACCTTCGTTTCCGCAGGATGAGTTGCGAGAACTGAATGTTCTGGATAAGGAGAAGGTATTTGTTGTCGCGAGAGTGCTTAGATTTGTTGAGATTGTGTCCTCGACAATGTATTTCGCTTCACTGACGCATTTTTCTTTCTCTCAGGGACTAGTCGCTGATTTGATTGGACCTATTCAACCGATATTGTCTGCAATATCGACGTCTTCAATTTGTAGAATCGAACGGTATTGGTCTTGGAGGTGGATCAAGTCTTGTAATGGACAGCCTCCAGATCCTCATTCTAACACGCGATGGAACTGGATACATAAAATAACGTACAGAACAATTCGTGATACGTCATCGCCATCATCAACAGTAACATGGCAGATACTGATACCGACGAGATCTGGGGTAGAGATGCTTGAAGCATGGATACGAAGTGTTTGTCAGACTGTGGCGGAGGAAGAGGTAGAGAGTGAGGATAATAATGTTAGAGTGACGGTCATGCGCGTCATGGACGATTAGTGAAACCGAATGTACAAAAATAGACGTCGAACGCAAAGGATCTTAATTGCTGGTCGATTTGGTGACTCGGCGTATAAGAAACGGACGGTTTCCTGAGGACCGCCTTTCACCCTATGGACATCCGCTTTCCAGTTTCCAGGAGTGCAAACAGTTCATTCCAGTCCTACCACATCCTTGTGACTCTACCAGCTGGCCGGAACAGAAATTATGCGGATGTTAGGTGAGCAATCCAAAAAAAGAATAACCTTTTGAACTATGGTAAGTGACAGAGAACGAGTTTTAAACAGACGGGTTTGGGAGTGGAGCTTGTTCTAGTTGCTGCGGACAGACTACAATTCATTTGCTGCTTCTGAAACTGCTGGTGTCGACATCCTCCAATGTGAGTCATTCCAGCTATTCAGCAAAAAGAAAAAAGGGTAGTTCTGCCGGAGACAAACAAAAGTTACTGGTCTAGATCGCTGGTCCGGGTAGAGCTCAAACATCCAATTTGCGACATTAGCTTTCAGGGTGCCAACAAAAAGGTGGTCAATAATGTGTACTAGGACACTACTCCCACTGTAGAACGATGGTACGGTAGCAATGTTCGTTAGTGAGACTGTCAGGGCGAGGTTGGCATGCGACACATGCCGCAAAAAAAAGCTCAAGGTCAGAATTTTGTTTGGAAGGGTCAGGAGAGGAGAACTAACAGGCTTTCTGTGTAATAGTGCGACGGTAGACAGGTATGCAGGGCTGGAATCTGTCGCTCGTTGCGATCCGATGCAACTGGTTTTATCCATCAGTCACATTGCAAGAATCTCCGGTCGACAATTCGGTTTTCTAACTCACACCTATACAACAACTAGCCACATTGTGGGCCATGCCTGGTTGGATCTTTGGATTGTCACTATACACCTCGACAGCCTAGAAGACCAAAAGTTGTCATCCCAACCCAGAAGCCGAAGGGAGCAAGAGCTCTGTATATACAGTCGCTGAGGAATCAGATTGCGAGTTTAGAGGTTAGATCTATCAGCCATGGAATTGATTTACATGATTCGTAACTGACACGTCACACTCTTTGACTTGTGCCATATTTCGTAGGCTAGATTTAGACAAACCACAGGAGCACCAGTACCAACATATAGTGAACTCACCCAAGCCGATCGCCACAAATTTTTACAGCTCTTTGAGGCAAACTACAAGCACGTCTTTCCATTTTGTATGGCTAGGCAACCTGCAGATGTGTTTATGGATGCTACTTCGTACAGCTTAGCGTAACTAGTCCTATTTGTGTTGTAATTTTCTTGACAGTATATCTGAATTGCCGAATATCTATAACAGGGCAGCTGCATTTGGAGTCAGGATGGCACCAGACATCATACCTGAGCACCGAAACGCGATGATACAAAGCCTGTTTGGTAGAACATGTGAAACCCTAATGATGAATGTGGATAATGGCAAACCGCTGATACAGTGGATACAGGCAGCTCTGGTTGCGACCATGTATTGCTTGGCTACTGATCGAAGTACGTCTTGTAGCCTCGTAGTGATGCATCATTTTGCGTAACTTTTGAAAGCGAAGCTTTTTAACATTTTTTTGTTTACTGTTTCCCAGGAACAAAGGGACGAGTATTGTTAGGAATGGCACTGCAGTGGGGCATAGTGCTTGGCCTTGACAAGTCGATAATACCAGTAGTGCATGCCGTAGATCCTGACACCGCGGACGATATAGAATTCGCTAGGAGGCAATGGTGGAGTTGTGTCCTATTCGAAGCGTTTCAGTCGACTTGGCTGGGACTTCCAATGCATAATGGAGTCGAATTGAATGGGATACTGCCGCTAGGTGCTACAGAGCCCTTTGAATGGCCGCTTGGACATGATGATGGACAACAACCACGCCATCATCAATCACCAGAACTTGAAGACGGGTATCACACACAACAGCAACATCATACAACGGACCGGCAGACAACAGCACCACCACAATCGCCTACAAGTCCACATGGAGGTATGCCATATATGGCTCAGCCTCCAGATTTGATTGTATGTCTGGTCCGAGTATCCATCTTGTATATCCGAGCATTACAATTTCTGCCACTTTTGCGGAATAGGCCAGACCCAACCACCATGTCTAGTAATGTGAATCAGGCTGAGCGGCTCGAGCATGACGAGTTGATACGGCGTTATGAAGTAGAGATGCCTGCATTGAATGCCGCATTGGCTGAAGTGATTCGCCAAATACCACCTTTAAAAAAATTGGTGATTACGACTAATCAGGATGTAAATCGTCTCATGCATGCTTTTTTTGTACATTTGTTGATTACAGCGGCATATATGACTGTGATGGTAAGTGCATCATGACATTTATCCGTCTTGCTGCTGAGGTGTGTAACAACATACTAAGGCCATTTATCCTTGTTTCTTGCTCAACAGTTGCCATACTGGATTGAACTGGTTCCACGCAACCTCTTCAAAACCATGATTGTGATACCCGCAGCAGAACGCCCCGCAACTATAGAATTACTAGAACGCTTCATCCGAACCTTCCCAGCACCACCCGCAACATCACCATTCCTTGTACACGTTCTAACAACCATAGCAATGGTTTCAGGCAGCCTCTGGGCAAATCAAGGCCACTCTGGATCCATGCGACTCGTCTTCCTCTGCACACGAGCACTAGGCTCGCTCGCTACATGGTGGCCACAGGCCACGTACGTGAAATACCTTCTTGAAGACGCGTTTGTGGAGCGGGATGCGTCAGCTGCGTTTGGGATTCCTGCTGTGCCTCCTGAACAGGATTTGTTGAGGGATGTTGGGTTTGGAGGGTTGCTGCAGGTGCTGACTACGAGATGGAAGGATTTGAGGAAACGGGTGCATGCTGGGAGTAGTGTTGTTACAGAAGGGCATAACAGTATCAATGTCGGTAATAACAGCAACGTTGGTAGTGCTGCGAGCAGCAGTGGTAATACTCCTCATGGTGGTGCTGGGATAGATGGTGGTGGTAGCAGTGGACAATTAGATTCAAAAACGTGGAAGAGTGTGGTGTTAGATTCCAACAAGTTGCCATAGTATGGTGGTGTCGGTGTTGCCGTAGAAGGGCGGTGTCGGTGTTAAGTTTATTACAGGACGTTTTCGCATCTCAAATCACAACCAACAGTACATAACATAAAGGAACGTAGAGGAATGTTTGGTGATTAATGCTGTACATATTCCCCAAAAATTTACAATAATAATAGAAACCATCCTCATCATGGCTCTTGCATCGAAACCCTAAATTTCCGACTTTGAGTGTGGTTGGAGCAGAAACCAACAGTCACGCTACGAACAGAAAATAAGCGATGGGAGTGCTCAACAGACCTCAGCCAGTAATTTTGATTGTAGGACTGGACCATAGCGGTAAATCCACCATTGTATTAAGACACTTTCAGCAGACTCGAAATGTGAGTAATTATTTTGCAAAGCTCCGCAAACGTCACTTGTCTAAACATTCTCGCAGCAACGTGAAGAATTTAAGCAAGACACTGTCAAGTTACAACATATCACTCAGCTACACACGTCTCCATTAGGTTTCTCCTACACCACCAAATGCCGACCCAACAGTTGGATTCTCAATCGAAAACTTGCAGTATGCCGGCCGTCGTTTTACAGTCATTGACGCCAGTGGAGAAGCACGCTACAGAGACATGTGGCATACTTTGTTACCATCAGCCGATGCACTCGTTTTTGTGTATAACGCCTTTTCGGATGTTTCAAGGACTAGTGTTGCGAGAGAGGAGTTGGCGTCCTTGTTTGATGCTCATGGTAAGGAGAGCCGATTATGTAATAGTTTAGATCGTTTATCCTGAATTTGTAATTGATAGATGGTCCAATACGCCAAAATCTGCCACTTGCTGTGCTAGTGAATGACAGTGAAGAAGCGCCTTTAGCCAATGTGGATTTTACGAGTCTGTTGAACTTGGATGAGCTGACTAGTTGTAATTCTCAAGTGTTCAAGTGTAATGCTGTTAGTGGGCAGGGAGTTAAGGAGAGTCTGGATTGGATTATGAGGACGCTGTCGAAAAGGTCATAGTTTTGTTATGGACACGTCGAGATATGTATAGGAAAGAGAAAAACACTGTAAATAATTAATATCAAACAAATCGGTTTCAAGCCATGAATCACGTCACAGTCACCATGGAACAACGTGGTTTTCAACACATTTTTTCATATCATAACCGACATTCGAGTCGAGTAACAAACAAGCTTGCAATGTTGGGCCCAGACGACGAAATAGACGGAGACGAAGATGATGAAATGAAGATACACGACGGCAGCTCTTCATACAATCGGAAAGATGGCTCAACTGCGCATCATCCACACATTCCCACAGAACCGATAGTGAAGTCATTCACGTATCATTCAGATGTGCCCGATGTATGCAAAGTCGAAGATGTTGCATTGGGTGTTGATGAGGCTGGAAGAGGTCCTGTTCTTGGTATGACTGTTGTGCTTTTTGGTTTGCAACATTTGAGAATTTTGGTAGCTAACATGTTTCTTTGTTTAGGGCCCATGGTGTATGCGATATGCTATGTCCCAGTTAGTAGGAAGAATGATTTGAAAAAGTCGGGTGTTGCTGGTATGTGTTGAGTTGAATCTGTTTGGACGAAGCATTGACAACAAGTACTGATACCGTTTTTCTGGTTTGCAAGACTCCAAGACGCTGGATGAAGGACAACGTGATGCTTTATTTGAAGAATTACAAGGCTATCGTGAATGGACGGGGTGGGCTGTACATGCTAACAGTCCACAAGATATCTCGGAATCCATGTTGAGAAAGTACGTATCGAGGATACCATAGACTGACCGTGGCCTTTTTTCAGCTTAAATACATTAGTATTCACAACAAACATCTCGCTTACATGTTAGAAACAAATACAATCTGAATGCTTTAGCTCACGACACAACAGCCAAATTGATTCGTGAGACTTTGGAACGGGGTGTTCGAGTGACTGAGGTAGAGTCTTGATCAAAGAATCCTTTGTAGTCATACTCATGAGATAAGTTTTGCACCCACCACAAAACAGATCTTTGTGGATACAGTCGGTCCAACAGCAACATATCAAGCCAAACTAAGTGACTTGTTTCCTGGTATCGCTATAACGGTCGCCAAGAAGGCTGATAGCTTGTATCCTGTTGTCAGTGCCGCTAGTATCTGTGCCAAGGTACGCACTCAATTCAAGGCTAACAAAAAAATTCCTTCGCCACAACTATCTGACACCACTTGTTGCGTTGGTTGATTTAGGTTACTCGGGATGCGTGTCTTCGAGACTGGTCATTTGCTGAAAAGGATATGGATATGTTGTCTCGTGAATTTGGGTCTGGGTATCCGTCAGGTATCCGACAGAAAAGAAGCATGTTGAATACATTGCACAGTTCGTAAACTCAACTCAATCTAACAGATCCAAACACAACACGATGGCTTCGAGAAAGCATGGATCCTGTATTCGGGTATCCTGGTTTGATTCGATTCAGTTGGTCTACTACCACGAATCTATTGGAAAAGGACGGAGTTCCTGTTGAATGGTACTCATACCACTCATGATCGCTTTTCATTTGTTTGTTTTTTTGGCCTTCATTTCTTTCCTAACATTCCATTTTCCTATAGGCCAATAGAAAAGGACGAAGCAGAAGACCAACCGGAAATATCTCAATTCTTTGTCAAACTGCCACCGACAAACACTCGAGCAGGAGGAAAGAAACAAAAAGACCAACATGTGCCCTCTATACATAAGATACAGCTCGAACGGGTATCGGATCGTGACAAGTTCTTCAAGGAGATGAGGGCAGTTCATTGTTTGCGGTTATGAAACGAAACATAAGAATATTGGCATTCATTTTTTGCTGTGGTTATCTACTCACTTATTATTGTATGAAAGTATATAGAATGTACATCAATTGTTTTTACCACTTTTTAGTACAGGCTGGTGATGTTGATTTGGTTTGCAAGGTTTGCTAACGAGGAGTCGTTGGAATTAATACGTTAATTGGTGTGTAGTAGGTCCAGTGAGTGGTCTGATAGGTCCAATGGTATAAGTTGGTCGGCTCCAGTGTGCAGAAAGGATGACTCGAAAAAGTCGGGTTTGCTGGTTTGTGTTGTTTTGACGGTAGTTTCTGAAGAACATCATGCTGATGCCGAGGGGTCTGTCTTACTTTCCTGGAAGCCAAGAGACTGGATACAGGACGACATGATTTCCTGATTTGAAGAATTAAAAGGCTATCGTGAATCGACGGGTTGGGCTGTGCTTGCTGCTAGTATACAGGCCGTCGGAAACCAATCTGAGAATGGATATAAGAAGTTGAATAATAATTGTTTTTTGCGCTCGAGGATATTAATACTCACCCATTCACTCGACATGAATTTTAAGGAATCTGTACAATGTGAATGCACGAGCCCAGGGGGCTACAGCCACATTGATTCGTGACACTTTGGAAGGAGGTTTCTGAGTTGCTGAGGTAGTTCATCGAGCACAAGATAAATTCGAAGCCTCTTGTTTCGTAATCCTTTTTTACTCTTTTTCGAACGAATCTTTGTGTTGGGCCAAACTCAGTGACTTGTTATCTTTTCAACGATCGCCAAGAAGGCTGTTAGGATGTATCTTGTTGTCGGTGCTGCTAGTATCTGTGCAATGGTGAGCCAATTAAGGACCAAAAATGCAAGCACTTGTGGTTTCATCCAAATATTCTTGGTTAATGTAGGTCGCTCGTGACAGGGATCACGAACATACTGGAAAGAGATGGTGTTTCTGTTGAATGGCCACTGATTCGAATCATTGCTTTGTTCATGTTTTTTTTATGCTCACCATTCCTCACCTCAGCATTGCACTTTTTAATTTATGGCATTAGGAACGGAACCAGGCGACAATCAACCTAAAAAAACTTAAGTCTTGGTCAAACTAACACTAACAAACACTCGAGTAGGAGAGACCAAACAAAAGCATGTACATCCCATACACAAGATTCATCTTGAGCATGTATCGGATCGTGACCAGTGCTTCAAGCCATGAAAGATGTGCACGGTAGGGGTTATGAAAATATAATGATTTGGAAAACTTCGTACAAGATTTTTTTCGCTGCTGTGTAAACCCACTTATATGATTTGTCTGTGTATAAACTTATATAAGAAATGTACATCAATAGTCTTCTACTTTTCACTACTCTGTTGATGTTGTGACTATGAGTTACGCAACAATCTGAACATAACGTTCCCACTCTGAACTCCCACTCTCAATAACAGCACCACCAGCAGACCGACTACCCTCAGCAACACCTTCAAACAGACCACAAGACCCAATACGAGCAAGAGCCATACGTCTCCTCAACCAAAGGCAGTGTCTGAAAATCCCCATAACAGTAGCACCCTGTTTTCCAGGTCCAATAACACCCTGACGCAAGTGCAGTATATAAGCACAGAAATCGCCCACTGCACATACTCGATCTCGACAGAATCTACATAGCGGGTTCCAGTCTGATGCCGTTGGTGGGCGAGTTGATTGTGGGTTTGATGGATCGAGTGGGAAGCGGAGCCGGAATTCACAGTCACGGTTGAGGCTGCATATTGAGCAGCGGGTTTTCGGGGGTGCTGGTTGTTGGGGTTGTGAAGTGTTTGTGTGTGGTATGGTGGTCGGGCTAGTTGATACGGAGGAGTCTAGGGATCCTGATGATCGTGGTAGCGTGGTGGTTGTAGTGAATGCAAAAGTCTGAATCTCCCATAGTCCCCTTGTGATGTTATCAATCAGTTTACGTTTATACGAGTTGGTCAGCACACCACTTGTCTTGAAGAGTGGGTTTACGGCTGTTAAATGGTAGGAGTAAAACAGTGTGGGCTCTACGTCTTCGGACAGGCATCGTTTCATGAATGGTGTTTGGTAGGTCAGGCCAGATAGTAGCGATGCAGATGCTGCGGCATTCACAGTACTAGTAGATCCAGCCATAACAAGTCGTACATGTTCCTGAAATTCTTGATACACGAGTGCATCGACAGGTATAACAGGAATCGGCCCTTCATTCGTCAATCTCACGTACACGTGTCCTCCATGGCCACGGGTCGACGTAGCAGATAATATCGATGCCAGATTCTCCTTGGATCCTTTCGGACTTGACAGTGGTCCATTAGATGCATTTCCACCAGATATAGACGAGCTACGTATTTTAGCAGCTTCTAGTGCACCCATCATTCTTCTTAAATCATGCAACTCTTCTTCTCGTGATCCCAATCTCTTCATCCATGTAGCTAATTCACCCTTCAGCTCCTTATTCGAATGTTCGAAATCTTCCCGAGCTCGGGCTTCTTCTGCAACCATGTAATTGGCTTGATCGAATAATTGGGCTGTTAATTGTTCCAGTTCTTGGTCGAGCATGTCCTTTGATAATTGTACTCGTTCTCGTAATGCGATTTCTTCTTCGAGACGATCTGCGAGCTCGTCAACGTCCTGCTTCATTGCGTCGAGCGTATCTGAGGCATGGTCTAGCTGAATTCCTAGCTCTCGACATTTTTTACATGCTCTTGGCATCGGGCCTGTATATGACGGGTCTCGTGTTCCGGCCGCTAAGTCACCTTCATCGAATCCTTCATCTGCACCACCATTCTTTGGCGATGTACCGGGTGTGTTTGCAGTACTGTTTGGGTTTGTTGCAGCTAAAGTCGGGGAAGCTACTACAGGTGATGGAAGAGACAATCCGGCAGCTGAAGCACGCACGTCGGCGATTGATCTCACAGACATTTTGGATGATGCTGATTGTGATCTTGGGCCCTTCATTGGTACCCCAGATGCAACTATTCCGGCGATGACATCGTCATCGTTCTGTCTCTCTGATCCGTTCTCGTCATTGACTGCGATGTTGAGACGTGGGAGTGATACGAATCGGTCTGATAGTGATGTGTTGCTGGTGGATGGTTGCAAGTTAGTCGTCAAGGTTGCAGCTGTGCTTTGGGTGTTTACGTTGCTTGATGATGTCGACGTAGTGATAGTTGTTACAGTTGTTGATACAGTAGCGGGAGCAGCTGAATTCGACGTGGAAGTACTCGTAGTATTGATTGTGGTAGTATTCGTGCTGGTAGCTACTGACTGTGAGACCGTAACATAGGCATTTCGTAAGTACATTAAAGCCAACCTCATACACTCCAGCAGCTGTACGAATTCGGCTCTTGATACTCCAGCAGGTATTGGCTGTTGTTGCTCTTTAACTTCAAGCATACTACTAGCAGTCACACTCCCAGAGGATGCCATTCGAGCATGTCCTGCAATATGTCCCGGCACACGTTCAGTAGCAGGACTTGGACCTAAAGGTGAAGTAGGCGGCGCTCCATGTACTGGTCTTGCATTCGTCGGCCTACTACTAGTATCCTTTGGCGTAGCAGAACCAGTTCTGGATCGTGTAGGTTCAACTCCAGAATCACGAGCAATAGGAGCGGATCCAGGAGCAACTGCAGGTGCATTCTCAGTACCAGTTTTCGGTCTAGCAGCCAACCATCCGTATTCATCGTAATTTTCTTGTGGTTTGGCTAGAAACACCATGGCTTCTTTAATGGCGAATTCGTAACGATTTAGTTTGACACGGAGAGCATCCAGCGATGCATTCTTTTTGGCGTTTGTCTCAGCATATGTGCTCTTTTCTCGTTGTAACTTGTCGTTTGCAGTCTAGTTGAAATTTCACTGACGTTAAGAGTCATGAATTCAGAACTCTCAACCGGCAATTAAGACTTACGGTAATAAAATCACGCAATTCTATATTTTTAGCCTCTAATTCTTGTACACGGCCACGTTCTTCTTCCAATAATCGTTCCAGCTTGTCCAATTCACGTCGGTCGAGGGTTACGACATCGCTCTTGTTTTCTGAATCATTCCAACTCGACTCGGTGCTAGGCTCGGCCACGACGCGTCCAGTATCGCTCCAAGGATTGGGTGCGCTTTCGTCACCTGGACTTGTTGACATATTGGCTTGCATTTTGGCAGAGGTGTGAGTTTGTGCTTTTTGGTCTGAACCCTTATTCACTGAATCAAGAGAGGAACACCTATAAGCGGTCGCTCTGGACGTACAAAGAGTTTAGAGTTTTGTGAAGATCTTTGTTTATTTATGGCTCGTGCTAAGCTGAACCTGAACCTGTTTGTTTGGCGGAGAGTGGATTGTTTGTTTGACCAATGTGGCAACCAATACAGAAGCAGTTAAGATGTTCGATTTCAGCTCATGAGCATCTGATTAGCAGTAATCGACTGCAATTCTGGTGCGATATCTGTCGTTTCGGATGCTGTGGCTTATTTGCGTCCAAAATCAGAGCATTTCAGTCCAACACATTTACCCAACTAGACCTGTACGATTTCCTCAATGTAATTCTCCAAAATGAGTTTATTTAATTGATCTATGGGTGTCTCTGGTTTGTGAAGCAACCAGCACAATCACAACAATTCATGGGTGTCTCTCCAACACGACAACGTTCAAACATTAGAATCATTTAGCTCCAGCTTTGATCTATAATGTATCAAAAGATTAGATTTTTTGAACGTAATTAAACGTGTATTACAACACACAAACACAAAATCCCCAGCCAAAATCGCTTCATGTTTGCCAGCAAACCTACCAAAACATCAACAACGCTCTGACTGCCCTCCTTCTTCGCAACCTCTAAAACCGAATACACCTCCCTCTTTCCAGGCTGTGATGGCACAGCAAGTGATGCCACACTACCAAAGTAGTCTTTCGACTCTTCAAGCATGACACGCACAAGACTATCAAACCCTTTAGCACATGCATTAAAGAATAACGTGTTGGCCACATTGAAGCTCTGATAGTTATGAAACATCTTATCAGTGTCTGCTAAGTAAGATGCTATTTTTTCCTTGTCGAGGGTATTGCCAGACGAGTTTAGATTCCCTGCGCCGACATAGTATGGTGCTACTAGTTCTTTGAGGGTGGTTATATCGGCAGATTGACAGTATTGCTCAAAGGTGGAGGATGCCACTACGTCGTTGGAAGCTAATTTTTTCCGTAACCTGTCTGTAGCGACCTTTTTATATTTAGCTTGTACAGCCTTGTTGAAATCGTCCCAGGTGACTTCAGTCTTTCTAGCAGTAAATCCTAAAGATATCCATAGATCCTTTGCAGATTTCTGTTGCGTCGACGTTTCTCCTCCTGCAGCTACCAACTTGTCATATTCATCCTGTAGAGCCTTCTTTTCCTCCAAGAGAGTAGCTATAGCTGGAATCTTCGCCTGCATATCTTCCATAGCTTTTTGATTCTCCAAAACGGCCTTTTTACTCTCTGCCAAAGCTTCTTGACTCTCCAACAACCGAGCAGCAAAACCAGCGACTTCATTTTGAGTTTCGAGATATTTTAGATTACGTTCGTGCTCTTGCAATTGAGCGGCAGTTAGGGTATCCAAGAATTCGGTTTGACGTGACTGTATGGCGAGTTGATGGCCTAGTCGCTGAGCAGATAAAGCGGTTTCCTTTTCCTTTTGCAGATTCGATACAGACATTTGATGGCCCAGACGTGAAGCAGCCAACACGCTCTCCTTCTCTTTCTGCAGAATAGATACCGCAATCTGGTGTCCCAGCCGCGAAGCATTCAGAGCAACATCCTTCTCGTTAAGCAAATTCGATACCGCAATCTGATGTCCCAACCGTGAAGCATTCAACGCTATCTCCTTCTCCTTCAGCAGATTCGATATAGCAATCTGATGTCCCAATCGTGACGCATTTAAAGCAACCTCCTTCTCCTTCAGAAGATTCGACACAGCAATCTGATGTCCCAACCGTGATGCAGCTAAAACACCGTCCTTCTCCTTTACAAGATTAGCAATAGCAATCTGATGTCCCAGTCGTGACGCATCCAAAGCTGCATCCTTAGCCTTCTGAAGAGCTGCTATATTATTGGCGTGTTCCTGTTTAAGAGCTTTTATGGCCGCTTCGCTGGCGAGCAGAGATACTCTAGCAGCATCCCGTTCATCTGTCAATACTTTTATAGTCGTTTCGTGCTGTGCTATTAGAGACTGAGATGCTGATGTGTCGTTTGTGGTATTTTCCTTTTTGATGTTGGGCGCTGCCGCATCCTTGCTTGTTTTTGGTTTGCAAGAGAAAGTGTCTATGATAGATGGAAGGAATGTTGAAGTTGGTAATGGTTGCTTTCGTTGTCAAGGAGTACGACGAGGTTGGTGGGCTGTGGTTCTACACTAACTTCCACGAATTTCACGTACTTTTCAGGGATTGAAAAACTTGAAGCCGTGAACCAGACGACATGACACCGGCTGAAAAGCTCCTACTTTAAGGAGTTGAGTCGTTTTCTGAAGCTTATATTATGGCACCCAAAGTTGAGCTTCGGGCGGAGCGTTACTTCAGCCAAAAGGCCCTTGACGAAAAAGACCACACAACTAAAGTGTATCTCCTTTTGGAAGAGAAACTGTACTTTATTATCATTATTCCATCAAAATAATATGTTACATGTTTTTGAGTGTTAGATTCATTAAGGCCACAGGAGGATAACGGTGATCCGCAAGATCGAGATCGATTATTGAGTGCGAGAGACAGGAGACATTGGCAACACCTCATTTGCCCCACCTAAATATTTACAATTGCTCATCAAATATCTTGATGGGCTTCAGACTATTTACAGATATCTGATACGACGGTGTCGACATCAGACCATTACTATTATTAAGTGGCATTTGCTGTTGCTGTAGTTGCTGCTGGCTATTGTTCGTAAGCGTGTCAAACGGCCGTAGTGCGACAAGGTCCTCTGACGTCGTTATTGGAAACTCGTCAGGATACATGGTATCTGTCTGTGCGTATCGGCGTCTAGCAGCTAGGACTCTCCAAAAGTAGATAAGGAAGGTCGTGAATCCTTGCAGCGGTTCTGTTATTGCTTGTATGACAAAGAGAGGATATAGTGGTTGTGACCCTGGTATACTGTTTTGGACTAGTAGAGACGTTTGACTCAGCACACAGACAAAAAAAGCGCAATCGTAATACAAGGTACCTCGATTAACACTAGCAGGCATCCAAACAAAGAAATAAGCTAGAATAAATAGACTGGCTCTTCTGGCATATTTCAGTACCGGATCACTCTGCCTCGTTACTTTTGATGCAGACAAGTCCGACGACGATGACAATACGTTCTTGAGCTGCCGCTGTGCCTTCCACAATTCATATCCGATAAAGACGTATACTATCAGATTGAAGAATCCGCACACCCACACAATTCCATAGAATAGACCCATTCGTAGTGCTGTTTCGGAGCCGGGTAGCCAGCACCATAGTATTGCGTCGCCTGAAAAGACAAAAAAAAAGTAAGCAACAATTCTATTGAATGGTTTCAGATAAGATATACCGAATTTGTTTGTAGCAGCCAACACAGTACTCATAGTTATCGTTGAACCCCATATTATAGCATGATAGTACGGACTCAATTTAGGTAAATCATCAACACTCCATTTGAATGCGAGACAAAGCAAGACGTTGAATGACATGGCAGTGTTCCATAACATTGTTGCGATAAAGAACACTTGGATCCCCCTAAAAGACGGCAGCTCAATAAGTTCCAGTTCAGGATCTCTATCTTCCATAAAGCAATGCTAGTTACCAGGCTTGAATATGGCATCCAAGACTGTCAGGTTCAGATACCAGTCCTCTCCCCACACACGTAAACAGACTCAAGCACATATCCGCGATAGATAAGAAGCCCGGCAACTTGTTCGGATCTAGTGTAAACATATCATTTAGCCTCACAATTCCTGAAACGTCGGGCAACTTCCAAAAGATTGACCACCGCACATACCATGATTATGCCTTGAGAAGACGATAAATATAACTGCCAGAGAACTGAGGAGAGACAATGACGATGTAACTGACACGGAAACCTGTAATCCTAGCAGCTGCTGAGCGTTGAATGCCGCACTCATGGTTTTATATAGTGCTTAGTTGGGATCGACCAATGCTCCCAACGGATGTGAATTTGAAGCAGCCCTTAACGGCTGCAACCGCAAGGGCTGTTATAGATTGCAAGGTGGAAGACTGCTAGGGCCTTTATTGGCCCCCGTTTTGTTATTCGTTGCGAACTAGGCGCTTCTTGTTGTTTCCAGCGAATTGTGGGTAGCACAGAAGGGAGGCTTGCTTTTGCTAGCCGGCCGGTCGTTATTTTGCATCAGTTCACATGCACGATCAGCACTATTAATGTAACGTTTCGATGTTCTCATTGATATGCAATTTATTTTCGTAATGTATATGGTGTCGTGTAAAAATGATTACACCTTGTTCTAAATGTGGCTTTCACGTACCGTTTTTTTCAGACACTTCTCAAAATATCAGAATTGACAAGTACTTGGAGCGTGGCTCAACATCTGGAATCCTCATATGACTATAAATGTGATTCCAGTCAGCCACATCACCAGTCTTGATGCATTGATTGCCATCAAGCAGCACATTCTCTCCGTGGAAATGACAATTTGCTTGCTTCACAACCCCCACCATCAAACAGAGTACAAACGTAACAGTGGGTTGTGAAGATACCGATTCACATTACGAGGATTAGCCTGAACCCCGTTCACAACGTTCAAGAAATCAGGACGAGCGAGATATTTTAGGACATTTAGCACTCTTCCTCCATGTATCTGTTCCGAAAACTTTGTCTGGCGGGCCAGGACCACCCCCGGCAACATCTTTTGCTTCGTTTGAACCTGCATGAGAAGGAAAACAAGCAATATTGTAAATATATGAATTGAAATAATTGAATTTCATAGCGTGAGAGAGCGCTCTTATGTCTGTGTCAGCGTCACCTGAAGAACAGACACTGCCTCCTTCAGCCTTGCGTACTTCTGCCTATGAAGAGACTGAAATGTAGTTAGCATTAAAAAAAAGAAGGTACCTATGAGTGATACATACCACTGTTTCGTCTGACTTTCTTTGAAGCTTCGGCAAACCAAATTCAAATCTTCCAGATACTTAACAAAACGACACACTTTCTTTGCTCATGCACATCTGCTCTTTTATTCTCGTCATATATGGTGTGAATATACATTTTTAGCATTCAAATACCTTGCCTTAGCCAATTCTCAGAATACCAGCATTAACAAGCACACGAATCTTGGCTGCAACATCTGGATTCCTCATATGACTACATTGAATGTTTCAGTTAGCTTTGAGGTCATCATCCTTCAACTAACAAAAGGTTTAACTTTAATAAACTTACGCTTTAGCAGCACTAGGATCTTCTTGCATCTGTTGCAAGATAAGTCTCATAGCAGGATCATTCATAATGGACATGACTTCAGGATCATTCTGTGCTCGTTTCAATGTTTCTTCCTTGTTTTCAGAAGTTTGTACTTCATTCAGTCCTGCGTATGCTTTCATGAGCTACGATGGTATAAAAGAGGAATGAGAAAAAAAAACCTTCAAAGCAACAAATATCATCTCAACAGACAACCCCAAACACATCAACACCACAAACCCATGACTCACATGTTGATCAATCTCAGCAGCAGCCTTTCCATCAACATCCTTCATCTTGGCTTCCTGTAGCTTATCCACAGCTTTCGTAAACTCTTTCTTGGTAATGAATATAGCGGCTTTACGAATATATGCCTTGACAAAGTTGGGATCTAGACGAATCGCTTCGTCACAATCCTTGTCTGCTTCAGGTAGTGCCAATAACTTGATGTATGCTGCTGCTCGGTTGGCATAGTTTCGGGCATCGGTGTCGTTTCTTTTGATTGCCTATTGCCAGAAAAAAAAAGATCAGAAAAATAATAGATCGCAACTGATTTGTATATCATTCAACTACAGCAGCAACAATAACCCAAACGACTGGTGGGAATATGCTCTCATGGACCTCCCACCCCCTACAACAACACTTACTTCAGTGTAAAACTTGACAGCATCAGGCCAGACCCCCTTCTTGAAAAACTCGTTACCCTTCTCACGAGCTTCATCACTCTTGACTGGATCACGATAGGATTCCTTATCAGCCACAGCTTTCTGCTTTTCAATAGCACGGAGTCGGTCGAGTACACCAGCATCTCGGTGCTCTGACAGAGATTTTTGCAGGTATTTGATTGCGTTGGGTAGGTCATTCATTTTGGCATATGCATTTCCGATTCTTGCGAATGCCCTGGTGGTTTTCAGAGGGTTCGATAATGTAAGCAAAAAGACCAGAATAGATTTGGACGATACCGCAACCACCTACTTGGCAATCAGTTTGTAATCTACACGTAGTTCACGACCGACTTCAATAGCATCTTCGCAGACTTTTATACAGTCTTGGTATTTTTCCATTTCAAACAAGACCGCTATGTGAGAAAAGAGTCGCATGTGAATGTCATTGTCGATAGAACAAATTAAGGTATGCTATCAAAGTTGCTGCATGCTCACCAGCCTTATTAGTCAACACAGGCACATTGGTCTTATCAGCCTCCCAAGCAGCATCATAATGCTTCAACGCATCCTCAAACTTCCTAGCCTTATAACTGACATTACCCTTTTCTTTTTCAGCATCACTTGCGACTCGAGCTTTGGCAGTTTCCGATAATTCGACTTCCGGTTCATCCACTTGCATTGGTTGAGGTTCTGGTTGTTTTGGTGTTTGTCTTGTTGTACTAGATGGTGTTGATGAGGTTTTTGTTGTGGATGATGGTTGTTGGGTGGGTTGTTCAGATGTAGGTTGAGCAGCTGACATTGGAGTATCTTCATCGTCGAATGCGGCATCGTCACCACCGCCAGCTGATGCGTTGATTCCCATCAAGCTCATTACGAGGTTCATAATCCTATAACAAAAATAATAGTTTCAGAGATGTTTCCATGATTTCTCGATCGCCACAAGTCTAGATGTTCCTTATGGAATGCTTTTGACCCATGCTCCAATTCCACCCTAGAACGCACGTTACCTTGGATCTTGAAGATGCTGATTCATCGTACGAGGATTGGCCTGAATACCCTTCACGATATTGACGAAATCGGGCTGAGCGAGATACGCTGATAGTTTCGGATTTGTAGCAATCTTTCCCCATATATCTGCTCCAAACATTTTGCCAAAGGGATCAGCACTGCCGCCTGGCATATCATTCATTTCGTTCATGAGCCTACATGAGAGTGCCCCAAAACACAGTGGACTCAGCATAATGGATTGGAAACCTCCAAACTTCAAACACACACGACATACATATTCTCAGAGTCATCCAACCCCTTCTGCATCTGAGCATTGGAAGGATCCAGTTTCAATCCTTCTTCGTATGCTTTAGCAGCATCGCCATACTTTGATAGGCCGTATTGAGCAGCTCCAACTCGTGAGTATCCCTTTGCCCAGTCTGGTTTGAGAGCGACTGTCTTTTCGGCATCTTCGAGTGCCTTTTGGTAGTTCTTTAAGCTTGCGTATGCGGCGGATCTAGAACATCGCAGGCATGATGTGTGTCAGTGCTGTTGGTCTCTGCATGTAATTCTCAGCACCAATCTCTGCTACTTTGCAAGCAACTAAGTATGCTACCTGTTGGAGTATAGTACGTGATTTGAAGTATCTAGTTCTATAGCTTGGGAGAATGCTTTTATGGCTGTATCAAAGTCGCCAGCCGAGAAAGCCTTGTTTCCTTGAGCTTTGAATTCTTCTGCCTGATGTAATATAGCAAAGAAAGTCAGCAGAGAACAAGCGAATGGAATAGAGCTAGTAAATAAAACATACCATAATTTCGCCTAATTCCCTCTAGACCCTGTGGTTATTGCGTTGGTGTATGTTGTTGGAAATGTCAAATGCAACACAGAAAAAAACTTCCAAAAGCTTCCATTACATGAAACCACGACCGTGTATTTACGCGCCTTGCAATCATTTTGACATTTTGAATTTGTACATTTATAGGATTATACTCACAACTCGTATTTCATTCATCCGCTACATTCTCTGCAAATCCTGCCCAAACTAATACCAAGCAGCCATCTAATAACAGCAGTAGCCTTAATCTACAGGCAACAAAATGGTTGAGATACGTAGCATGCTACAACAACGGTTGAGATTTTGCATGCAATTGGGAGTCACATCTTGGTCACCGTGTTTGATCTTTTCGTGAGTTGTCATCCCATTCAATTCTGCTCTGCTACAACTAGATGGTGAACCAATATAAGTCCTTGTGTCCCCTTCTTGCGGGTTGAAAACAACGTGTACGTCTGAGGAGTCAATCCAGCAACAGCCTCTGATCCGTCACAAAACACTAAGCTCAGATTCTGGTTTCAAGCTTGGAGCAGTCTGCAAAATGCAAGTGTATATCAGTGGAAGGTATTCATACGGCTCAAAAGCAGCATGACCTCGATGCGACCGGTATGAATCATTCACCACACACAGTGTACATTACCTCAATAGCTTGCGGAACTGACTCAACATGGTCCTTACTTTGAGACTCTGATTCAGTGTGTTTTGAATCACTGACTGTATTCTTATTGGTAGTGTCCTCCTTGTTGGTTTTGAAGCCCTTCGTGTTGATGTTCAATATCATACTTTCTGGCTGGCAGCACTCTCGAATGAGGAGAGGATGGTGATTGGGAATCTCATGTTTCAAATATAATAGATCTTGTTCGGTGAAGTTTCAGTTTTTGCCAGATATTGGAATTGATGTCTTGAAAGTTGTGGGAAGATTTTGGGTTGACTGTGCCGAGTTTGAGTTTTCTGGATTCAGTATGCTATGAATGTTTAAAAGACACAAAATTCGAATAGCCTCGACGGTTTGACCGTGATGGTGTGCGTCAAATTCAGTGTCATTAACAGAATCACCATCCAGCAGATAACACTTATAGCGATCAGTGGATTCGACATGTCTCAACCATGAATATAGCTTCTGAGACACAAGATGAACAGAATCTGAGTATTTTTACACTCGTTCCTGTCATCAATGCGTAGATTCTAATGATGCTGACTTTTCGCGGTTCACATTTGTTTGGAGCGAGTCCAAGTTTATTCGGAAAGGGGTAAAAGACACTCTCAATATTACGATACTTCATGATCCTTTAAAATTCTATGATAAATTTCAACCCCGTGATAATCCACTCTGTCCTAATTCCATCATCAGATATAAACCTCTCATCCACGTAAAAGTCCTCTCATTTCTCTCTCACCTCCACACCACGTAATCTCATGTCAAAGTTTTAAGGGGCCACTTTAATACTATAGACTGCTACAACGAAGTGACCTAAGAGTGTAGGCGAGAACTTAACAATGGTCGTTCAACACAGCCCTTGCCTCGGAAGAATACATGCAATCCTGTCACCTGTACTTGCCGGCCACCGGTCTAGTTGCTTGGAGTGTAAACGGCAGACTTTGGAATCATACTGTCGAGCCACCCAATAAGAACCCCGCGAAGCATTCCTCCTTGGAACTCGGCACCGCATGAAGCAATGGGAGTTTGATCCAGATTGGTGCCGACCCCAAAAGTAATCACAGCATCACGATTCATAAATGAAGTAGGTGGTAACTTCATTTGCACCAGAGACCCCACTATGGTTAGCCCATACAGCAACACGCTGAAGTATACCAGCCAATGGTTTTCTAGACTTATGAGCCAAACAAGCCCTATGATATTCAGTACCAATACAGATAAAAAGATGGTTTGTATGACGATGTCCGTTGTTTCAATGCAGCCCACACCATAGCCGGTAAGTTGAATAACATCCAATGAGGTCTCGTTCAAGATAGTTTCGTTCCAGCTGACCGTAGCAGCACCAACGAGCTCAGTGCTACAGTATTGACCTGTGAAGCCCCACAGAATGACACTAAAGATTGCGATACCAATTTGAAACATTACAAGGATGATGGAAAGTAGCCAGATGAGTAGTTGTATGCCATGAGTTCTGGACATGTTTTCGATTTCCCTACTGGCCCAATTCAAAGGGGGAGAAGCCCCTCTATGCTTGGATTTGTATTGCCTTGTCAGCTGGAACTGCAATGGGAACAAAAGCCCACATTTTGATATTGCAAGTAAGAAGCGCTCTAAGAAGCGCTTTAAGAAGCGCTCGACCCGTCCCCGCTGCTGTATTGCACGGGCATTTGCTACATTTTTAGAAGAGGGGTAAAATGAGACTGTTGTGTTTGAGAATAAAATGCAAACCAATCCACCTACGCAGTCCGTCCGGTTGATTTACAGCAAGTTGTGGTTGCCCAACCAGCGCATTTAGAATCGCCGGTGGGGGAGCGTTCCCGTTAATGGCACTGGTCAGGAATATTTGAGAAAGTAAGCGAAAAAGTGATTTGATCAGTATTTTTCCAAACCTACGTAACATTGTTATCAGATCCACCACAAGATCCTTGGGCATCTCCTAGATCTCTTTCTGGTACATCTGCTATAAACCAAGTTGGTCAGTAACGTCAGAAACTCTGGGCGCATTATGGCGAACAACTTAACTCAAAGCGGTCTGGTTTGACGATAAAGAAGGAGCTGCGAGTGAAGATTCGCCCAATGATGTCAGAGGAATCGAGGAAGAGGAGGAAGCGGGAGAGCTGGCATGTGATCCCGCATAAAATCCTGGAGTTCTCGCTGACCCTGAACCCGTGGCCCGAGCAGCGTTATCGACTAGTCAGAGTGCTTGAGTTTCACATGATAAAAATAGCACTCAAATGTCGAGCAAAGCTACCATGATTTGGGACCACTGGAGCGACAACCTCAGCAGCTGGGCCATGATTTGGGGCCACTCCAGCGACAATCACAGCAGCTGGGGCAGGGCCTACCGGAGCTGGGCGTTCGGCAATTCCGTCGCAAGCCGTTCGCAGTGCATTGACAACTTGTACAGATGTCAAAATAAAAGGACCTGAAATAATGCCACAACTAAGGTAGTTCTGTTCGGCTAGGACCCTAGTCCCAAGGATAAGCGTGAAGGCATTCCATAACCACAGTATCCCTTCCAATAGTTGAGAGTTCTTCTGTGAGTCAATAATTTTCCAATTGTACCAAGCGATTACAGAGAAAACTAGTGTCACTGGCCACGGTGTGATGGTCGTCATGCTACCTGGCCGCAGGTATGGCTGCGGATTTACGCATTTGCTAATTGCCATTGCTTATCTGCTCTATATTCAGCTTCTGTTGCTTTGCTGTTGAGTAGCAGTAGTACAATCACCAGCCGTTTTGTAATGTTGTGAAAATTCTGACAAGATTTGGTTTGACTGTGTCGAGTTTTGAGCTTTTGGGGCTTCTGCATTGGTAGAAAAATGTTCAAGAGACACTAAATTCGAATAGTCTCGACGTGTTTGCTCGTGATGTTGCACGTCAAATTCAACGTCTTGACTGGAAGACCTTCTTCCATCCCATCGACACTTATAGCGATCAGTGGATTCGACGTGTCTAGACCAAAAAAATGCCATTTCGGACACAAGATGAATAGAATCTGAGTGTCCTTACACGCGTTCCTCTCCTCATTGCGTAAATACTATTAATGCTGGATTTTCACGTTTCACCAAACATTCAAACCACGAACGACAACAACTATATACGAATAACAACAATGGAAGGCAAGAAAGAAGAAGAACAAAAGGCAGTGGCAAGACTCAACTTGCTCGCTGGAAACGTGACTTCTCATGGTTACGACATTGAGGCTGGAATCCTTCCAAGTATCTCGGAATTGCCTCTTGTGCCTTCAAGACCGCCTTATTGTGCATGGTATGTGGTTTATATGCTTGATTTTTTACATTCATTTATGTATCGAAGCTGACATCTTCGTATTAGGGACTTATGGGGACCAGTTGAGTTACTATGTTGGATGTATCACGTTCATTGATACACGAATTGTTGACTGTTGCGAACGTGTTATTATTAGGGAGACGAATTAGGATGCTTGAATCTATTGACTCCTAAACGTATCGCTTCTGCTTCTCGTTTGGTACGTGTGTTGCACACAATGTCCTTGATGTTGGATGTCGCACGTTGCTCGGTATCGAATACAAGCAAACCAAGGCATCTTATTGTCTTCTTTAGGTCAAAACTGGAGAAACCTTCACCATGAACTGGAATCTCGAAAAACGTAAGAGCTCTGTCGATTACAATGTGTTGAACACATTATGCGTGAATTTCCTCAACGAACAACTCTCTTGCCAGCATACCCTCCATTATACAGCCGAATGAACATTGAGCACACCTACAAAAAGAGCGGTGGTGGTGGAGGATATGATGATGAGATCAAGATGAATACTCGTACGTAGATTGGCTGAGTCTGTTTTTTGGTGTATTGTTGTTAATACCTAACGCAGATATACTTCGTCTCAGAATCATCTACACAATGGGACGGATTCGGTCACGTTGCTGCTAAAATTGACGGTATGTTCCTTCGGTGCGTCACGACAAAAAAATCCTTCGGAGCAACCTGATATATTCTGTTTCTCTCAACAGGCAAATTCGTCTTCTACAACGGTGTAAGCCCAGGAGACGACATTGAAGTACACCACCGAAACGGTATCCATGCATGGGCCAAGAAGGGATTCGCTGGACGAGCTGTGCTCTTAGAGTGAGTGTTTCTAGACAACGCTGCGTCTTCTAAGCACAGTTTTCTCACCAATCTATTTCTCTTCCTTGGGTTGTAGTTATCGACGATGGGCTACGAGACACAATGTCCAATATACTGGTATGTAGTTGCAAAAGCAGCAGTACTGGAATAGAGAAACGTGATGTTAACACAATTCCTTCTTAGCTGGTGGATACAAATTTGATATTTCGGCAGAGCAACTTGAATGGGTATGCTTTTATGAGACTATTTCCTTTGTGCAGCATATCAACACAGTTCGCACATTGCCAAAAACTCATGTGCAAAATCTCATCCCTCAATTCCACACTAGTGTGCTCAAGAACAAGGAGTTAAATTCCAAGTTGGAGACATTTTATTGATCAGGTCAATACATATGGCCCCAACAGCATCGTTTTATTGTGTCCTTACTGATCTTCATAACATTCTCACAACAGAACTGGATGGATTGAATGGTACGAAGCCACCTCCGATGCCGAAAAACTGGAAATGTCACAAAAGGGTCCAAGCTTCGCTGGTCTTCAAAGTGTTCCAAAGACTGTTGAATTCTGTAAGCCTTTTATTGTTTTTGGTTGTGGGAAAGAAAAAAACGAACTCATTGCAAAACATTCTGTGTTTAGTGTGGAACAACCATTTCGCTGCGGTTGCTAGTGATTGTCCAGCACTTGAGGCTGTACGGATAACTCTGTTTTGGCTTTTTTGTTGTTGACCAACCTCATAACTCATGATTCCTCTTTCCCAATATAGTGGCCACCAGTTGGAGAGTATGGCATGTTGATGCATCAAGGTAAGAGCGAGATCAATAACCACGCAGACATGCAGTTAAAAGTGCAACAAAATGTTGATAATGACAAGTTCTTTTTTTGTTCTAGTCATGCTTCCGGTTAGTAGCCAACCCCCAATAACCTCGTTTCACTTTACTCTCAACAACCAAGTGGGTGTTAACATTTTCATTTTCATTATAGATGTGGGGAATGCCAATTGGAGAAATGTTTACTCTTGGTTAGAATTTTGCGAGATTTGGTGGTATGTCTGCAATCCCTGGTTGTCTGACACAGCTTTTTTGTTCGTTTTTAGACGCACTAGCAGAAGCATGCCACCGTCAAAACAGATACGAAATGTTCTTTACTAGCGCTCCACTCAACAAGGTATGATGTGGTTGGAAGCTAAAGCTGTGTGGTGGTTGAAGGAAACCGTGTCCACCACTTCCAAGCTCACACTTATTTGGGTTTTTTAGCTTGGAGGTATCGCTACACCCCCAAACGCTCTCGCCATCCTTTAACTTTTAACATGAAACGCCCGAGTCTGGGATACCTCATGTGTTTGTCTACAGATAAAGTCTGAAAAAAGGAGAATAACAAGATAGCAGTAGTTTTGATGAGGAATCACTTTAAACTGAAATGAATCAAAACAAATATGGTGTGCACAAGTAGTTGCTGGTTCTATTGCGAGAAAAATACTATTTTGTCTATGAATTATTCATCGCTCATGCCATTAACCCGAGACACCCTGTTAGCTCCTACAGTCTCAAACCCAAATCTCTAAAAAGCCTATCCTCCAGGAGCTAATGCAGGTGCGAGATGGCGTAAATATATCAGCTCATTAGCTCATTCGTGTGGATTTCCACCTTCGAGATATTGCTACACCTTACTCCGTTACAATGTATGAACGTCTATACCAACAGACGAGGCGGTCAGCATGATGAACGCATTCCACTTGCTTCTGGCATCGTTACTTTGTTGTCCAGATGAAAATCCCCGCTTACGTCTTCTAGTGGTAGCAACCGTCCTGCTCGCCTGAACATGGACGGCAGTATGGAAATTCCCATTTTGAGTTTTTCATGGCACACAAAGTATTGAGAGGCCTCCTCGCGAGACGCTCCTATATGACACACCGTTGCTTGAGTTGCAATAGTCCTCCAATCTGTAATCTTGAGTGTCCATCAGACACCTTGGCAGCAAGCACTGTTGTTTCCGTACAGTCAGCAACCGGCTGCTCGTACAAGAAAGTATAAGGCATTTACATGGTCATCGACTTCAGCAGCGGGAGTGGCTTCAGCTGGACTAACTGAGATGTGTAAAATTTCAAGTTAGTGATCTAATGACAATATGAAAGCAAAAGATGCAAAGCCCAAACAAAAATCCAATTTAGAATTATACGCCAAATCAGTTTTATCTCCTTCCGTAAAAAGCTTGAGAGATATTCAAAAACCGACCAGGATTCACCGAAACAAAACAATCGAGGCATACTGCGATGTGTTGATTAACCTCCATGTCCACATTGTTCTTACTAAAAATGTCTGTTTTATACACCGTATAATCATCTCTCTCCATCTCCAAATGAGCCTATTAGACCATGTTTCCAATCGTCCATTTAAATCCAAGTCTTCAAGTTATATCTCTCGAACGCTTCTCTCTCAAGCGTGAATCGATGTGCTGGGTGACTGACATCTATCAGTGCCTTAGCTCGTTCGTGCAGATTTTTGCCTACGAGGTATGCCACACCGTATTCTGTTACGACGTAATGGACATCTGATAGAGAGAAGAGAAGATGAGTATCACGGCATCACTAACTAGGTATATTGTCTGTTTTTTTTTTGTTGGCCTTTCTCTTACGTGTTCTAGTGGTAGTAACTCCACTACCCGGCCTCAACATGGACACAATACGGGATTCGCCGGTTTTAGTTGTTGATGGTAGACAGATTATTGGTAGACCTCGTCGTGAGATGGCCGCTCCTCTACGAAAGTTCGTGACATTTAAGCTTTTTATTTTGGCCTGCAACGACAAAAAAAAATCCTTGTATATACCTTTCGAAGTCGACCTGACCACCAACACCAGATATATGTCTGGTACCAACAGAGTCTATCAAAAACGAAGCGGCATATGTTTAGCAAGCGTGCTGCTGACATATTCCAACAAACAGAGTCGCAACAAACAAGCAACCCTGCCACACATCCAGCATACCAGCACAAACTTGACCAGTTAAATCCACTTCAATAGCACTATTGATAGCAGTAACTTTATCATTGCTTCCAATAGTTACTGGGTTGTTTGTTACAGATGCATCCATGAATGCAATGGATGGGTTGTCATCGACAAAGTCGTATAGTTTTCTTGTACCCTGTATGAGAAATTGTTAGGAAGTGACATCTGAAATGTGAAATGCATATATTTTTCGTCGGCTGAGGACAATACGACCATACTCTTACCATGACAAAAGACGTGACGATTTTACCAGGATAGAAATGTTTCTTATTGTTTGTAATCACTCCCTTCTCAACGAGAGGGATGATGCCGTCCATGAACATTTCTAAAAGCGAGAAAAAAATTCCATTGTCAGCCATGAATGATCTTACCGACCCAACAAACATACAACATACATACCTGTATGAATTCCCAAATCCTTATGCGACCCAAGCTCGCCTAGCACAGCATTCGGAATCCCACCTATACCCATCTGCAAACATGCGCCGTCTTCAACCAGGCCTGCAATGTGCTTCCCAATCTGTTGTTCGACTTTGGTAGGTGGTTTGACTATTGCTTCAGGTAACGGTTCGTCCACGTTTTCAACGATATAGTCCAGAGCGTTTACATGTATGAATGATTGTCCGTGTGTTCGTGGCATGTTTTTGTTGATTTGGCCGATTATCTTGGTCGCTGTTTGGGCTGCTGGGAGTGCTGCACAGACCTAGATTCGAAAGAAGGCGCAGAGAGATGGAGAATTGAGTGAGCCAAATATTCTGACTTTTTTTTGGTTGTTTACCTCAACACCCATAGAACAATACCCATGCTTATCAGGAGCACTTAGATTCAGCAGTGCCCAGTCAGGGCGCACGATATTACGTCTCATTAAATGAGGTACTTCTGAAAGAAACACGGGAATGTATGACGAGTATCCTTCTTCGACAGCTTTTCGTTGATTTGCACCAACAAAGAAATTGTTTGTGAAGAAGGCTTCTTCCCATAATGGATTTGAGCATCTGAATAAGAGTGGGGAAGGATGGTGATGAGCAACAACAACCTGGGCAAAGCAAAATTGTATCCAAATTCGAAATACACACGGATTTGGCTTGTCGATATGAAGGTGGATGAATTCGACATTGTGGAGCTCATTGTGTCGTTCAGCGAGAGCTAAAAGAGGCCCGAAAAACACGAATATGAGCAACACCCCTCTGGAATTGTCAAGGTGCTCCAAAAGCATTACCAGAAAGCAATGTTCCAGGACAGGCAGCAACGGAGTGCACGTAAATTCGAGTGTAAGACGGTATATGGGCAACGGCTTCAGCAGCTGTACAAACTACCGGTGGACTAAAGAGATGGGTGATTTCAATAGCGATCCCATTGTTACAATTTGACGTTGACACGAAAAAATGCAAATGCAAGTAAAAATCTCTAATTGTACTCGATATATGCCAAATTGGTAGTTCTCCTCCCTCCTCAAGTAAATGCTGAATACTCAAGAATCCAGGCAAAATGGCACTTACTGTCCCCGTGTGGTGAGAGACCGCTTAAAGGTGTTTGCTGCTTGCGATGCTCGTATAGAGGCACGATACGCCCTTGAAGATAAAAGCATTTGCAAAATATCTACTCGACGCTGGCGATTGGGTGTTTGGCGATTGTGACTCAAAGATGCGAAATTTTCAAGAGCCGACTCAGGTTACGGGCAGTTCAATAAAGCGCAAAAGACGTGTCTTTACGTGTATTTATATGCTAATGTATTCGTATTTACGTGATATATACATTCCACCGCTCAATTTCTTTGATTCAACACCTCCACATCCAAAAGTTGTAAAGTGTAGCAGATCCATGAAACTTCTTATTCCAATTACTCCCTTCTTCTCGTGAGCAGCTCAACCAGCTCATCCCTCTTCCACATTATAGCTAGATCCATCACGGACCGATCCTGCTTATCAACAACACCCATAGTATCAACACCACTCTCCAAAAGTACTTCCACTGCTTCACGATGTCCATTCTGTACTGCACAGAATAACGGTGTCCATCCGTTGTTATCCTTCACCCGCACAGCACTCGGATCAGCACTGTTGTTGTCACCGCCACTCAACAACACTTTCAACACTCCACCATGCCCCTGAATGGCAGCTACATGAGCAGGAGTCCGTCCATTCATATCTTGCGCAAGTATACTAGCACCACGATGAATGAGTTCGCGTACAAGCTCCTCATTTCCCGATCCACAAGCTTCATGAAGTGGCGTACTACCACCTGCATCAATGGCATCTATCGTATCTGGTGCTGCGTCTATTAGAGCTATAGCAATATCATAAGATCCTCTTGCACATGCTATGTGCATTGGCAGCCGTCCAGCACGAGATCGTAAATGGACTAGTGATGGCGAAGCTTCTAGTAACAAGTCAACCATATCTAGTTCTGCATCTCGACAAGCAAGATGGAGAGCTGATAGGTCATCCTTGTTTTGAATATCTGGGTTTGCGCCGTGTGATAAGAGTAGTTTGGCTGATTTGTTACAGTTCTTCAAGCTGGCATACATTAATGGAGTCCATGTGCCGTGCTTTTGTGCGTTCAAAGTTGAGTGAAAACAAAGTTAGAGAATAGGAGCGGAAAAGCGACTATACCTTGAATTGGTTTGGATCAACACCGTGGTCAAGCAAGAAGGATACACATTCATGCGATTGCATTGCTTCATATATGGGGCTTCTGGCTAAGTGAGAGAGGTTTCTTAATGCTGTACCGACTAAAAAACAGCACAGCGATCATACATCATACCAAACTTGTTCTCTGTCGACACTTGCGACTTGAATTCCTCCACCAATAGCTTTATCATGGCCAAATCACCTTGTCTTGCACCATAATGAAGCAGGGAATCACCATTAGGGTCCTGGAAGTTGACAAAGCTTGGGTCTTCGTAAAGCAGATTCCTGATGTTGGGAATGTCCCGTTTGTTGACTAATTTCACGGCTTTCTTCCATAATAAAGTTGTCATGTTCCATTACGCGTAGACTGCTGTGTTCTATAGATGTGCGATATGCGTGATGTTAGCACACAGAGTGATCCCAGGAGTCATCAAGCTTCAACTAAGAACCACACTCAATTTACATACATAGCATAGAGATGGTGTCAGATTCAGAAGGCGAGACCTCAGGCAAGGCAGCCCGCATGGACACAGAACGAGGGAAAGAACCTGTAAAAGCCAAAGACGAAGCTCCTACAAGAGATTCAAGAGACAGAAGAGACAAGGTCACTGTGGTGCAGAAGATTGAAAGAACAAAGGCAAGGCCACTAGTTTCTTCGTCTTTAGGTATTCATATTCAGTCTTACTTACCCTCTTGTCTGTTAGCAATGTCCATTCTTGGTCAGAGTCTTCATCAAAACCGGAGGACATCATGACCTTGCCGAATTCACTCATGCGTCACAACCTGCTGGAGAAGTACATATACATACATGGTATGCTCGCTTGAGACATGTTGCATTAAGTTTGGTGGAAGTATATTATGACGCTGGGATGAATGCGCTGCAAGCTTGAATAGACAGCTCCAATCCAAAGCACATTACACTCACACACATCATCGCTCCTAGGAAGGATACAACATTACGAGAACTCATGTCCCTACTAGGCGAATCACATCCAGAACTCGCAACACGACCAGCCCGAATCTCCGTCATGCAAATATACAAAACACACCGAGACGGCACTTTCGCTTCAAAACACATAGGAGTCATATCAAACAACCGCAGACTTATAGATGAAGATCGCACGTTTGACAATCTACGTATCACGATGGGTGACTTCTTGGATGTCGCTGTATATATGGACGATCTAAATCATCACAGCCAGCCAACTGCGTCATCATCAAATACAACAGGAGCAGCAACGGGCAGCAATTTGGTAGAACGTAATAGTAGGCCAGAACGAGAGTTACGGAATGGAAGGTTTGCCCCATATCAACCGCCACGTCCTAGTGATGGTGTATGGAAGACGAGAGATGAAGAATTGGCTGAACTACGTGACAAGGCTCCTAAATTCAACGATAGAAGGGACTCGCGGGATGCTGGTCGTGGTGGCGGAAGAGCAGGAGGAGATCGTGGAGGAGATCGTGAACGTGAAGCAAGAGATTTCCGTCCACCAAGAGACCGATCTGGAGACAGGAATGACAAGGATAAGAATGGAGGTCCTCGTGATCGAAAAGACAACAATAATAATGGCAGGGGCGGATATTACAAATGGTGAATGGCGTATGAAGGTTGTTGTGATGTCTTTTATTTAGCATAAGATCCTGTGAATAGAACGTTGAAAACAACAAAAAAACCCATTGCCCATATATGATATGTCCTTACGCGTTACTGATCTTGTTTTTTTTTTTGTTTGGCTATGACGCAAATCAAAATTTTACGTGCCGACTGATGTCAAACTCCAAACTTCATCAAATTTTAGCAAACTTTCAAAAACAGAGATCTAGCTCTGATCAAGGTACGGAAGATTGAATCAGCGTGCTGCATCGTGTTTATGAGTGATATTGAATCATTTGATCGTCTTTTAATTTGCATTGCTTCCCTTACATAGACAAAACCAAACACACAGTTTCGAAAGCTACATTTGGAAAGCATTAATCATGAAGGAAGTCAAGCAATCTCAGCCCACGTTCGTAGAATATTTGACGCCGCTTGATAATGGTTTCCTCATGTTCGAATCTAAAAGCAATCTGGCCACCATCGCTGGTAAACATCCAATCAATTTGTGCTCGTGCTTTTGCACGTTCCTAACATTTTGAGAATTTCCCGCAATTCAGGACTCTACTTGTTCGACGTCGAGCTAGATATCGATACATTACGCACTCATTTGAATCAATTTGCTTTGAATACTGGAAGACACACGTATGTCGATTTATCAAAATACTCCACCCAACGATTTGGAATTTAATTCTTTATTGCATGATTTAGATACCGATGCGTCAAAGGAGACAGTATCTTTTCAAGACCTTATTGGGAAGATGTCAGAGATCAATTTGATATTGCAAATCATTTCGCTATTCAGAAGCTGGTATGTGGGCTGGTAATGTTACACCTTTGCGAAGCAAGGATTTTGTGAGGAGAAAGGGAGAAAAGGCAGAGAGGGAGATAGAGGGGCACACGGATTGAGAATCGCCTGTAATCGGAACGAATGCACCTCGAGACCATTTTCGTCTTTTTTTGCCTGGAGATCTCACGAGACTTTTAACTTGTACAGGAGTCTGGAACAATGACTGAACTCCAAGCTAAATGTGGAATCATCCAATCAATCCCATTCGACTTTGACCACCCATTATTCCACGCAACATACTTTGAAGGTCTCAAAGACGGCAACCTCAAAGCCGCCATCTTTATCAAATCCCACCACGCGATGGAAGACGGTCAAGGCTCCATCCGTGGCCTAATCTCATACCTCTCAGCAGCCGAAAACAAGAAAGACATGGCTTCCCTCCAATACGCAGCTGGTAAAAACACTGGCCGACAAGGTGCCGATAAGAAGCAACACAAGACACCAATCCAGCAATTCATGAATGATCCAACCGCGTATTTGCAAGTGCTATTGACGAATCTCGTCGCCTTCGTGTATTTCTTGTATGTGTATGCTGCTAATGGGTTGACTGTGGTGGTTAATGCCAGAAAGTCAATGTTGAGACATGCTCCTAAAGAGGAGTTGATTCATTCACAGTTTGGTGTTTCGGTTGGGATTCCGTTGGGTGATATTAAGAAAGTTAAGGATGTTTACAAGGTATGATTCTTTATGAGGCCTGTGGGATCGAGCAAAAAAAGATGGAGTCTATGCAGGAACGTTGACAACTCACATTCTCTAGGTCACATTGAATGACTTGATGGTGACTGCTGTTGGTGCTGCTCTCGAAGGCTTCTTGGACTCTTGTGATGACTTGAAGGATAAGGAACTGGTAGCTTTAATCCCAACATCTCTTCGAAGACCTGATGATATTGCTGTCTCGAATCAGGTAGGAAATTTGCTTTCAAAAGCTTTGAACACTGCAGTTTGGAACAAAGTTCTCACAAAAACATCACTTCGTACTAATAGAGCTCTGGATACTTGTTACGAATTCCTACACGCATAACACCCACCGAACGGTTGTCTACCATTGTCAAACGATTGAATGCTGCCAAGCAAACCTTGGAGCCTTATATTACGTACTGGTTCCTCATGATCACTTGCAACTTGCCATGGGTGATCCCACGATTTACATTGTCTAGTGCATCCAAGTTGCATGCTGTTATTACTAATGTGCCTGGTATGTGTTGTGAAGCATTTCTTTGCCTTTTGTAGATGCATTTTTTTGGGCTAGTGGCTCCATGTGAACGAACAACTAAAGAATGCACAACGAAATGTAACTAACTCGCAATCCTCTTCACTTCTCACATCATATAGGTCCAGCAAAACCACTCTACTGGGCAGGCAAAGAAATCAAAATCATGCAGCCCATCGTATGTCTCCCAACCGAAACCGCAGTCGGAATCGCACTCATCTCATACTGCGATGTCATGTATGCAACAGTAAACATGAAAATCGATCACAGACGTCCACGAAGTGCATTTGGAGTTGGTGCTGCCCAGGACATTGCTGATGGTATTGCCAAGCAGTTTAGGATGTTGGAGAAGGAGGCTGCTTTGGTTGGGAAGAAGCATCATTAAGGGAGAGACTTTTGGGTGTTATATGGCAGGAGAGGGCGTGGTTTTCTTTTTGTTGGGAAGGAACGGATCTCAGGTGTTTGTCTGTTGCATAAATTGTGTGTATTTGGGTGTGTTGTGTGGATTTCATCCTCCTTGTGTGTTGTTGTAGTAAAGTGTATCTCTCGCGTGTGATTGTATACTGGAGAAACGTAAAGAATGCTTCTAAAAAATAGACAGTTGAAACTTGTAATCCAAAATCAAATCATGTTGTCTTCTGCTCCCTAGGTCTGTAAATGAAGGAGAGAAATGGGCACTCTGCACCATGAGTAGCAGCAGCAAACATGATCAGCCTCTGGACATGCTTCAATGCATCTTGACCAATTCCTTCGTTATAGCAAAAATTCGGTCAAGATGATGCACACGAAAGCGACAGTCTGTCTCATAAAGAGGAGGCAATGACTCATATAATACACGGAGGGCCTATGATAAAGTAAGTTCAGTATAGAGCTCCTACGATAACCTTAGTCAACCAAATCAAAGTAAAGGAAACAAAATCTCACCGATTCATTCCTTTGACGGTAGAGCTGCTTGGGCGAGACTCTTCGCGTCCATAATTCCATCAAATGTCACATATCCAAGTATCTTATCTACTAGCCTATTGGGCAACATGATGTTTTCTGTATCGTCCATCTTGTTTGCTCTTGATTGAATAAATGAGTGGAGAAAAACCGAAGGTACTTTCGATTGCAGAATCTAAACACTTTCGCATTTGGCATTCAGCACGAGCAAATCACGTACTAAATTTGTCTACAAGCAGATGTCCATCGCACAAGTTCTACCACCTGGAAAAGGACGCGAATCAGGTCTATATTCTTTCTTCATCGTCGATACCGATTATCTACTCATAACTAGCATTGGCCAGTACTAGCCTTTGCACCTGATCTTGTCACGGTGTTGTAATTCAAGATTCAATCGTCACAGACCTTGGTAAAATCTCATGGTCACGATCTGTGTGGCAGTTTCCAGTGAAATATGGTGCTTTGTAGCTTCGTATTCTCTCATATCAACTCATCTGGTATTTCAAGGCTGCCAGTGGGTTGTTGTGAATGAACGGCAACCCATGTTGAGGCGTGCTTCTAAAGTAATGTTGATTCTTTGTCACTTTGGTGTTTCAAGTGGTGTTTTGGTGAAATTAAGACGTTTGAAGGAGTTTACAAGGTATGTTGGTCTGCATTTGTCTGCGTGTCGGCATGTGTGCGGCGCCAAAAAACAACCGGCGCTGCGGTATGACCCATTGATGATAACTCTGTGGTTTCTCCCTCTGCATAGTGGCACGAATTTGATTGTGTGAAGGACACAATTTTCGCATCTCATATTTCAATTTCTCAAATAAGGTAAGACCGTGCTCATATTGGAGAGAGAATTAAGAGATTTGATGCGGAGCCAGATATTGCGTCTTGCCATGGACTATCATACGCCTTGGAATGTCAAGTGCCTTCAGATTGTTTGTCGTTTCCACTAAGGTGCATGGTACGTTCATGAACAATGGCTGGTTGCATCCCTTGTTTTCTTCATATTCAGGAATCTTGTGCTGCTCTGCTTTCGTAATCCAAAAAAACACCCTGAATTCCAAAAGAATGGATTCATCATTGAGAATCGTCTTCCCTTCCCACAAACTGTCGGTCCAGCAACACCCACTCTGCAACATATCAACATTGTACGTCCCATCGTATCCCGTCCCTCAGAAACTGGCCCCATCTCATGCTACGATGTCAGGGAGGTCATTGCGAACTTAAAGACTGATCCCGAAGGTTCTTCGTGTGCGTTTGATCAGAAACATTCTTGGTTTGGGCAGAAAGAACATTGCGGGAGTAACGGAGAAGGTTTTTTTTGGCTGCAAAAATCCTGTTGCTTTTTTAATTGCACCAGGCGCCTGTGGTGAGTTCGGTTGTGGTGATTGGCCCTTCATCACGAAAAGAATAAAATAGACAGTTGCATACGAAACGATGCTCTGTTTGATGCGAAAGTCCATGTGTATTGATGCGATATAGCCAAGCAAAACAGAAATCAAGAAGCTCAGCTTCATATAAGCCTGCGCGAAGGTCTGTCATTTTCCTCTACTCGGTCATAGCTTCTGCAATAGCTTCCAATATAATAACAATCGATTCAGCACCTGGATCTGGGGATCCCGCCAAACTCTTGCCTATGTAAGAGCTCCTTCCAAACTTGGCTGTTGGCATTTGGGAGGTCGCTGTAGCGCCGACACGAGCTGCCAATATTCCTTGCTAAAAAGCGAAAAGCGTAGTCAGAATACCGGAATGCATATGACCTGTTTTCATCTCACATCAAGTATTTCCTTGGTACTTGCATCTAGACCTGAAGCTATTGACATTGCTTCTAGAGCAGGTCTCAGAGCATCAATCAGTGTTCGATCACCTAATGTGTAGGATTGAGCATTCTTTGGCAGTGAGGGCTTCTTTTGGTTCAGTGAATCCAATAATTGATCTTACCAAGTTTGGCGCCACCATACGACTCCACAGCAGCCAATCCCCATTCGAAAGCTTTCGTGATGGTGAGGCTTGTAAGATGGTCGACAGAAAGCAATTCCGACTTCCATGAATTCGCAGCAGCGTTGAAAAAGATTCTGGGTTAAAAAGGACTGGGTGAGAAAAAACTCGCGGCACAATGAATGAATTCGATAGTCACGAGAAAAAAGCGCCCATAGTCCCTCCTGAATATATGAGAAAAGGAGGAAGGTCAATACATCGTCTATTGCTTGTGAATTGAAGCTCTACGATACCCATGTGTTTTTCGGAAGTTTCGGCAATCTTGTGAAAGATATCTAGTGGAGAGTCGAGATCTATACCACTCTCCCACACTTCACCGCCAACATCCTTCCCTCCCAACACTTCCAGTAGACTATTGGCAGCCGTTGATAAAGTAGACCCACAATCACCATCTCCAACCAACCTATCCAACTCGTTCAACCTATCACGATTACTTATAAGAGATTCACATATGGTCGTGATAATCTGATGAAGTTTTAATGCTTCACGGGATACAGGTGTGAACGTCTCTGCCTCTGTTGTTGATTCAGCGGCTGATGGTGCTGGATAGAACGATTCGCTTGGTTTCACAATATTTGTAAAGAGCACTGGCTGCTTCCAAGAACTGCACTCCACTGGCTCGTCGAGTGAGGCGAGTATAGTATCGCCTTCAGATCCTTCTGGTATACGTAGAATAGAGAGTGATACTCCTTGCATCTCGAGTGATGTCATGAAATGACCACTGTATATTCTCACAACCACATATCCACGACCTGTAAGATACTGTACTGCATCGTTGACGACGATACCCATTTCCAAAATACTCGTTGCGCCCATATTGTTCACCATAAGAGCTATCAGATCGTCCTGAAAGAGTTGCAAGTAATGGTATTCGTCGGATGGATCCAAGATTCGATCCAGGCAAGCTCGCACAATCTGTTTTGAGGTTGCCATCTGTATTCGAGCGTATCCTGGCTCTCCATGTATCCCTATGCAAAATTAATGAGTATGCGCTTGGTTGCATTTGCGTATTTCCGTGATGTCACCCTACCTAGTCCCAACTCAATCTCATTTGCACCAATTTCAAATGTTGATGGTTGACCTGGTACTGAGCACGAAGAGAGAGCTACTCCAACAGTTCCAATAAGTTTACTGACCAACGTAGCTCGGCGAGCTACTTCTTGCAAAGGCAAGCCACTTCGAGCAGCACTTCCAGCGATTTTATGTACTAAGAGTAGTTTGATAAAAGGTGTCAGGCATCATTTGTTGAAAGGTGACAGGCTCCATTTGTTGAAAGAAGTCAGAGACTGTATCAGGAGAGGTTTCGAGCAAAAACGGCAAGATTCTGGTATACATCGCAGGCAGCATTTCAGAGGCTTTGTTTGACGTACCAAACACTGTTCCAGCAAGACCTCTTCTACCGGCACCTCCGACTCGTGAACGTGGAATAGAACAATCATCAGCGACAATGACCATCTCGACAGCTTCTTTTGAGAGACGTTTCAAATTCTCAGCAGCAACACCAAACTGTAATCTGTCTCCTGTATAGTTTTTCACAATCATGAGGATCCCTCTCCCTGTAGATACAGCTTTCACAGCTTCCGTGACCTGCATGGAAGTAGGAGACGAGAAGACACTCCCACACACAGCTGCATCCAACCTAAGTGCTCAAAACTGTCAACATAGGAAGAATTGATGTGCAGAGCTTGAAGCTCTCACATTCCATTTCCAACAAATCCAATATGCGATGGCTCGTGCCCAGATCCGCCACCAGACAGGACTGCCACTCGTGATTTCTTGCTCTGCCTGATGATTGTACTTGGAGGCAGTAGTTTTAGATGAGGATTAAGTAAAATAAACCCATCGAGTGATTCCGATACGGCCTTAAAATTCGAGATTTGTACGTTAGTCTAGCAGCAATGCGTCAATTTGTAGGTATGCTAAGCGTCCCGTTTGCCACTTGTCAAGCCATTTTCGTCAAAAAGTAAGGACGAGACAAGCCCTTTCGTGTACCTTATCTGGATCATTGATGAGCTTCTTTGTTGCAGTGGCCACCTTCTGAGTATTCTCCATCGAACGACCTAGCTTGCAAAATCGATGTTTGGAAAATGTTTCCACAAGTTTGCAGTGCGAGAGCCAAAGATTGACACTTCCAGGATCTATGAAAGCAGCAATTATTAATTTTCAAAGGATTTCCAATGCTTTCTTACGCGCTGACAGGTAAAATAGGCTAGTTTAACGCCAAAACCGCAAAATCACCTGCAACAACGTCACAGCGCTGATTTGAGCCACGATGCAAGCAGAATTAGCCAATCTAAATATGCCATTCGATATGCAACGCGTAAGAAAGTACTTCTGGCCCCTGATCTACCGCACAATTTGTTCGATGAGTCGGAAGGACTTCTTCTACGTAGTTATTAACATTAGAGAATTGGTCATTTTGCTCACATCCAGCTGATACCGGTAATACCGGTGTGCCAGTTACAGAATGACTAGACCAGACCACATGCCCAAGTTGCCGACACCAAAAGTAAGTGATGTGCTTCCTTTGATCTGTTTTGCCGTAATTGCTTTTCATCTTACGTTGCTAACGCAACACAATCTACTTGAAAAATAGCTCGAATACGCATTTCAAGTCGACGTCTCGGTAGCTGCTCCACTTACCTTTGGCAAAACTGCTGTTGGAGGACGCACAGTCAGTAAGATCAGCCATCATCTTAACATCACGCACAACATTGCAGAGGTCACTGACTGCTTGTTCATGTAGTTCCAATCACTGGTGGTACGTTTGAAGGGCCGAAAATAGGCAAGGGTCGTATTCTTCCTGGTCATGGCAAGTTTTGAGTATTGAACATAACACCAGGCAGACACATGCACCTTTGACAGCTGGGATCTTTTGCATAGGGGCGGATTGGCAAACCATTCGAAGTGATGGAAATCTAGAAATCCAAGCTAAATACACTCTTCAAACGGATGATGGAACATTGATTCAAGGTAGGCACTTTGGGCTCAGCAGCCACTTGCATCGAAGTACACTTTAAATGGAATCTCGAGACGATTCTGACACGTACGTGTACACATACACATAGTTGTAAATGACGGACTAGTCGAATTGCCATCCGAAAAGAATGGCAACCAACTGTACTTCCGATGTGCGCCCAAATTCTTGGTATCAGAGGACAGCAAACACTCTTGGCTATCAAAGAGGCTGTTTGTTGGAAGTGCTTCACGTGGAGATCTGGGCTTTGTTCATTTGAAATTTTGGAGCTTGCTGTGATTGGTATTGTTTGAAGGCGGTCTTTGTTTTGGTAACTTGGTAGATAGTCAAATAATAGTTTCGTTCTAGAATCGCGGGACCTGTAATATGAATGAACCTCACCTTCTCTTTTCGCCTTCGTTGTTGATCGAAACGTTTGACACAGCAATCCCTCAACGAGTTTTGACACGAACTATTTTAACACGCAAGCAAGACAAGATGGCCTCATTACTAGCTTACCACTATTTGGAAGAAGATATTGGAGGGGTTGGGAGTATCGAAAGGTAGTTCTTCATGCTGTGAACTTTCATGCCATGCTGTGAACCTTTGTTTAAACAATCTCAACGAAATACAAATAGCTTTCTAAACGCAAATCAGAGTCATCATCGCATGAATTCAATGTTGCAATATGTTCCATGGTGGGATCTTGCCCTGTTGCTCGTTGCACGTTTCAGCAGTGACCGTCTGCGTCCAACTCGTCCAACACCTCACCTCTACACTAGTTTGCCACAGAGCAAAATCGCTTCAGACTTGTTGGTTTGTCAAAGAATTACTAGAATTACTGGGTTATAGCATCAAATATGCTGGGCTCGCCACAAGGTCAAGATGATACGTCCAAGAAACTCATGAGATTTCCGTTGAACTGTGGCCCATTATCGCAACCCAGTCCGGAAACAAACACATATGAAATCCCTCTTTGCAGCTTAGCATCGTTGCGAGAAGGTAGCAGCCAGACGTTAAGACACATATCTATAGCATATCCCAACCTATGTCATTGGAAGTAGGTCTTCATGTGTTTGAGAAGGTGGAGGTCCTACATCTTGTTGGGGTGAGGATACCTGTTGGAAGGTTGAGCGCCAGGTTGAACGCTATGAAACAATCTATCAAAGATTTGAAATTGGAGGATTGTAGAATTTTCCAATGTGGACGAGAATGGAAATGATGAGGATTGGGAAGAGGATGAGAATGAGTATGGGACTTGAGGCTAGGTTGGCGGTAGTGGTAGAGTGTATTTCTAGAGGCAGTTGTGACTTGTGAGGGTGGTAGCGTCAGGTACAAAATCGGACGAGATGAGGAAGCTGAGGAACGAGATTCAAACGGAAGTGTTATTGTAATGTAGTATTAGATCTAGTTGTGGAGATGGTAAATCCACGTACAAAAACAAGGGCGACAAGTATATCGTTGTAAAGTAGTTGCCTGGTCAAAATCCAATGCAAATAAAAATCTAAAGTAAAATTCTTACAATCATCTCATCACGTTTCGATCGAGTTTTTGCTTGCGTTCTGGTCCTCAAGTCCTCAAGTGCGTTTTGCTTCGCAATTTCCAGGCAATTTCTTTCTTCTCATACACAGAGGAAGCAGTTCAGGCAGCATCGATAGGAGGTTTCTGAATAAGTGATTGAATCTTGTCTACTCATACGAGATGCTTGGCGGGTGAGTTGCTTCGAGATCAGCTTGAAACTGCTGTGAATGTGTTGATTCGACCAAATTGCTCGAACTGCGACTAGGACTACTTGTTTCTGCCGATGTGGTCTTGATCAGTCGTGATCATATAACCAGCAGATAGTTTCTATTGTGATCTAACACCCTCTCCTATCAAATAGTGAAGCAATGGACGTTGACATCTCAAATACGAATCGACGTCGCTCAGCTCGCTTTGCCAAGAAGGCAAAGATTGCTGTAAAAGGAAGTGTAAAATCTAATAATAATGATGATGATCAAGAGGATGCAGCTAGTACTGGTCGTGGAGATGACCAAGAAGATGATCAAGGTCAAGGCAACAACTCGAGTGTTACTGGTGATGAAGAACAGGATGAGGAGGAAGACGATCATGGACCTCCTCCTCCTGCTAAACGTACTAGGAAGAAAACGAGAAAGGCTCCTGCTACCACCAAACGCAAGCCAAGTAAGCACTTGTTGCGATCCTATGAACTGACGCTCAACAGTCACTGACTTGTTTTGTCTCATACAGAAACTCCTGCAACTCCTGCTACTACTCCTACGAATACTCACACACCCAAAACTCAAGCTACGAAACGACGGGCTCCGCCACGAACAGCAGCAGCTCAAAGCGATGACGAATCAGAAACTGGCTCAGTCAGGAATGAAGACTCGTTCTTGTATAAAGCTGTCGCTGGAGGATCAGCTGCTCTGGCCGAAATTGTTGACGAATGGATGACAGATTACGAAGAGAATCGTGAAGTCGCGCTTCAGGAACTGTTACTATTTATATTCCGCGTATGTGTGTGGATGGTCACGTCTATTCAGTGTTTCGTTTTGTCATTCGTGATGATTGCTTACATCTCAATACACAACCTCCTTATAGTCTTGTGGATATCGCGGCCCAGTAGAGAATCTAGAACTCGAAGATTCTGATAATATACCAGAAGAATTGAGTCATTTGCAGAATTCCTTTGCTGTAAGCTGGGAAACGCAAAACGACACACAAGCGGTTCTCGCGTGCTCACACTCATGTTCCTTTAGGGCAAAGCGACTGAATATCCCCTCGTCAGTAAAACTTCAAAAAGGAAGAATGTTGTAGCCAGCAAATTCCGCAAAAACTATAAAGAGTTTTGGGCTCGATGGACTCGTAAAGTCCGTGCTGGTCCTCTCTTTGATCCTAAAGATAATGGGTGGTGCCTGGAAGTAGTCCTAAATTGGCTAGTACCCATGTCATCATCAGGCTTCCGCCCATTCCGTCATACAGCTACTGTTACCGTTCTCATCATCGCTACTGGTTTAACTGAACTGGCTGCTGATACGGAACGAGAATTAGCTACCGCTCAACGTCAATTCGATGTTAAAACCCCGGCAAACGCAACAGCATTGGAAGCAACAGTGAATCGTTTGACTGATCGTAAGCAGCTTCTTGAGGAGCATCTTACTCACCTCTTTGCTACGTAAGTGCTGTGTCAAGCTGTTCTCGTGAGTAATACGTGACGGTTTAACTCCCCTTTTTTTAGCGTCTTTATCCATCGATATCGTGATTTTGAGCCAACCATTCGATCGGATTGTATCCAAGAACTTGGTATATGGATTCGTCTACATCCAGCTAAATTCCTTGCTTCTGAGTATCTGAGATACATTGGTTGGATACTCTCAGACAAGGTAATAGCTGTCGGATGTGTCGTGTGTGTTCGCATATGTCATTATTATTCGTTTTTTGCGCACTTTGCACAATCTCATAGGTATTTTGCAATTCCTAGGTCGCTCTAGTGCGATTGGAAGCCTTGAAAGCTCTGACGCCTCTGTACGAGCCAGAATCTCATCACGGTGGTTTACGTGAATTCAGTCAACGATTCCAACCACGTCTTGTAAATATTGCTAGAAGGGACGTAGATGTCGCTGTTCGTAAAGAGGCGATTGGCATATCTGTCAAGTTGGCTTCTATTGGTTTCTTGGAAGAAGCTCGACGTGATGAGCTCTTGGAACTCATTGCCGTTAAGGATGAGTCTAGCCGTGCTTTACTGGTACCTCTAGCTGTGGAAACGCATCGAGAAGAATATGTCGAGGCCTTGAAGCTTGAGATTACAGGCTTGATGGAAGAAGACCGAGTCACAGACATGGTGAACATCAAGGGTCTCTTACAGCTTCTGGAAAAGGTTGTGACTGCCCATGATAAACCAAATAATGCTATCACTGCAAATAAGACTAATGCTAACGATAAGTCAGATCATGCAATGAAGCCCAAAAGTATACTCGATGAAGCTGAAGAAGGCACCATTCCAGAAGTTGATGCTGTAGAATCGGATTCTGAGGCTGCTAAATCCCGTCGTCGAGACATAGAACAACTGCGAGAATGGGTAGTAGCTACAGACGCTACACCTCTTGTATCCGAATCGTCATCGGCATCGGTCTTGCCCCAGATCGTATCGTCTCTGTGGACAGATCTAAAAATCATCCAAAACTACCGTGCCATGATAAATTACCTAGGTAAAGACATGAGTGCAGGTACTGATGATGACGAGGAAGATGACGAGAAGGGTCTTGTGCAGTCACTTCGGCTTACAGATGATCAGGAAACACTACTTGCTCGTCTAGTAGATGTTTGCATTGAACATCACCTCACAACAATCGAATCATCAAAAGCCAAAAAGAATGCGAAGGACGATGCTTTAGCTGATATTAGTAGAGAGCTGATAACATCTATTCCACGGCTCATCGCCAAGTATTCTAAAGAGCATCGTGGACAAGGAGCACTTCGATGTGCCCAAGTCCTTTCCATAGTACGATATGTCCGACTAGGAATGTATTTAGAGCTTCGTATGCCGAAAGCATATGATGCCTTGTTGGAAGACTTGAAGGGACTATATACTCGACATGCAAATCCACACGTCTTGAATGAATGTGTCAAGACTCTTGTATACTTCAGTGGAGGCGTTACCAAATCTGGCATAGTCGATGGTTTGATAGAAGAAACCAAACCCAAATCGAAACGGCAGAAGATGCGAAAATCCATCGCCAACGAGACCGATAATGTAGTTCCTGATGGTAATGTCGGTGAGGCGTCTTTAAATGCTACCTGTAGGGACAAGATTGAAGAGTTGGTTGAAGAAATCTCGACCCAAGTGCGGGAATGTCTTGCTTCATGTAAATCGGCTGCAGATGAAGTGATTGATCAGGATCTGACGGATTCCATATCCTTATTGCTACACAGTATTCGACGACTTGACCACCTCTATAATTTTATTGATATTGCTTCATATGGTGTTGCGGTGGGTCAAAAAGACTCAGTAGCTGGCAGTCAACCCTCTACCAACGGAACAGATCCAGCCTCCGAGTCTATATTCAACGTCATTTCCGAAGTCTTGGAAATGACTCTGTCAGTCTTGAAACCCGATACACCTACAGATATAGCCACAGTTGCCACTCGTATCATAGAAACAGCCCTTCGTATTGTTTCAGCAGAGACGATATGGGAAATCACTGGTGCTGTTAATGCTATTGTTCCTGACTTTTTCACGAATGATGAAATAGTCGAGCCTCCAGAATTAGACCAACAACAGGTTACTAAAGCTTTGGGCGGTATACCGACAAAGGTCCGTCGTATTTTAAATATTGCCGAAGCTCTTGTTGGAGGGGTGATGGGTAGGGGTGGAGAAGAAACATGGAAGTTTGGATTACCGACTCGACTCGCTGCCTTCCTGGTTTTGTGCGAGACAACATCGTTTGTCAATGCTGATGTCTGGTACATATTCCCTGCTCTAGCATGTAAACCATCTGAAGATGCTCAAAATCATATGGCTTGGTTGCTGCTACGAATATTCGAGCTTCTCAGGATTAACACTACCTCCTATAACGATTGGTCTCGAACGGAGATGATGGGATTATCACATTGTGTAATGTCGCTAGCTACCACTATCATGAAGGGTGTCCACTTCCACTTGCTGGATGCTGTAACGTGTGCTCCATCAGTCATTGCATACTATGGATTGGCTCAGAATAGTGCTGCAGACCCTCGTATAGAAGTATTTGGTCCTATCTGGGATCAAATGGTGTCTTGGATTCTGCAAGTACTCGTAGTAGAAAACATGAAGATGGCCATCAAAGAAAAGTCAGAAGAGCACGTCAAAAAATGTGAAGATTTAGGGTCCCGTGTACTAGTAGAGAGTCTGCTCAAGTCTACAGACTTGTACTTTGGAAGACAAGTTGATTCTATCGAGCCAGCTCTTGCTCTCAGTAAATTAGCTTCGAAACTTTTAGTAGCGTGGGCTAAACTGGTGGAGAGCTTCCCACAACTAAAAAATCGATTGACTCGACAATTGTCTCATATCTTGAAGACCGGTATTGATTTAACTGTAAAGGCCTTTGTTGCTGCCGTCAAGCCCAAAGTCGAGGCAGAAGATGATATGTCGGGACAGAATCCTGACGATACTCTATTGTTTCAGCCTACTCAAATAATCAACGCAATTGAACCATTCGCTATTCAAGCAGCCAATGAGTGTTTCAAGGCTTGGAGTATTTTGGTCGCTGATCTGTGGAAGGCTAGTTGGGAGCTTCAGTTTGACGATTGGTTCGTATGAGCTTGCACGTTGCCACTCCTTTTTTTCGTCTCACTATTTTGATTTTTCTTAGTTTCGAGTTAGCTCAAAAGTATATCAAGGACCAAGGAATCCAAGTTGCTGAAGATGAGGAAGCTTGGGAATGCTTTACCCAGCTTGGAAAAGTCTTGAGTCATGAAACTGTTAGAAAGACTCGTGCTACCAAAAAGGGTACGTTCCTGTCTGATAGCTTGTATTCTTTTACTGATCTGATTTTGGATTAGGCGCCTCAACAAAGTACAAGAGCACCAAGGCAAAGACTACCAAAACAAAGACCACCAAACCACGTAAACCCACTACCAAGAAACGTAATGATAATAAAGACTCTGATGCTGACGAAGAAGAAGCAAATGAAGAAGCAGCAGCCTCAGAAGATGATCAAGTTGTTGGACCACTACCAACACCTCGTAAACGTGGTCGTCCTGCGTTGGCACGTAGTGCTAAAAGGTTGAAGAAGGATGCAGAAGAGGAGGAGGAGGAGGAGGAGGAGGAGGAAGAAGAAGAGCAAGCACCGTCAGAATCTGAAGATGGCAAGAAAAGCAGTGTGGATGATAATGTTACAGATCGTGAAGATGGCGCGGCTAGTAGTGTTGCACACTCGGATGGTGCTGAAAATGGCGTGCCCCCTGGTTTGGATAAGGATGTAGTTTCTGAAACAATGGATGGAGAGGCGGATATAGAGGAGCAAGTTACAACACTTGTAAGATCTGGAACGATTCCTCTAGATTTTTTTTCTGTTTCCTCCTTTCGAGATTTCTGACCAGATGTTCCATTTCTCTTTAGGTGCAACCTCCTCAGTATACAACTCCACTTGCTAAAAGAAAGAGTGCTCCAGTTGCTAACAAGGAACCTGAACAAAGGGCTAGCACTGCTAGGGATGAGGATGATGACGATGCTCAAAGTCATGGAGACACTGCCTCTTATAACGATTTGTCTGATGATGAACTCAACCGGCCTGTTGAACGAGCATAGAGCAGAGTGTTGCTTTGCTAGCTGTTATTGTGCATAAAACATATATATGGGCAGTATGTAAAAGAGTTGCTCGTTTGCTTTGCTGTTCTTGACTATGAAGTAAATTACATAAGTAGTTGGAAAGTGGCTGTTTACGACTTTACAGGAGGTAAACGTGCCATGCAAGCAATGGGGACGGTGGCAAACTTGTCCTTTAACTCGAAGTTGTCTACTACCTTGAAACCGAATCGTTCATACTAAACAGCGAAAAAAGAGAGATTCAGAGATACAAACAGTCTTTCGGTCGACATGCGGTTCTACTCACAATTGGGATATTAGACGGTTTAGAACTCTCAAGATAGCAGGCAACTCCTTCCTCGTCTGCTTTTTCCAGCACTGGCAGCATATTGTACTTTAACAAGCCTTTTCCACGCTTATCATTTCTTGTTCCAGTCATAAGCAGGTAGTATAATCCCTTTGTCTTATAGTCGTAGTCGATGCTCTTGAAGTATTTGGCTTTTGCTTTGTCGGCCTGCAAACAAAAAATGAACTGCTATTGAGGTAAACTCTCCTAAGAGAGAGCGTGATCTTCCTCAGTTCTGGTTGATACCACATACCTTTGGGCTATAATTAAACATACTTCTTGCCGTAACTTTAAACGGGATTTGCAAAATGTCGAAAAGCAGGCCTGTTGCAAACATGTTCGAGTCAAGGGATATGTGTGGAGGGAACCACATGCATATGTTTGAGTAGTTGTCGACTTCGTACTATGTGCAAAGAGTAAAATATTAGGGTATTGAGTTCAAAATATCCAACAAAAGAACGAGGCGTAAAAAAAGACTTCTATTCACAGAGAAGGTACTGATCGTTCCCAAATACATCTTCAAGCACGACAATGTCCTAACACAGCGTACCAACATTCCTTGAAGTGCAGTAACACGAGCAAACCCTGCAAAAAACACTTTGTTATATCTCTCGAGTCTCTTGCCCTTCAAACCACGTCTGAAATAGGCTGATGCTGGATCATCGTAGAATGCCTAAGGGTAAAACGGGAGGAAGTGATCAATTAGGCGGTTTGATCCTTGCAAGTATGAGGAGTAAGCGGAGTAAGCGACGTTTGATGAACATTTTGTTGTCCACAACACGCACCTCAACCAACGTTGTTAAAGCAGCATCCAGATTCGGATTTTCTTTGATCAGGTTGCCTTTAAGCTGTGGTTTGGTGTCCTCCGCCATCGAGATTTAAGGTGTGGTTTCTGTCGGTAGATCGTCAAGATTGATTAGGAAGAGCACAAGAGATTGCTCAAAGTGGCAAAGCCGTGAATCGAATTCAATTAATGTCTGTACAGGGCGTGACACCTCTCGAGGCCAAAGAAGTCCAAATGTAAGGCGAAATTGAAATATCTGAGTTTTTTTCTTGCTGGTGGTGTGACATTTAACATTTCGTATATCACGAGAGTTTAAGCGAATGGCTCCCCGCATTTTACTAGATCTAGCAATAATTTGAACAAAGTTCATAGCTTTGCTTTAAATGTCGGTCTTCCGCGTGTTGGTCGTGAAATCGTGGAATTCGGTTTGAAAAGCACGCGTGCTTGGATTGACAACTGTTAGAAAGGCTGCAAACGTGTTCTCCCTCAGGGATCTCATGTACAGCAGTGGAGCACATTCTAGCAAGGCCCGGTATTGATCAAAATCCCAAATGTCCTTGTGGTACTAGTCAACCCGAAGTTGACGCAGATCAAGTAAACCCGTCATGGAAGAGCCCTGATGAGTACGCATTGCTCGAAAAGCTTTGATAGCTACATTTTAAGCGATCGCGGGCGGTACGCTCTAGAGGTTGGAATAAGAAATGAATTGCTCTGCGGTTGGATGAGCTTGTTTCGATTTGTGGACGGCTGACAGAAATTGAGGGTTGACCATTGGAGAAAGGCCTGAGGATTGATTTTTATTTTACACATTGAGACATTCAGATACTACATGATTCGTCGCTTCGCGACTCTTTAACACAACGGTCCTACATAGGATTCCACAAAGCGAGATAAACAATCCGCGAGAGCTCAAGTGCGAGCTTTGTGACTTACAATTGGGATGTTAGACGGCTTGGAACTCTCGAGATAGCAAGCAACTCCTTCGTTGTCAGCTTTTTCAAGTACTGGCAACATCACATCCATACGCCAAGAAGTGAGGAGAACGGCGCAGTTGTAACGCCTGGTGTTTGCTGCATGTGATCAAACGTGGTTGTGAATTTGTGGTGCTTGGTTGGGATTCGATGATGGTGGATGATGGGTAACAAAAAATGTTCAACTTGTAGCTAGCTGTGCCCACATAGATCGAAAGATATGATAAAGCAGCGACATTTACGGGTGAAACTTTCTAGTTCCTTGAGTGCACTTTCTAGCAAAATTTACTGAAAGGGTCGCAACAGACCTTCACTGATAAAGAAATTGTCCACGTCTCGTGGCTAGATGGTGTGACAGTGAGCTCCGTTAGTCATTACTCATGACGGATTCTCCTGAAATGCTGCATATCCACATATCTGCTTAACGATTTTATGACAGTTGAATCAAGAAGTGGACGCAGACAAATATTAACCGTCAGGACGGAATCCTGATGATATAATGACACCACATTGTCTAACACGGAATCAGTGGCTGCTTCCAAAGCTATTGAACTAGTCTCCACTCAAACAGGAAATGACAAGGAGAGTGCAAATGTTTCTTGCAAACGGTTATTACATGGTTTTAAACTATGTGATGAAGCTTTAAGCGGCAGGCAGACGTGCCATGCACGCAATTGGGACAGTAGCAATCTTATCCTTCAGTTCGAATCGATCAACGACTTTGAAACCGAATCTTTCATACTATGACAGATAATCAAACAAGATTAGTTTAGAAAATTGATTCTAATGAATTGTTATTGACTTACAATTGGGATGTTGGATTCTTTTGTACTCTCGAGATAGCAAGCAATGCCTTCCTTGTCAGCTTTTTCAAGTATTGGAAGCATGTTGTGTTTCAGCAGGCCCTTCCCTCGTTTGTTATCCCTTGTTCCAGTTATCAGCAAATAGTAGAATCCCTTCTTTTTGTAATCATAGTTGATGCTCTTGAAGTATTTGGCTTTTGCTTTATCGGCCTTAAGAGTCGGTTTGGGTTTGGTCATTTAAAGAACACTTTGCTGTCCTCGTCCCAACGTTTGCTAAATAGACGTACCTTTGGACTGTAATTAAAGAGAGTCCTTAGAGTCACTTTCAATGGGACTTGCAACATGGATATCCACAGTCCAGTTCGAAACATGTTCGTCGTGATCTCATAAAAGGGCGGATACCACATACAGATGTTTGAATAGTCGTCAACCTCATACTAATAAGAAGGGTAATGGGGTCCAAAAATGAGCAAAGTCCCCCAAGATTTACACTCCAACTGAGAAACGACAAAGGTGTTGCACAAAAAGGCGAGCATCGATGAAGCCGATGTACCGGTCGTTCCAGCATAGATCTGCAAGTATCAGGCTGATTTAGACCACGTACCAAAAGACCTTGAAGTGCAGTAATACGAGCGAACCCTCCAAAGAAGACTTTGTTGTGTCGGTCCAGCTTCTTCCCCTTCAGCCCCCTTCTAAAGTAGGCAAAGGCAGGATCGTCATAGAATGCCTAAGGAAAATAGGAGGAAATGGCTGTTAGCCTGGCTTGTTTCTTGGGAAACTTTGGAAGAGTCAGCATTTGTGGAGCACCCGTGCCTCAGTCAACGTCTTCACAACAGCATCTAGATTTGGGTTCTCTGTGATGAGGTTGCCTTTAAGCTGTGGTTTCGCCTCTTCCGCCATGTTGTATTGTGCTGGTATGTTGGATCCGCTTATTGAGACAGAAAAGTCATGAGAGGTTCAAGTCGGACGATTGGAGTTTGACCACCTGTACTCCTACACACTGACTTCGCAATTTGGTCGTATTTGTGCCAAGGAAAACTCAAAAACCTTGAGTGAACTGTATAACGGCTTGTGTTTGCCGCCTGTGTGAACATGGTGGGTTTACTGCTGCTGGCGACTAGAATATACGTGGTAGGCTAACCGCAAGCATATGGATCGATTCTCCTAACTCAGGAGAGCCTTCATCCTGGTGCAACATGTAGATCTACTACGTGAAGAGCGTGTGCCCTGAGCGTGATATTTGTAAAGTTTCTCGAACGTTGAAACCGGGACACTTCTCGGACGAACCAAGCAGAAACGCGATATGTATATTGTTATTGGAATATATACGATACATTAGTGGTAGAAAAACACGTTTTTTCTCTGTTGTTCTCGTTGTCCAAGTCCGAAAATAAATACTTTGGCGTTTGCCGTTCTTTGAGAACTTCACCTCTCGAAATAGAAACTCGAATCATTTCCAGAAAATTTGCAAACTTGGGAAGCATAAGCAAAGGGGGACATTCTCTTGCCGGCACGCTGTAATATAGAGGATTGTCGCTCTCCAAAGCTTATTGCCTCCCACTAACAAGTAAATCCCGTCTTCACACACGCAAAGCACACATTACCACTTTTTGCCAAGGCAGCCAAAAAGCATATGGCAGCTACCATCAGGGAACGAGTAGGAACGTTCGCTCCAGTGGACCAGGAGCCATGCAAGACTCTCTTCCAGACTCTCAACCTGAAAAAGTTTATATCTGGATACCTTTACATCCGGCACTCAAAGTCTCACCATATCGCTATGAAGATCGAAACTGTGCAGCTCCAGCCTGATCTCGCTCAGATCATGCTCGCTGCTGAATCCTGTGGTCTCAATTCAGTCGTAAGTCTCGAGTTGCTTGCTGTTCTTGCTACATCTCGCCCATTGAGAGAGCTTGATGTTGATGATGATGATGATGACGGAGAAACACACACACGCAATGTTAACAATATACAATCATACTAGCCTCGACCTGCTATACCTGCAAAGGACGGCATGTGGTGCAAATACTGGGCTGAGCACGTGGGATTGGCAATACGGCTATGGCGAGTCGCTGAAGATATCGCTGGTCTACCATATGCAACAGGTAAAACACTATCAGCATCTCACATATACATTGTAGTGATCTAACAGTACATGGTTCTTGATTTACTCTAGCTCCAACTGCTGATGCTATGGCTGGAATGGAGTTGGCTCCTCACAAGAATGTCATCTCACTCGTAAGTGTTCTTTTTAGAGTCTTGATAGATCGCTCCCATATCTGGATCGCTTATTGTGGAGCATGAATCCTTTATCTGAAAGTGCCTCGTCGATCCAATCGTTCTAATCTCGATCTGTCTTGTTTCGATTAGATCAAACTCATGAATCCAAATCCATTCGTGGTTCCTATAGCCCATGTACAGACAAGTATAATAGGTATAAAGCAAGCATTACCAGAATACTTGATTGATCTCCCTCCGCCACCAACTCCATACGACTCCTTCTACTCCATCGCAACTTTGCGCGGAGCCACTTTGGTTGTAGCCGCACCATCTTCGATACAAGCAAACTCGTGGGTAGCTTCAATTCGATTGGCTATATACGAACTGGCCAGATTAGAAGAATACTTTACTTTGAGCATCATGAAGGATCCACCATTGTATGTTGTGACTGTGTTTTCGTCAGTGACATTGCGAGCTTATCATACTCTTTTCCCCCACTCTAGTTATCGAATATGGCAAGACCGTCAATTGACACCCTTTACCAATACTCCACGTGAGGGAGCCAAACCCATAAAACATAGCGGGGTTGTGCAAGCCATGTTTGGAAAGAAACTGGAATGGAAAAACTATTACGCTGTGTTATCTACAACTCAAGTCCCACAACCACTACCGCTAGAAGATGGTATTCCAGAAAAGAAGAAGAAGCAACTCTTCAAATCGAGTAGTGGTGCTCCTCCTATGATGAACGTCGGTCAACTCCTCTTCTTTGAAAAGAAGATGGAAAAGTCTACAGCTGTAAAGAAAGTAGTGCAAATCACCGAGGCCTACTTGGTTTGGCCTTCGTCGTCTGCCATGGGTGAATTGAGTGACTGTGCAAATGTATTACGAGTCGAGGGTGTCGTTATAGATAGGAACAATAGCACATTAGCAGTGCCTGGTACTACTGCTGAAGAGAAACGAACCTCGTCTCTACAAATGGATAACTCGCCACCATCACGATCACCTACTCCAGAAAAACGTCTTCGTCATTCAGATTCACGAGAGTCGCTTGCCACCGATAAATCATTGTCTAGTCTCAACGCTACCGATGGGAAAGTAGAAACGTTTTATCTACGAATGGCTGATTCCTGGGACGCTTGTCAATGGGCAGCATCGTTTATGTCAGCCTTCCAAACAGATGCCGACTTGTATGAAAGAGATCGTCAGCTACGAGAAGGTCAAGTTGGTCTTATAGATGATGGAACTTCGGCACCTCTCGTTAACGGACAACCACTACCTCGTCAATCAAATCGTGATTCGGTGGCTGAATCGAAACGATCATCAACTCCTCCTACTGTAATCGCCAATAACGATGCCATTGACGTGATTCCAAGTGGTCGCTCCTCCGAATCTGAATCCGATCACAGTGATTCGCCTCGTAATCCCGCATCCATTCCAAACTGGATGAGGTCTCATCGTGAATCGAATTCTGCAGAACATAAATGGGGTCTCTTGTATCTACGAGCTTCCGAAGTGTGTAATCTCTGCATGGCAGGTGTATCGCTACAAGAATCTGTAAAGGACTTCCACTTGGCGCTGAATGACAAGAGGGGTTATCATAGTCGTGGTGAAATTAGTAAATGGAACAACATCGTCAAACAAGAGAGGGGTCAACGACGAACTTCTGAATGGCACGAAGCTGAGAATAAAGCCATACACGTAATAAACTGGCTCAATCTTCATGGTCAAGCAGCTTTCCAAGATGAAATAAATGCAGCTGATAATGGAGCATCATGGGGAGAAGCACCAGCCAACCAGTTTTTGCCACATCCAGTCTTCCCAGAAACTGTATTTATAAGGGCGCCTACAAATGATCGACCATATGGTATGACTGCCGCTGATCTCAATCCGAGCATGGCTGCTGCTGCTGGTCCATCATCATCTTTATTGATGTCGCCAATACCAGAACAAACTAGTGTACCGCCAACTCCAGCTCCTACCTCCGTGTATAACTTACCAACTATCCCAACATTCTCACCATTCCAAAGTGTGCCTACGACTCCAGCAGTCCTGGTGGTACCTGGTGGTATAGAAGACCTCAACATTATCTCAAGGAAGTTGACGGAATATGCACCGCGTGTGCATAGTCTATCAGCAGTAGCACCACGTAGTCCTATAGAAGAAGTCGCTCAACCAGTAGAAGATGAAGCTATTGCATTGGCCGAACAACCACATATCCAGATGAAGCCAACTGAAACACTGGAAGATTTTTATATGCAAGATGAGCAACCAGTCGCACCAACTGATAACCATCCTATTGTAATCGAAGAGCCAAAGGAGGAAGTTAAACACTTGGAAGTAATTGCTGCTGAACCAAAACCAAGGTTATCAAAGGATGGTAAAGTGGTCATCCCCCAACGTAAATCGATGGAGAGCCTACCACCAGCACCCATACTATCGGAAGAAGTTAAACGTAAGTCACTCGAACGTTTAGCAGGAGCACCCATACTTTCGGAAGAAGCCAAACGTAAATCACTCGAAAATCTACCACCAGCACCTGTACTCTCAGCAGAAGCTAAACGTAAATCACTTGAACGTCTAGTAGCGGCGGCCGTGGCGCCAGTCCTCTTGTCTGACAGTATAGCACCGAGCAAATCTATAGACAAGACTAATGATAAGGCTACGACATCGACAGAAGCTGTTGTGAGTCGTGGTCCAACACCACCACCTATTCCACCACGCAGATCCAAAGAACAACTACGAGAAGCCGCCAGAGCATCAGCACCCAAACCAGAAGGATACAAACCACCAGTTCCACCACGAAAGTCCAATGATTATCTCAAGTCACAAATATCAAAGGAAAGTCTATCGTCAAAGGATGTTGCAGCTGGTATTGTGGCTGCTGCGACGAATGCTGCTGGTAGTACACAGCCTGTAGTAGCTCCAGCTTCTCAAATGGTCGTAGCTCCACCTCGAACAGTTACTTTGAATGAACTTAAGCCATTGCCAACATTCCCAGTATTGCCGTATGAAGGTGGTGTGATGAAAGACGCGGTTGTTGCTGGAACTGGTAAGTTTTGATTACATGCTATGTGGATTGTGGATTTGTCATCGATGTAAACCTCTAATTTTTTTCTCCGTGGGTCATTTTAGTTGGTGGAAGGTTTACTCAACCACCACCCAGGAATCAATCTCGCTTGTCAACTGCTAGTGCTACATTGACTCTCACCACTGCCGACGTTGTCAACCTTCATAAAGCTATAAATGGAATGGCAACACCACCAGTCCGAACCGAATCAGTTGGTGTAAACAATCAACGTGCCTCAACACAGTATTCAGTAGCTCCCATATCATCTATTGTTACGGCTGCAAAAGCACCCAGCAATGATGCAGTCAACAAGAATAACTATACTATAATGTCGACCTCACCTGTTGAAGACCATGATTCCATGACACCAAAAGCAGACGGATATTCCATGGATACAATCAGAGCCAGTACATATTCCAATATGGATACCATAAAAGCCAGCACTCGACGACCTAGTGTAGACAAAATGTCGAGATCAGGAACCGTGACATCTCTTCTATCACCAATCCCAACCTTCCCAGCTCTACCACGATTGGATGTGAATAATAATAACACTAATACTAGTAGTAATAGCAATAATAGTGAACCCATCGTATCCCTTGAAGGCGTCTCACCCGTACCATCTTCTGAAGGAGGCAACGACCATGACTCTGACCACTCATCAACTCGTGATCCAATGTCGCCTACTAGTAACAGCAGCAGTGGAAACGGAACTGGTACAATCACTCGACCCAACTTGGCCGTCTTTCATGAATTTGGAAGTGAAGAAGATTGGCATCATGCCTTTTCTTCCATTGCACAGGGCAAAGTCGTCAATTGGACTGGACCACATGGTGAAACTTCATCAGACAATCATCCGGGATCAGACAATCATAATGTAGCAGCTGCGCATGCATAAAAACAACAACAACAGCCAAACACACGCAAGGTCTTTCAATTACAACAACAACAACAAAAAATCATCAGGTGTAGTAATATTATTATGGACCACTTCTCTCCTTTTATTCCTCGTAGAATAACATACAGAAAATGTAAAACCTCCTCTTAATCATTGTTAAGAAACTACAAAGCAAATATAAGATTGGTATTTAAGCATATTGATATCATGATGTTGGTTTGTAGAAGTGTGTGGTGAGGGAGCGATATTACGGGGTAGCAACCACGAAGACAAAAGGAGTTCAATGCTCTTGAAGTATTGACCGGCTTCTGGTCTAAAGCTTCGGGCTTATGCATGCCTTTTCTAAACCGGGAATTGGCTTCGGTTTTCCTGAGACACCGCACAGAAAAAGTCAGTCGAGGTATCCAGAATAGCTTTGGCTGTACGAAATTTCCAAGAGCACACAGTTCCAACAGAGTCTGCAACAACTAAAACGTGCCAAATCCGACATTTCTGTCCTCAGCACATATTCGTTGATTGAGATACCACACTTGACGAATCAAGACACTTTTGTATTTCAAGATGTGAAGGCCATACTGACAACTAGTCCACATGCTTGAAAAGCAACGTATCCATCTGGACGTGTTGAGAACAGAGACATAGTCTCTGGAAATAAGAAAGGAGTGGTTTGGTGGAAATTCGGTTTGAATGCCGAAAGCAAAAAAGGTCATCGGTTCGCTACGAGATGCCTTTGGACTGGACAAGTAGCTCTCTCACATCTGAATACTGTATCAGACTGACTCAAGTCGTGCCGCTTGAGTACCTAGTCCAAAATTGCTTGACCTACCAGACTTGTCAATCTAGTAGATGTTCAAATGGTGAGAAACAAACAGCAGTAAGAAACATATAGTAACACATACTTTCAATTTTTTGAATCCTGCTACTAGCGACACAATTAGGCGACACAGATGAATAGAACGTCAAGTTAGCTAATGGGGCTATAACGTTCAGTACTAGTGCTTCATCTTGTTGCAGCGATGGATCTAGAAGAGATTGTAAGTATATAGAGCAGAATGAGATATGCAAAAACATCTGAAAGACAGGGTTAATAGGAATATTGACAGCATCTTCCAACTCTACAGTCCCAGCACGTCTGAGCGACAGGATTGTCTCGAGACTCGCTGGCAGTCTAGCAAATTGAAATTTTGAATGGAGAGTTTGGAGTCATGCAAGGAAAGAATAACCGCCTCTCAATATCCTAAATGGAATCTTCGCTCCATCTTAAGATAACTTCCATCTCTCATCATCACAACTGTTTGATGCTTGTTGAGCTATCAAACAAGGTCATGATACCTGAACAGGAATCCGACAATCTTTCAACGTGTCTTGATGAATGTGTGCATGTCGCATTTTCAAGCACTTTTACAATGCTCACAAGGAGCTGGTATTGAGAAATTGAAATCAGTTTGATATCGATAAGGAGCAATAGCATTTTTTTTGTGCTGACATACCTCATGAGATTGAAACCTAACGACAATAATCCATAATGTTTGAGATTGTTAGGCGACACATTGCAAGTGTGTCCATATATGGAGCGTCGGTTGATGATTTTCCATGTCCAGATGACGGCGTTAAGTCGAGTGAGAAAAAAACAAGAAGAGAGTACCTTCATAACCTCCAAACTCGAGAAGCATGCGACATGATTTCATAACTTCGCATCGAAAGGATTCAGTATAGAGACCCTAGCTCGACAAACAGTGAGTACATCGATTCTGAGATCATTCGATGTGTCTCGTAACAATTTCAAACTGTTGCCAAGACCTGAATAACAGGAAAAGAAGACCGGTAGCCATATGGTACAGATTGTGGTTACCTGTGAGTTTGTTCCGACAATGTTGAATCAACAGTTTGAGGAGACATCAAAAGCATCCACTGTCTCTGCACCAGCATGTAATGATGAAGGGATTTATTTCGTCGATCACATACAACTAATGTAGAGGATCTATAGATTTCGACATAATGCGCCTTCCAGTTTTCGAATGTACGTATAATGTGTAGTTTGCTTCCATTTAGTCCACAAGACAGTTCCTCCAGACATATCATACACTTCCAACGTGTCATCTTGGGTTACTATTTGCCAACCGTCACCATATAAATTTAGAAATAATCTGATCGTAGTCCGAGCTCGAGCACTGGCAATGCCGTGAACAACCTCACGAGACAAATACCGGTAATAATAATTCAGGTATTGAAGCTTCCTCAATCGAGTAGCCATCATTTTGACAATACTGAGATCGGCACAACGTGGAAGTTCCAACTCGACGAGATCTGGGCAACTGTGTACTATAATATGCAAGTCGAATGACGCAGGATTTTCTGACGAGCCTCCCAGATTCAGAGTTTTGAGACGATGGCCATTATTATATACCAATTGGATTGTCAGTGGTGTATCGGCTGGTGCGTCTAGTGTATGGAGGGTTGGTATATCGTAATTATAGAGGGTTTGGGGGAATGACGTGCCTTTCAGTGATATACGACGTAGAGACGATGCATGGCGGTCAATGAGGTCTGCAATTATCTGATTGTCTGTTGTTGACAAGGATTTGAACTCCAAGTCTTCAAGACTGGCTTTTGCAGTAGTTGAAGCCAATGAAGTCAATGCGAGACTATTCACGAGTGAGATACCAGTGCAATCAAAAGAGAATTGCTTTAAATTTATATGATTGGATAGATCCCAGCAGCCGTTAGAGTACTACGGGTGGAGCAATTGCCCACCGCAAGAGCTGAATGTAAAGTATTTCAGGCTTTCAGTGCTCGACAAGTTGAGTGCCAATAGCATCGTCCTGACCATTTCAAAGTTCAGGCACGACGTGACCTCTGTCCGTTTCGTAAACCTTTCGACTTGCGTGTACTGCATTGTCTTAAGCATCGAGACTGTTGGTAATGTCTCAAAGATATCTATATCTAGTACACAGTTTGGATTCTTAGCTGTAAAAGACACCGCGACCTCGTTCCTCATTGATTCACTATGAGGCAATGCGTGATGACTAGAAGCAAGTTCCAAAGTCAACTTGTCCAAGTTCTTGGCATGCTTCAACACTCCAAGAAAGTAGCTCTTGACTTTAATTTGTCGAATACTCGAGACAGGCTCGATCCTCAGGAACTTACTATTAACGTATTAACGCGTATGTCAGTGGAGTCCCTACCACCAGTAGTCTAACCACTGGAAACTTGGAAACCGACGCGAACCTGGCTTGAGAGGACATCGCAACACACATGGTCTGTTCCAATCTGGCTTCAGACTAAATTTGAGCTGTATATGGTCTAGTTAAAGTCCGACACAGAGTCTGTTATCCCATCCGCAGCCAGACGTTTGCAAAGTGTGAGGCCAAGCAAGATTATAAAAGACGGTGTGGTGAATATCTGAACTTAAATTATCTATAACACAGCCGATGGAATTGCATCATTCAGCATGATGTATGCAGCTCTGAGGTCAATCAGGCATGTTGGAGAGTTCCGTGTTGTTCAGCAAATACAATATTTAAGCAACCCAGAAAGACAGCTATCATAGTGGTTTAATCCCTTGAAGTATCTGAATAAAGTTTGACGCTGGTGGTAGATTGATTGCGACGTCTGTTTTGTGTTGGAGTGATATAGCGAGTAAGTAAGGACCAAAACAACCAAAAAGGAGGAAAAGAAGAGTGTGTACCGTGAGCGATATCAAGCAACTCGACTAGCTTCTCATCCAAAGCATCAGAATCATGACATGCTCTAATGAATGATTTCGTTTCAGTTCAACCAAGATAGGACAAACCAACACATAGCTCAGAAAAAGCACGATCAAAATATGATCATCAATCGACCTGCATGAACTTTCGATACTTACAAATTCGATATGGCCTGTAGCACAACACATCCCAAACCCCAATCGTGAACCTCCAACACATTTTCGATCGCTTGAGACATGTACTCCCATATACAACCATCGTGAATCAAAATATTCCGTAACTCAAGATGTGAAGCCATATTCACTAGTGCTCCACATGCTTGGAAGGAAACATCACGATCTTGATGTGCCGATAAGAGGGATATGATTTCTGGAACTAGTGACAGTGATTGTGATACAATGACGCGAAAGAAGGGCAACATGGCAAAATTGGGATACCTTTGGAATCAGCAAGTAGTTCCCTCACATCTGAGAACTGTATTAGGTTTGCTACAATTCGTACTGCTTCTGTAACTAGTTCCAAGTTCGCGTGGACTAGATGATTTGGTAATTCTAAATGAAGAGAGTTCCCATGGTTAGCAAAAAAAACACCTAGCTAATGATCCTGAATATTGACGCCTACTTTCAATGATTCGAATCCTGTTACTAGTAACACAATTTGGCGACACAGATGAATAGAATGTCAAGTTTGCCAGTGCAGCTACGACATTAAGCAGCAGCTCTTCATCTTGTCGCTGCGATGGATCTGCAAAAGACTGTGATAAGCAATCATCCGCGGTGATTATATCATTGTTCTGTTCTGGGTGAACTTACTAAGTAGATTCACAAGATCTTCCAACTCTAGCATTCCCAGCATGTCTTGAGCTAGGGATTTGTCTAGAGACATGTTTGCAATTAATCGTACAAGCTAAAGATTTTGAATGAGGGGGCTTGAGTTGAGGACGATGTGAGAGAAAAAAACGCCCAAAGGTATTAGTATACCTTGACTAATATCTGCACTCCATCTTCAGACATCTGCCTTCTCTCATCACCAACACTACTCAATGCCTGTTGAGCAGACAAATCAAATAAGGCCACAATATCTGATAATGAATCCGATAATCGTTCAAAGTTTTGTGAGGAATGGATGCATGTCAGATTTCCAAGCACGTATAGGAGCCTCACGAGAAGTTGCTTTAGAGAAATGAAATCAGTGCGATTTAGACACGGTTGCCTGTCCCTCTGTTTTGCTAGCATACCTCATGAGATTGATACTTTACAACAATGCCCATAATGTTTGGTATTGTCATACGACACATCGTTAGTGCATCCATGCATGTAGCGTCGGTTGATAATTTGCTATATGTGCAGGATGAAAGTAGTTAATTCGAGTGAGCAAAAAATACCAAGCAGATTCCTTGACTACCTCAAAACTCGAGACGCATGCCACATGACTTCATCACTTTGAGAATACGGTAGATTCGCATCTAAAGTATCCAGTATAGGCACCATAGCTCGTGATTTGACAAATAGAGCGCAATTCGAAGCGTCTGTGACAATGTTTCGAAGTGTTGCCATGACCTAACCACCACAACAAACGAAAAAATAAGACGAAAAAATAATTTATGTGGACAACAATGATGACAAGAAACCACCGTACATTAGCAACCAAGTCCTTGTAGTCAAACGCATCCGAATTCTAGAGAAACAAATCTGTAAGGAAAGAAAACCAAGCATTGCGCATGGACATTCGATTACCTCGACACAGTTCCGCAAGACGTTTACAAGCAGCTCGACACCACCTTCCGATACAATAATGTCACGTCCAGTATCAGACAGCGCCAAACTCTTGAGAATGTGTATAGCTGTTTCTTGTACTTGTAACTGGTCAATGTCTTCTGATGGACACTGTGCTACCAATTCCATTACTGCCACTGTAAAGATAACGGAGGGTTGAGATACCAAACAAAAAGACCAAAGACCATGTGGTTACCTATACTACGTCTCGACGGCGTTGAATCAGCAGTTCCTACTAGATTCATAAGGTCCAAAGCCTGGCTTGCGATTGTATCAGATGAAGCAACCTAGAGTATCATGATGTTCAGCATCTTTCTTTGCCATTGCTTCGATATGTTTTTACAATATATTACCTTGATAGTTAACGCACACGCATCCCAAACCATGACCATATTCTCTTCGTTCCACGAGCCTTGCCTCCTATGCTGATCAAGTCCAATCATACTCCACATATGTAATTTTTCCACAACTTGTGTCCTCAATTCTTGTATTGAGGCGAGTGATGTGTCATCGTCGATTGGCTTCTTGAGCCAATGCATTTGTTCCAGCATGTCCCAAGCTTGATTCAGAGGGTTTTGCGGAAGGGATAGGACAGACATGAGATTAGACCATTCTGAAGATGGTGATGTCAATGTCTGTGCTGATGCAGTTCGTGAAGACCTTGTCGATGACTAGACAGTGAGTTGACATGAGTTGACGAGAGCAAAAAAGGTAGCAGAGACGAGTTGAATAGAAGTTGCTGTCTTTGACTGACGTACACGATCATCACTTTCAGCTCTTATTCTCCAATCATCGTGAGCTTTAGCGGTAGGTTCGTACTCATAATAGTCTGATGAATCCGGCGAGTTCCTTGACACGGATGTCTCACTTCTCAGATCCAAGTAATCGCGATACGTGGAGGAAGCCGGCAATAGATCTCTGGTCGGATCTGCAGCACGTAGTGGCCCTAACCGTCTTGGAGTAGTCGGCCTAGACAAGAAAGTGTGAGAACACATACTGATGCGAATGGCATTCCTAAACACCACTCACCGTGAGTAATCAGTAGGTGCTAGAGAAGGTGGGGAAGCCTTTTTCCGTGTAGCAGACACAGCCGGCACAGCAGGAGTGAATGGTCTAGTTGGTTTTTGGAGTGATGCTCTTGCTTCACTGATGATGTCGAGTACAGTATCCCTCTTTAGTGTCGGATTATAGCTGTTTGAGCGTACAGATCGTGTAGGGCTTGGCATAGAACGGCGATCCATATTGTCGATCTATTGGGTTTGATTGTGGATCAGATGTTGGTAGTAAGATTAAAAAATACCATTATTGAAAGTGATGAAGTAACGGTCAAGCGTGAATGCAAGACAGTGAATGATAGATTTGGTATCGTCGATTATGAATCATAACGAGTCTCCGGAGGTTGCGTACCTTACAAGGTGCCAGCTATGTCAGATTCCTGCAAAGACAATGTGATGATAATGAAAGTTGAGAGTGAACTCTGGACAGCACCAGAGCTGCGGGGGTAGAAGGATGATAGACTTGGTAAATTGTTGTTTAATGACGCGTCAGACACGTGTGCATACGTTGAAAGCAGCGTGGAATAGGTGGAATGGTGGGGTTGAATGAAACTCATGTTTTTGATATTAAAGTGCGTTTTGCTACCGGTTGAAGCTTCTGGGATAACAAGTGGTAAGAAATATTAGTATGAAACTGATCTCGCGGAAGCTGAGTCTCTTTAATCACGTTCTCACCGCTCCAAAGTGTTAACTCGCTCACTTTACAAGGTGCTATTTAGCTTTTTATTTTAGCAGGTTTCTCAAATGAGTTCATCAGAAATGGTTATGGTCGATGAGGAGATCGACGTCGACATCGACATTGATGATAGCACGCAGCTGTCTTTGGCTACCAGCTCTAGCTCTGTTGGCATCGCCGAAGCTCCCAAAATTGTAAAGAAGAGGAAGAGAGTAGTTGATACAAAAGCAAAGCAGAAGAAGAGACTCAAATCCGTCGTAGATACTGCTCAAATATCGCTAGGAGCTGTCGCCGTCCCTGCTCCATTACTGGCTTTTGAAGAATGGGTTTGTACATTGGGTGACATTTTGATCGACTGTGAGAAGCTGATTCCTTTTTGATCAATCTAGACTTGGAGCGGCCTATCAGATGGCATAGACGAGTCCTCAAAGTCACTGATAGAGTCATTGTTGGCTCAAGATCAGATGGATATAGCATCGTTGGACGATTCGCAGACTGTTCTACAAACACAGTCAAGGATAGAAGACTCGCCTACTCCCGAGCCAAAGAGCAGGAAGAGGTCTAACAAATCAGCTGGTGCCGGTGGTTCCAGCTCTACCAACTCGAATACACATAGTTCTAGGTGGACTGAGGAAGAAGACAACCTGTTAAAGTCTGCTATCGAAAAGCATGGGTTTGGAAGTTGGACGTTGATTGCTGATGTCGTCAAGACTCGTAGCCCGCTTCAAATCAAGAATCATGCCCGGCATTTAGCTTCTATTGGTGCCATTGAAGGGGCTAGCAATACTAGCAAAGGTGCTCCTGCTGCCACCAGCAAGATAAAGAAGAGTGAAACTATTGTAAATAATAGTAGTACGCCAACTCCAGCTCCAGATAATGTAAAAGTAGAAGCTAGCGGAGATGTCAAACCTCTACCCGTCATGACCGATAATACCATAGCCACCTTACCGCCGAAAGACCCGAGAATACCTGACGATGAAGACGACGAGATTGATATAGACCTAGAAGAATTTACAGAGCAGCCCCCGCCGATACCGCCATCGTTATCACAAACACTATCTTCAGTATCAGAACAATCGCCTGACGTCTCACATCTGACACGTCAACAAAGTGAAGTAGCCAGTTCTCGTAGATCTGTGACACCATCCACAGCTTCTGAACCTGATACTCCCGCATCCTCGTCAACATCGCACCACCACCACCATCACATCCCAAATAGTCAACCACAACCATTCCAACTAACACCCGACACACAAACCATCAACGCATTCGAATCAACATCGCTACCAGAATGGTTTCCTCCCTTCTCTCGTGGTCAAAAGACACCAGATAGATACATACGAGTACGGAGCAAGATCTTGTCGCTCTGGCAAGAAAGGTCGGATCGATACTTGACGAAGACGTTTGCACGAAGAGAACTTCGTAATGAAGGAGATGTCAATGCTATATCTCGTGTGCATGAATTCTTGGAAGTTAATGGCTGGATTAATATTGGTCTTGGTGGTGGTATGAAGCGAGACAAAAGGAGTGGTGAAGATGAGGATGTCGTTGAAGGGTGAGTGATGAAGTCTCTTATTATTTTTTGGCTGAGAATTAAACAGTTTTATGAATAATAGTGAGGAATCAACGTATAAATCAGGAAGGAGGAGGCGTGTTCGAAATGAAAAGGGAGAGTGGTACGTTTGAATGCTGGTCTATCATGAAGTCATGTCCAGGTACTGACAGGGTTTTTTTGGCTAGGGTTGATCCTGAAGACCTAGAAGGACGAACCATCCAAGAAGATGGCGGTGACGACCTTGATGACGATGATTCTTCGCCTAATGCAGAAGAACGTCGTTTGTTGGCGCGAAATGCTAGATACTTTGCCGATACTGAGATTGAGAAATGTAAGAGCTGCACAGTATCTTGTCGTCTTTCGTTTTTTTGCTATTAGTTCATCATAACCCACCTCTTCAACTTAGTCGATGCTAAACTCGCCACCCGATTACGAACAAAACACAACCACAACCACGAACTTGACCAATTCACATTAATCGCATTCAAGAATCCATCTGCACTACCACGCACATCTCCACAACATATATTTATATCAGCACCAGTACTCATGATCATGGATATACATGCACATTTAGCTCGTACCGAAATCATTGGTCTCCTCGGCGGCACTTTTGACTCAACCACAAAGACTCTGAATATTTCTAATGTCATTCCATGCAAGAGTGATAGTACCGACATTCAATGTGAGATGGATCCTATCTCAGAGCTGCATGCTAGAACGACTTTGGCTGCAAAGAATCTTGTAGTTGTTGGATGGTATCATTCACATCCTACTTTTGAGCCAAAGCCTTCTGTTCGTGATTTAGAGAATCAAGGAGCATACCAGGTGGGTTTGGTGGCAGATCCCAAAGCTGTACTTTTTGCATTCACTCGATGGACCTTCTTTTTGTTAACTGACATTTTCTTCGACTATAGACTTTATTTAGGCATGCTGATGGTAGTGAACCATTCATTGGCGCTATTGTTACTCCATTCCTCCTGTCGAATCCAAGTAATGTGTCCATTATACGTTGGATGGCTGTTGATGAAAGACCTCAGAATTCTACGTTTCGTAAGTACTTTGAGATATATTCCCTGGGAGATATCCAGATGAGACAATTGCGCAGCCTTTTTTCGCGAACTAACTACGATCTTTCTACGACTTTAGGATTGCCATTCCTATTGAATCCTACGACTACCACAACCACTAAAATCACGGAGGACGATGTGCTTAAAGTGAAAGGTCTCTTCAAGGATTATCGAGATCGTAGCGAGTAAGTTGCAAAACAACACCGTCATTTGGAGTATTTCGTTTTCTGTATATTTTTGCTCACCTTCAACCTTATATCATTCCAGCCACGTGGATTTGAATGCTCCATATCGCCAAACAGACATGGACGCTCTCACTACTGTTGGTACTTCGAAACTCGACAAACTCATGGAGTCTTGTGCTAGTCATTTTGGCGAAGATGCTGATGAGGAGGCTTTACGACGTGTTAGGGCATGTTTGGAAACTTGAACAGAAGTGTTTTGCAGTATTCAATTTCCTTTTTTGCGCATGCTTGTAGCAAAATCCATATACATTTGATATTGTTTAGAAGATAATAATAGACATACACTTTTCTTGAATCACGGACATCAGGCTCGAGATTTCACAGTGGAATTCGTTAGAGAAGAAGTTAATTTAGTAGTTGTTGAGTACCCACTGGACTTGTCCTTCGTCTTCCTGCGAAACAAAAGCCCCAGAAGACTGCAAGCTCATTCCCAAGTCCAGAGTTTCAAGGTATCAAGGAGATCACGCTACGCCCTCCACGCTATCCTCCGGAAACATCGGAATTGGGTCCACTATCTTCCTCTCAGCTCTTTTTGTAAATCCACTTCACTCTGCTTGGCTGAAGCTGTCAAACATACTGACAGGTGAAAGCTTCGTTTGTGAACGGTTCATAGTAGAATTTTAAAACAGTAATCGCCTTTTCATACTGTTTACTGATGCATCCTTTCTATTCGAATCTTATTAGCTCTCTTGTTGATGGACATCAAATATCAAACGCGGATATTGGGAAACTGCGCCTTTTCCAACTTGGGAGTTTATGATATTATGACGATTCTCTCAACGAAGGTATGCAGCATTAGGAGATGAATATCGGAGTTTTGGCCGCTACTTAATGCTGATTTGTTGCACGCTTTCTGCACCAACCGGCACCAAAAGCTACAACTGCAGTCAAAACATGGCCTTTTACTCACAACCACTAGTCAATTACTCACGCAGTACCTCTTCAATTTTATAGAAGTCTGGAAAGGAGCTTCTTTACCAGAACGATCCACCGACGTCCTTCCTTCTCAGGAGGAGGCACATATTACACACGCTCTCGGCCTACCACCTTCTTTGCTGTCGGGACAAGGCGAGTATTCCGTGTATGAATGACCTCCAGCGCATAAACGCCATCCCGCTGGATTGTTCGTTCTTGCTGTCTGCTGGCAGCAATGGGTTAAAAACGGCAGGTCTATCTGGTCGGGTAAGCCCTCTCAAGATACAGTGTAGCGAAAATGTCTCTGCTGTTGTTTTGTCATTCATCTTGATATGAGAATGGCCTCCTCACAAGTCTTGTGATTCTCCTTCGACCGTTGTCCTCGTAAAACACACTTGAGCTTGCGATTTTCAAAACTTCCATCATGCACACGACACAAAACCATTCATCTGGTCTAAACATGATTTCTATATAAACAAGAAAAACACAAACAACACATACTAACTAAAACAGATATTCCATCTTCAAGAAATCACTATTCTGCGACCTGACAATCTTGGACAGCACATCCGTTCCATGTGCCTTATCAGACTGCTTGACTGCTACCATGCTTCGGATACTGAAGACTCGTAGTGCATCGCCAATGCTTAGAGTTCCGATTGCCGAGTGCTATAACCCAAAAAAAGATCATTGAGGATGAGATTTCAGACATACAGAAGCTTTTGGTCATCACCTTGCGTCCAGTAAATGGGAATGCATCTGGTCCACGTTGACATTGAGTGTTGACGTTTACACGACAAACCTGGTCAAGAGCAAAGAAGAATCATCAATGAACGCCTCTCATCAAATCAAAACTCAATTTGGTTATTACTTGATCCACCAATTCATCAATGATTGCCTAAGAAACAACCAAATCAGTAATTCAATCGACTTCAAATATATGCTCGAAATCTCAACAACACTTACAGCAATAGCATCAGTATCCTGTCCAAAGATAGAAGCTTGTTGCCCGTAAGGAGAATTCGCCATGTAGTTGTACACTTCTTCCAATGAATCATATTCCACAATGGGAACTAGTCATGAAAGCAAGCTTATCAGTCTCATCTCTTGGCAAGGCAAAAATCTTGGACTAACATACGGCATGGATACTCACCGACAGGTCCAAACTGCTCATGATTCGCAATCTCACTATCCAGCGGCACATTATCCAACACCGTAGGAGCCACAAAAGTCCTATCAATCATGCCACCAAACTTGTTGGCAATCCTAGCTCTCTTCTCAATAGGTCGTTTATCCGAACAAGCCTCTTCAATCATCTCTTTGAGCCATTTAGGCTTATTTGGTTCAGGCAGTGGAGTTATTTGTGCTCCATCCCATGGTAGACCCATTTTCAACTTGTCGACGGCAGCAGAGAATTTGGTGACGAAGGCTTCGTGCACAGATTTATGGACGAATATGATTTTTAGGGCTGTGCAGCGCTGGCCGTTGAATGACAGGGATCCTGTGATGCATTCAGAGACGGTGAGGTCTAGGTCTGCGTCACCCATGATTATGGCAGGGTTTTTGGCCTACACAACATTGGAACAGGTCGGTTTGAAGGAGCGAACTTTTTTCGATACCACAAACGCTGTTACCTCGAGACCGAGACACAACTTGAGCTTGTTAAGATGCGGATGACTCTTGATGATATCAGCAGCAGCATCCGAAGTTCCAATGAACCCAAGACCGTCAATCATCCCACCCTTCATCAATGGGTGGAAGATGGTTCTTCCTGAACCTGAGTTTTCGAAAGTGCCAAAGCTGTTAGACGGAGAAAGAAACCTGCCTCTCAAATGGAATAACCTGCCTGTAACAACGTTCACCACACCCTTCGGAAAGCAGTCTCTGAATAACTCAAGAGTTGGCATGTGGCATATAGCTCCATATCTTGGCTGAGATATAAAGAAGAGTCAATACTCGAGCGCAGATTGTCCCATTGTTGACAGAGTTACCAGCTTCATAATCACAGCATTCCCCATCAAGATACCAGGTATCAAGGTGGTATATGTCTCATTCATAGGGTAGTTGAAAGGTCCAGAAGATAGGAGAACCTGGAGAGAATTCGTTATGGTCAGCAACGGGCGATATCATCTTCCGATCCTTGGAAAAAAAATTGTTGCTAAACGCACTCCAATAGGCCTTCGGCGGATCATGGCAGTCGTGCCTCCAATAGATTGGAATGTAGAGTCCTTATTTTCGAGATCCTTGAGGGCTTGGATGGTGTCCTTCATGTATTCTGGCGAGGACGAAATTTTGTCTGAGAAGGTTGTATACCATTCAGATGCTCTCAAAGCGACTTTTACCGATTGTACGATCTACTTCCTTGTAGGAACTATTTGTTGATTCCGATTAGAGCTTTCTCTGGTAAACAAGTGCACAACCGGCAAAGAAACTTACTCGGCCTTGTTCTTACAAATCTCCCACATAATCAAGTTGGCAATTTCATCCCTAGTGGAAACAACAGAATTAGCTTCAGTTACGCCAGAAAAAGACGCTTCGTAATACTGCACTGGATTCATGACACTTTTTTGGAGTTGCATACTGTACCTTTTAGACTTGAACCCTTCTAAAAACTTCTCGACCGCAGCTATACGACCTGCAGACGACATACGCGGCCAGTCACCACGTCCTCTTCCATATGCCGCTACTGCAGCCTACATAATCACATGTCAGTGTGCTGTCCACTTTTGGATCCAAACTTGGTCTCAACCCACCTGAACAGCAGACTCAGCTTCCGGCGCACCGAGCATTCCATACGTACCAATCTTGATACGAGCACCACCTTTATAGCATATGGGTGATTCGACCGCGAAGACCTACAGAAAGCACACACACACATGTCAATTGACAGCCCGATAAAAATCCTGTTAGATAGTGGAAGATTCTGCATACATCACCGCCCCAGATCTTGATCTCGCCATCAATCAAATACTTTGGTTCTCCAATATTTGGAACTGCGATGTTTGGATTTTTTGGATCGATGAATTCAGCATCGAAGAGGAAGCCGTCTGTTTGCACCGTCGTGTGCGGTTCTCGTGCTGGAGATCCGTCCCTATTTGACATACAAATGTTTTAGCTTGGATGTCATTCATGATAGACGCAACAAATGAATGATAAAAAGCATAGACTACCGTGTGAATGCTTGAGGAGGGAGCAAGAGAGGCATTTGTTGGCGTTCGGAATTGTATGGATGTTGAGTATGCTGCTTTGTCTGTTGAATGCTTGTTTTGTCTTGTCGCTGGTTGTGTCGTGGCGAGTCTGAATGATCGATAAAGAGTTAAGCACCTTCAAAAACGCGAAACGTTCTAACTGCATAATCCTTGTCGTGATTCTATACATTTCTATATTATATTATGTGGTGTTGGCAGGTTTCCGGGAATACCGATTATGTACGTGGTGTTCAAATATTAACGTGACTTTTATCAGAAACACGTCCTCTATTCATGATCCTCAACGTGATCATGAATGCTGCCGCTACAGCCATCGCACCCAAAGCAAAGAGGATTCCAGGCGGGTACGCAGATGTCAGTGTCGTTCCATTGTTAGCTTCAACAAAAGTCCCAGAAAAGAAGGATGGTAGCGATTGTCCGATATCCATGGCGTGTATACTACGCCGATGAGGAAGGATGTGAGGACGGCGCCAAACTTTATACCATTACGACTGGGAATAGACATAAGGAATTGACAAAAGTCTGGGACAAAAGCATCTGGATGGTTGCTAAAATAACCAATTGTTCAAGCTGACTCTGAAATCCACCAGAATCAAATCCATAAAACACGCTAAACTCCAGCAGAGATCGGGACGCCGTGTCATCCGGGATAACTGCCAATGTAGCAACAGCCGAAAGCGTCACCGTCGTAGCGAGTGCGTTACAAAGCCTACATAATCAGCACCAAGACCATTCACAACTCGTCCAATCGCGGTTCCGATGTTAAAGAGTGCTGTCATCAGCGCTGCTGCTGACGGGCCGAGTCCAAAAGTTCCTGCGCATTGAGACACGAAGACGATTGGTGGAAAGTATTCGAATGCGACTAATGTGTCAAAGGATTAGCAAAAAACCACAATAGCGCCATAATTGTGTTTCAAACAACACTCAAGGAAGAATCCACCAATGTTGATAACCATCATGGACGGGTCAAGTAACAGCTTGAAATCAATCTTGACACATCCAGGTGGATTACGTACTTGGCGAATCAGGACTGCAAATGCTAGTATTCCGGCACATATGAACAATGCTATACTGAATGTCTGCGAGAAAAGGAGTGGATGTTGATTGTAAATGACAAAAAAAGCTTATTCAAGTGATCAGATAAGAGCACGAGATGATCGGTAGCTCAAATAATAATTTGATGCTTTCAGACCACAATGGTAGTGTTGCATCCACCCATGACGGTCCATTAATCAGCCTCGCGTTAACAAAAAATCCATGAAATCCCTCCTATTGCAGATCCAGCTCCTACGAATCCAGTAGCTAGTGCCGTCCATTTCTTGAACTGACAAAGAATTGTGCTTGAGCTTTCACCAGAAATAGCACGATTGAAAGTTGATGATACGAGGTTACGGAGTAAATGTTGAGGAGGAAGCAACAAGCGACCAAATTCTAGCGATGATCTCAGAAACCAATGAGTTTGTAGTAAAGACCGTTAACGTTGAAAGAACCCCAACATGGCGAACTTCACCTTTGTAAGACGATGAGAAAATAGTGTGTGTACAGGACCTGTATATCAGAAAGCGGACAGTACCTTAGAAGTGACTCATTTGTCGCGTTTCCTGAAGTTGTGATAGAGTCTTTAGCCTTGGATGTTGGGTATCAAGCATCCCTTTCCAGCATCACCACTTCAGCTAGCTCACCTTCTCATAGTATTTTAAAGTAGTCACGGTCAGGTCGCCATCCATATTGCGTTTTCTTTCCTTCCTCCTCCTCCTCCTGCAGGAAAAAACACCTCTTGACAAGAGAGTCGCTCAAGTCCAGTACTTCCAGCTATTCAGAAGATCAAGCTACCACTAATTCCCCGATAATATTTCAACGGGGAGTACTGTCTTGCTTCTCGTCTCTTTTGGTAAGTACAAGGTGCTTCCTCTCAATTTCACTGCAAAAATATCGACGAAGGAAGCCGTCGTTGGTCACGGTTGCAAGTGAAATGACGTGCGGCGAATTGCTTTCATATGCTGTCTACTAACATATGATGTCTCTCCGAACTCTCTTAGCCTTTTTGTGGTGTATCTTCATCGAATCAATCTTGGCTGTTGGGAAACTGCGCCTTTACAACTCCAGGTCGCGCTAGTTGTTCCTTCTCAAGACAGAGGTAAGTGGACAGCTGTTTGAAGATGTCGGATTCGAGTTTCCAGCCGCTGAATGTTGTTACTGTGCTCCACAATTAAAAAACGGGCGATGTTTGCTAACACGCTCTTGCTCTTATAAACAGGTCTACTTCTGTTTGAGATTCCCGATGCTGGAAGCTTACTGGCCAGAGTCTACTTTTCTAACGGACTTTGCTGGACTCGGTATGTTGTCGTCAGCTCTGTAGTTATGTCTGTTTTCTGCACCACAACGCCATCATCAACCAAACTAATACAACATTACATTCACTGCTATAGGAAATGCCTACTGGAAAGGAGCTATTTCACAAGAAGGATCCAAACTCTCTTGCTTCTCGTGGAAAGGTATGGTTCCGTGACTTTCGTACTTTCTATTTAAACTGTTGGAAGAAAGCAAGGGTCTGCAAATCGAACGCATTCCTTCTTGAAAAATAGCTTTATATTCGTTTTCCGATATAGGGTCCACTCTCTTGGAAGGATTCAAGGACGTCGATGCTTCTTGGGAGGAGGCATATTACACACGCTCTAGGCTTACCAACTTCGTTGCTGTCGGGACAAAGCGAGTCTCTCGTGGCAAGAATGGTTTTCCAGCCCGCTTGCCGGCTGGTTATTCATTCTTGTTTGTCTGATGGCAGCAGAGGCTTAAAACGGCACGCGCTCCCTGCTGGGGTAAGCCCTCTCAAGATGCAGTGAAGAGAACCGTCTCTACTGTCTTTCTCGGGGGAGAGCAACCAGTGCAACCAAGAGCTCAATTTTTTTGGGTATTGGAAAAGAATTCAGTTCTTGCACAGTGTCCGATGATCTCCGACCATGGTGTGGTGGCCAGCGATCCCCAAGAAGCCATCGTCATTCAAGTATACCTGCTGTGTAAGTATTTAGCATAAAATAGTAGTTGTAGTAAGTAATCACGCCCTTTTCTCACTGCAGACCGAAAGTCTTGATCTCCAAATCCACCTGTTCAGGCGTATTTACGAGTAAGCCAACCGCGGCGACCACACCAACCTCTTCATGAAGCGTCTGTGTCACGAATTTGAAATCGTGTCCCGCACTCCCAGAGCCAAACTGTGTCAACGATAGCACGTTCAGGTCAAAGACAGCCTTTTCCGTCACAAGAAGTACAACAAAACATCAGTTCTGGGAGTGGCGTGGCGAGCGGCAGATTTGAGGCGAGCGATTTGGTTGGTTGAGATATCTATTCTTCTTCCCTTTGGACTATTGGAAGCAAAAGAAATTCCCAACAACGAGACTATCCCAAAACCGTGTCAGAAAGCCCATAAGGCACCTACAGACTCTATCGCAGCCTCTATTCTCCGATAGAAATTCTAGTCTGGTAATCGTTTTCGTTACACTACTGTCTGGTAAGTCCAAACATCTTGGTTATGATGTTTGTCAGAAAAGCCCGTTTCTAACGGTTGAAACTGGAATTTCAACCCAATAATCGCAGGTCCAGCTGCTATGAATCCAGTAGCTAGTGCCGTCCATTTCTTGAACTGACAAAGAATTGTGCTTGAGCTTCGCCAGAAATAGCACGATTGAAAGTTGATGATACGGAGCTTACGGAGTAGAAGTTGAGGAGGAAGCGACAAGCGACCAAATGCTAGCGAAGATCTAAGAAAACAATGAGTTTGTAGTAAAGACTTCTAGCGTTGAAATAACCCCAAGATGGTGTCTATTCAAATGCGAACTTCACCTTTGTAAGACGATGAGGGATTAGTGTTTACACGATCTGTATATCAGAAAGCGGATAGTAACTTAGAAGTGACTCATTTGTCGCGTTTCCCGAAATTGTGATAGAATCTTTAACCTTGGATGTCAAGCAAGCTTCTGTGTCTTGGCTTTTATTAAACTGAAAAGAAGAAAGCACATCTAAAGTACTACTACAACCCTCAAAACACGTCCCCCTTCCTCATGCTTGGATGTTGGGTATCAATGCAAGCTAAGCATTCCTTTCCAGCATCACCACTTCAGCTGGCTCGACTTCTGATAGTGTTTTAAAGTGGTCACGGTCAAGGTCAAGTCGCCATCCATATTGCGTTGTCTTTCCTTCCTCCTTCTCCTGCAGGAAAAAATACCACTCGATAAACTCTCTCAAGTCCAGTCCTTCCAGCTATTCAGAAGAACAATTTACCACCTTCACGAAATCCTCGATAATATTGCCATTGGGACTACTGTCTTGCTTATCGTCTCTTTTGGTGAGTACAAGGTGCTTCCTCTCAATTTCACTGCAAAAATATCGACGAAGGAAGCCGTCGTTGGTCACAGTTGCAAGTGAAATGTCGTGCGGTGAATTACTTTCGTATGCTGTCTACTAACATATGATGTCTCTCCGAACTCTCTTAGCCTTTTTGTGGTGTATCTTCATCGACATCAACCTTGGATGTAGGGAAACTGCGCCTTTACAACTCCACTCTATAAGGTCGCGCTAGTTGTTCCTTCTCAAGACAGAGGTAAGTGGGAATCTGTTTGAAGATGTTGGATTCGAGTTTCCCGCCGCTAAATGTTGTTACTGTGCTCCACAAGTAGAAAACAAGCGATGTTTGCTAACACGCTCTTGCTCTTATAAACAGGTCTACTTCTGTTTGAGATTCCCGATGCTGGAAGCTTACTGGCCAGAGTCTACTTTTCTAACGGACTTTGCTGGACTCGGTATGTTGTCATCAGCTCTGTAGTTATGTCTGTTTTCTGCACCACAACGCCATCATCAACCAAACTAATACAACATTACATTCACTGCTATAGGAAATGCCTACTGGAAAGGAGCTATTTCACAAGAAGGATCCAAACTCTCTCGCTTCTCGTGGAAAGGTATGGTTCCGTGACTTTCGTACTTTCTATTTAGACTGTTGGAAGAAAGCAAGGGTCTGCAAATCGTACGCATTCCTTCTTAAAAAATAACTTCATATTCGTTTTCCGATATAGGATCCACTCTCTTGGAAGGATTCAAGGACGTCGATGCTTCTTGGGAGGAGGCATATTACACACGCTCTAGGCTTACCAACTTCTTTGCTGTCGGGACAAAGCGAGTCTCTCGTGGCAAGAATGGTTTTCCAGCCCGCTTGCCGGCTGGTTATTCATTCTTGTTTGTCTGATGGCAGCAGAGGCTTAAAACCTCACGTTTACCTGCTGGGGGGAAGCCCTCTCAAGATGCAGTGAAGAGAACCGTCTCTACTGTCGTTCTCGGGGGAGAGCAGCCAGTGCAGCCAGATCTCAATGCTTTGGGAATTGGCAAAGGATTCAGTTCTTGCACAGTGTCCGACGATCTCCGACCATGGTGTGGTGGCCAGCGATCCCCAAGAAGCCGTCGTCATTCAAGTGTACCTGCTGTGTAAGTATTTAGCATAAAATAGTTTTTGTAGTAAATAACCATGGCCCTTTCGCACTACACACACAAAATCTTGATTTCCAGTCCATCTGTTCTGGCGTAATCAAGAGTAAGCGAACCACGGCGACCACCTCCTCAACAAGCGACCGTGTCAGGAATGCGAAATGGCTTCCTGCACTCCCAGAGCCAAACTGTGTAAAAGATAGCACATTTGAGGTCCAAAACAGCCTTTTCCATCACAAGAAGTACAAATAAAGTCAGTTCTCGGTGTGGCATGGCGAGCGGCGGATTTGAGGCCAGAGATTTGGTTGGTCGAGATGTCTTTTCTTCTTCTCTTTGCAATATTGGAAGGAAAAGAAATTCCCAACACCGAGACCATCTGAAAACCGTGTCAGAAAGCCCATAAGCCCCCCATAGACTCCATTGCAGCTTCAAATCTCACACAAAAAGTCCAATCTAGTATCAGTTTTTGTTGCACTACTGACTGGTAAGTCCAAACAGCCTGGTTATGATGTTCGTCAGAAAAGCCCCGTTTCTGAAGGTTCAAAGTGAAATCTTAACTCAATAAATGCTCGGCAATACCTTAAAGTAACGTATTCTAGCCGTTTCGTACTGTGTTACTGTCCAAGATGGAAGAAAGCAGCAACCTCACAGCATGCCCAGTAGCTCTGAAATGTAAGCTCAGGCGGAGGGAGGCAAAGATATAAAAACTCGTCTTAATTCAACACTTTTTGTAGTTGCTGACTATCTCAGGACGTCGGAAAAGCCAGACTATGCCTCCTGTGTTGACTCTGTTGCTGCTGATGACATTTTTGAAGCCATTCCAAATGCAGATCTTATACGGAGGAGACTACATTCCGCGATTGGAACCGGCTTGAAATCCAAACCAGATCATGCTGCATTGAAGGCGCTTGCTGCTGCTGATGAAGTATGTATAGAGCTTTTTTTTTTTTGTGTTTTTGTCGTTGAACCAAGAGGGAGAAGCACTGTTAGCAAGGGAGAAATGAAGACCAGCTGCTTAATCAAATTTGTTGAAACGATCGTTTAAAGATTTAAAATCACGATCCCTTTTTTTTCTCACACGCGAAAATTCTTGATTGTGAAACGGACGCAAAACATTATAACTGTCTCTGGAGTCCTTATCCCTTTCTCAGGACTCACCATACTTTGGTTAGGTCACTAAGTCTATTAATGGACAAGCCTGGGCTGGTGCTGCTGCTAGATTAAACGTGTTTTTGGCCAACCTTCCCAAATCATTGCTCTCGCCAACAACCAATCCCCCCTCTTCACATTCTGTAAATGAGTTCAATAAACGGACTAGATTACTAGATCTGGAATATCCTGAGTCAAAGTGCCCAAACACTGGCTACAACAATAGCAGTTCAAGCGACAATGATGGTCCTACTGCCAGCATCAACAGCAACAATAGTAGTGGTAATAGTGTTGCGATGTCTCCCGGATCTTCCCATTCAAACTCTCCGAACAATTATCTCCTCCAAGATGTTCCTAAAGAGAGGGACTTTTATTGGGTGCTAAAACTCAAGGACCAGGAAATCAAGTTGAAGGATGAGGCTCGGCAGCAGATGCAAATGATGCAGTCTGTCCATCAACATCACTCCAAGATGATGGCTGAGCAGGCGCAGCAGCATGCTGATATGATGGAGGTTGCAAACCAAAAGTGTCTGGATCTTATAGAGAAGATGAGGGTTATGGAGCTCGGCTTCCATCAAAGAGAGACAGAGCTTCAGGACCAGAAGCTGGCACTGGCTGCTGAAAAGACTGTCGTATCCCGAGACTACCACGCTCTCCAGGCAAGGCACTACCGTCTGCAACTCGATCACGCCCAGGAGATGCGAGAGCAAAAGGCTCAGAGTGGGGTCTCAGCTGCCAGATCCAAAGTCGGTAAGTAAACCTCTCTGATTTACCTGCTTGATTGTGTGTTTGTTGTGTTTGAAAGCCGACTCGTTAAGAGGATCAGCAAACTGACTGAAATTCTTTTCGTTTAGCCGTTGTTCTGGACCGAGTACGTGTCCGTCTCCACAAGACTCTACAGGAACTACCCGATACACAGGCTCTGGCAGCCTTCCTCAATTTGCACAACTGGCAATTTGATAGGGAACGGGCTCAAATTGCCCACCTCAGCGATGTCTACTATGGGCTAGGCCCAAACATTCTCATGTCAAATGGCAGAGGTGTCTTCAACTCCCTCTCAACTCGGTGCCACACCCTCGACACTCCAAATAACACCGACCTCGAAATCACCTCTTTCCGAAGTACGGAAGAGTATTGGTTTACGAGAGAACTGTGTAGAGCCTTTCATGTTGACTTCAAAGACCGTAAGTGTTCTGGTGACTGGTAGTTTAAGCTTCCCTTCAGTTTTTTTAATCAATCAATTGCTTTTAGCAATTGAGCGGATCGTAGCAGATCACACAAATGCAACGGCTTTTGCCATAAGAAACAATCTTCCATTGCCACCTCCCCTTCCTCATCTTGGTCCTGGTGCTGTTGGTAATGCTGGTGGTAATGCGGCTGCTGGAAACGCTGTGGGTGCTGGTGGTGCTGCTGGTGGTGCTGGTGTTATTGGAGGTTATGGTGGGCCTGGTGGCGCTAATGCAGCAAATCCTCCCGGAATAATCTACTAGGCTTAGTTTCCGACCTCTCAAGGTATGTATGGTATCCGTTTGTTGCAAAAGTGATTCAAAGACTTCACTAACACCATATTCAAACCTCCTGTTAGGTTAAGTACGCCGAAAAGTACAAAGACGTCCCCCAACATATAAGAAATCCCCCTCATCCGATCTCCCCTTTGTAAAAAATAAATCGACTTTGCATCCCTGTATCTTAAAACTTCTCGTTTGGTTTGGCTTCCATCGGTAACAAACACAGCAGGTTGGCCTCTTCTTAACTGACCTTTATGTAGACAGACTGCTACAAAGAGTGTTTTTATGTTCATAAAATTCACCTTTATGCGACATGGCTGACAATCCCGAGTCAGACATCCGTTCTATGGGCGTTACCAGACTGCTTGACCGCCACCATACTTCGGATGCTGACTCGTATTCGATAAAGTTCGACTTTTTTCCTGATACTCCAATAGGCCTTCGGCGTATCATAGCAGTCGTACCACCGATAGACTGGAAATCCGAGTCCTTGTTTTCAAGAGCTTTGAAGGTTAGAATCGTGTCCTTCATACATTCTGGCGAGGAAGTAAAAGACTGAGTAGTCCGTATGCCAGTCGTATGATTTCAGGCGACTTTTACCGATTGTAGGATCCACTTCCTTGTTTGAAATATCTATGACCTCGATTTATATTCACCACGATGAATGCCGAGCACTGACCAGCGAGGAACTTCTCGGCTTTATATTTGCAAATCCCCCAAATAGCAAAGTCGGCGATTTCATCTCTAGTGGGAAATAGTAGCATTAGCTTCAAAGTCGTCAAGAAGAGAGTGAGCATCCAACGTCAATGGAGAAAGGTTTTTCTGGAGTCCCAAATAGCATATGGTCGATTCGCGTGTAAAGACCTAAACGAAGACAGACACATGCAGACCACATCAGATATGCATTGATCGACAACTCAACTACTGTAATTTTAAAGTACATCACTACCCCAGATCTTGATCGCGCCAGCCACCAAATACTTTGATTCTCCAATGTTTGAAACCGCGATGTTTGGATTGTGAGATCAATGAATTCAGCATCGAAGAGGAAGCCGTCTGTTTGCACCGTCGTGTGTGGCTCTCGTGCTGGAGATCCGTCCCTAAATGGAATGGTTATCTTATACTAGCTTATATGTCATTGAAAACAAAGGACGCAACAAATGAAATTATAACGTACTTACCTTGTACGTGCTTGAGGACGTAGTAAGAGTTTGTAGTATTAGATTTGTGCGGATGCTGACCATCAAGTAACTTTGTCTACATGCATGTTTGTTCTCTCTTGTTCTTGGTAATGTCGTGACAAGTGTTGCGTCGCTACTAAGCCAAAAGACCTTGAAAAACGTGCGACACATTCTAAAAGCACAATTCTTGATTCTATACATTACTATGATATATTTTTTGATGTTAGGTATGCGAACAGGTGTCAGGCTTACATATTATGTAGAGTGGTATACAACTATTAACGTGACTTGTCCAAACACACGACCTCTATATAGGTTTCAGCAACTGTCTTGACTGCATGATCCTCAACGTGATCATAAACGCTGCAGCAACAGCCATTGCACCTCCTGCAAAGAGGATTCCAGGCAGGTACGCAGATGTCAGTGTCGTCCCACCGTGAGCTTCAACAATTGTTCCAAAAATGAAGGATGAGAGCAATTGTCCGAATATCCATGGCGTGTATACTACGCCGATGAGGAAGGATGCGCGTACAGCGCCGAATTTTTGCACTATCACTACTGGGAATAGACCTAAGGAATTGACAAAGTTAGCGAAACGAGCACCTGGATAGTTGCTGGTATAACCAATTGTTCAAACTTACTCTGAAATCCACCAGAAGCAAATCCATAAAACATGCTAAACCCCAGCAGAGATCCAAACGCTGTGGCATTCGGCATGACGGCCAATATGGCAACAGCCGAAAGAGTCACCGTCGTAGCAAGCGCATTAAAACACCCTACATAATCAGCACCAAGACCATTCACGACTCGTCCAATCGCGCTTCCGATATTGAACAGGCCTGTTATCAGAGCCGCTGATGACGGGTCGAGGCCAAAACTTCCGGCGTACTGAGACATGAAGAATATTGGGGGAAAGTATCCGAATGCGACTATTGATTCAGCGGATTAGCAAAGAAAACGCAGCGCAATTCTGGATTTTTTCAAGAAAGTGCTCACGGAAGAATCCACCAATGTTGATAACCATCATGGACGGATCCAGTAACAGCTTGAAATCAATCTTGACACGACCAGGTGGATTCCGCACTCGAAGAATCAGGACTGCGAAAGCGAATATTCCAGCACATATGAAGGATGCTATTCTGAATGTCTATTAAAAAGGAGTTTTTGTCGGTTGAGAAAAATAGGAATCTTTATACTGGAGTAAGACAACAAGAGGGCAGGTTTGTTGCAAATCACAATTTGATACATCCAAACCACAATAATATAGTTGCATCGCCCACTCACCCATGACGGTCCAAGTGCATCAATCAGCCTCGCATTAATCAAACTCCATGAAAACCCTCCTATTCCAGATCCAGCTGCTACAAATCCAGTAGCTAGAGCTCTCCATTTCTTGAACTAAAGAATAATACGTAAGTTTCCACAATTTTTTTGGGTCTAACCTTGCACTCACCCACTGCGGCACCAAACTCAATGCAGGCACAAAACACAACGAGCACCCCAGCCCGCACAGCACACCCACACTCAATATCAAATGCCACAACTGTGTGGCAAAGCTAGCGAGAAACAGTCCTAGCGTGTAAACCACACATCCCAGCAATATAGTTCTGCGATGCCCTATTATTGCGGCAAGTTGGCCGATGGGTGCACCAGCTATGAGTGCCATAGTGATGTTGGTCGTGCCGACGAAACTTAGCGAGCTGGTGGAAAAGGGTTGTGTAAGTCACACGTCATCAGCCTTGTTACAGAGATGGTAGTTGGTACCTTGATGATGCAAAATTGACGCTTGCATACTGTCTTTGGAAGACTCCCCAGCTGAACTAATGAGAGGTAAACATGTAAGTTGTGCTTCAAGCAGTTCAAACCATGGTTTTGACATTCCAACAAGATCATTCAACCATCAGGCACCAAACCACTCCAAAGCACTTCCAGATCTCATTTCCAAAGTAAACAAGTCTCAACAAGCACATTGCCGTTTCCTGATCTCTCCAACACATCCTGAAACCCACAATGCAAACCAACTGCAAATGTTACTTACAATAAACCCCCAGCTACAGAAATGCAGCAGGAAGCCAGCAAAGGCAACCACAAGCGCATACCCACGATCCACATCTTTTTCGTATTTGGGAGGTGGTTCGCCCGAATCTACAATTTGTAATGATTCAATGTTTAAAGGTGGGCCTTCCTCGATGATCAGCTTTGATGGATCCATGGAATTGGACTTTATAGAGGTCATTGGGACGGGATCAGGTGTAGTAGAGTTCATGCCATTCAGAGCCGCCATGTTGTGGCCCTCTCCGTTATACTCAGTTCAGTGGAAATGGAGTTTGAGGCAGCTTAAAAAAAGTGATTTGTCACACTCATCAGAAACCCCAGCAGAACAACCGACCGTGGTTGAATTTGTGGTGAATCACGTCCAAAACACGTCAAATCAGATTATACTTCGGGGTATTCTATTATATTTTCCTAAATGCCTTAATGCCTTGGTATAATAATGCTTTGCAGGGTATACATGTTTGTTATGTTCTTCTAAATGGTTTACGTGTACTTGTCAATGACCGCACGCATCGCCTTTGCACTCGACTCGAGCAATGCACCCTCGTCTGCAGACAAGGGTGGTAAGAGTGTGCGTATCAAACCTAAAGAAGAGTAACGTGTGTGTGTTTGAGACGTGTTTGGCGAAAAAAGCGTGGCTCTTTTTACCTCTGCGACCGAGAACTGCTGGAGCAGAAAGGCAGACATCTAGCCCTGGTAGTAAGTGCGAGACTGGTCGTACTAATAGGTTGGAGAAGGACAATAAATACATGATATGTTCTTTTTTGGCATCGAAACTTTGACGACGAGATCACCATGCAATTACCTTGTCTGGTATCAAAAAGACAAGATTCAGCAATGGATGCAGCTACTCCTCCAATTCCGTAATAGGTGCTTCCTTTTGCTTCAATAATCTAGAAGGACAAAATTACCAACATCAATCAAACAATGCACCAAAAACAGTAACCACAGAACTACTTATGGCTGAGCCCTAACCTTATAAGCCTTGTTCTTGACATCAGCAGCAAGCTTGACTCGATCAACAGTCTGCATCTCTGGGAAGGATAGCAAAGGAGTGTTGCCAACAGTAGCTGTGCTCCATCCAACGAATTGAGAATCACCTGTTTTCGTGCGAGAGAGAGCCGAAAAGTCAACATCATTGACAGCAATATAATGAGCTGATGCTTGAAGATCTTACCATGTTCACCCATAACATAAGCATGGATAGCTACGGCAACCAAAGAAGCCACATGTAAGGTTTTGGTATTGGAAATGAACGTCCACAATCATCACACAACACACATACCAGTTTCAGAAACCTTGAGAATATTGGACAAACTGCTTCGCAACCTCGAACTATCCAACATGGTTCCAGATCCCAAGATCTGAGAAGGTGGAAGCTGAGAAATCTTTTGAGCGACATAGGTCAATACGTCACAAGGGTTTGCGACGATAATGACGATCGTGTGTGGATTCATGGGCGACATTTCTTGGAAGACGCTTCGGAGGATTGCGTGATTTCTGTCAATCTAGTTGTTTGACAGGTGTAAGAACAAAAAAAGAACATCAAAGCTTGTATGCTGCTCCAAGGCAGTCAATAGCACATACCAATTCGACTCTAGTTTCACCAGGCCTCTGTTTTGCACCAGCAGTGATGATGACAATGTCACATTGTCCAGCTTCCTTGAATGTCCCGACCTAACGCTCGAGAATTAGATAAAGCTTTGATACTCCAAGAATCAGTAGACCGACCTTGATTTTGGATTCAGATACGAATGCCGAATCTTGTAAATCGAGCACCTCAGCTTCACATCGTGCAGCATCAATGTCCACCAGCAAGAGGAGAGGTGCGACGCGTCGTAAGATGCATGCGTATGCACACTATAGTTGAATAAAGATAGAAGTATAAGTATCGAAGGTTCGACTCGTGTTTGAAATTTAAATCTCCCAAAGCAGCAATGTTGATGATGGTGGACAAGGAACTATTAAGTTCAATCGAACATGACGACCATAGTTGAACGTACAGTGGATCCAACACTTCCTATTAGTAGTCAAAGGGACGGAAATTGAATAAACATCAAATTTTCCAACACTTTCAAGTATTTAACTTGCCTGCTCCGATTATAGCGATTTTGTGCTTTCCATAGAGACCAACGTCTTGAGGCTCTGGAGATGATGATGCCATTTCTATATGATGTTCTTGAAGAGATTATTGAGAACGTCTAACTGATTGTGCTGGCTTGATTCTTGATCGTGGTGGTGATTGTGACTCACTGACTCATACATCGATGGCAAGGTGTAGAGAGATTCGCGTTTCCGAGGTACGGTCTTACGTGTATTTATGTGCTGATGCTACGTTACATTTTTATAGTGCCCTTGATGTCGTTGTGGTTGTGTGAGAAACACGCTGTTGTGTCCTTTGCAAGTCTGCTGGTGGACTTTCGTGATTTCTAGCTGTAGGAATGCAGTTTTCACTCTAAGTCATGTTTAAATATGTACATGCGCGTTTGCATCGAGGATTTGTCGTACACAGGTCTAGAAGAACGGCAAGAACAATTTCACGTGATTATGACAATACTTCAAAACCAAGTTGTCGTCGTATCGAGAGGGAGTTGATCTAGTTCACAAAACGATTTATCAAACGTCAAGCCTATAAGAAACTAACTTGTAAACGGCCAACAAAAAACTGCTTAGACGTCACAATTGTTGACGGGAAGCCGTTCACCCAACACCTGCTACCAAAGACAACAGATGGATTACCTGGCCAAACCTTTCATCATAACCTTAACCATGTATACTCAGTCTTCAACAGCTGACACAACGTTCCCAGCCGTCCTTCGAATCGTAGAAACAAATCCAGATCGCTTTCGAAATAGCATCCGATACTGATCGGATTGGTGCTACAGCTACTGTTGGAAACGTAGCTTTCATGAATAAATGTGGGGTCTTGCAATCTCACATCTTCTATACGAGCTGGGTATCTAGGGGTGATACTTGGCCAGTTTTTGTTGTTGTTGGCGAACAACAGAAAATACCTCGACGTCTATTCAGACTACTGGATCCAAACGAGCTCAAGACAGTGTGCAATTAAGGTGTATGGGAATGGTGCGAGGTGTCCACCTTGTAAAGTTGAAAAGAAGAGGTTGTTAGGATGCAGTGACAATGGCACAAAAAACAAACCTTCAACAGCTAGTATCAATCAACAGTGGTCTTTTCATTACCATACTTCGAGATTCACATTCTGAATTGAAGTTCTATACCTGTTTCATAAAAGGCACTCGAATTGAAAACAAGCCAAAAAGAGAGCATACGAATGTCCCAGCATAATGCTCACTCGTGTAGCCAAAACAGCTTGCAACTCATTTTCTGGTCTGTAGCTTTACATCTCGTTTAGGTTGCGTCGTGTAAGTGCTTTCACGTTGTCTTCCTTTAACACACATGAGCGGAGACGACACCTATATAACAAGAAATTATCAACGTTCTTTTTTGTTTCTGCAAAAGCCGTCAAAGATTACGCACATTCAAAGGTATGAGCAACAGGGAAGATCCAGATCCAGAATGAATTTCCAAGCAAGATAAAAGCTGGGGACTTAAGAATATTTTTAAAGAAAAAAGATATACGATTAAGCATTCACTCTTAGCTGGGACTATCTGTTTGTGCGATGTAGTGGTCGTTAAGTGAGGGGTTGATCAAACCTAGAGCGTTTCAGGTGTTTATTAATTATACAGAAAACAAACCGTTGGATGGTAATGTTTTACATGTTCGTTGGTAAAGGGTCAAACTCTTCACTTTGGAAGCAACAGCACAATTTTGGCTCGAGAAGCACCAAATCGAAAGAAAGAAACAGCGTTTCCATCAGAACAATTGACAGGACATTTCCGACCATCAGCGGGGAAGGATTACCCTTGACATCATTTCCTATACCTCCAGATAATACGAGTTTCAGTCTCATAGGTTGATTTGTCACAAGAAGTGATGCCTTATAATGAGAGAATGTGGAGGTGTCGAGCCATTTGAGCAATGTACATCAGTTAGTGCTTTTTTGCCTTTAATTTCAACTCTCGAGCCTAACATCAGACTGCTGCTGTGAGATACGTGTCATATGATTGCTTTATTCCAGAAAAACATTAAGAAGAAAGTTTAATACCACCAACTGTGTCTCAGGATTAAATCGACACAGTTCCTCTATAAAGCCCCAGGCGAAAATCTAAAAGTTAAATAATTTACTTGACCAAATCCTTCACGGCCTCTACCCAGTCTTCAACAACTGGCATAACATCCTCAACAGTCTTTCTAACAGCATCGACAGCATCTAGGACAAAGTCGATTTCGAGATAATATCCAATAGTAGTCAAGACTGCGGCTGCTGCTACTGTACGGACGGTAGCTTTCATGAGAGGGCGGGGAGGTGTGTAGTCGGGGATTTTCTATAAAGTTGGATATGGCTGTTGAGTCGAAGGGCTATTTGTTGTTGTTGGCTGAACGTACCTCAACATCATATTCAGACCACTTGACCCAGGCAAGTTCAAGCCATTGCATCATCGAGTTGTGTGGGTATAGGGCGAAGTTACCACCTTTGAAATTAAACAATTATTCATTGAGACAATTGTCAAAAAATAGCTGTAATTTCATCATCAGAATACCTTCATTCTTTCCGTTTCGGTACCACGAGTTACATCCTGGGTTTGAATTCCATACCTTTTAATTTCAAAGGTCACATAAGTTACGAAGAACAACGAAAAAAGCAAGAGGAAAAAGTGTTCCATTACTCACTCGAGTAGCCAAAACAGTTTGCAACTCCTTTTGGTACTTTTCTTGCACATCTCGTTTAGGTTGCATTGTGTGAATACCTTTACGTTGCATTCCCTTTATCGATTCACACATGAAGTGGACAGCACCTAAATACAAACGAAGCGTTATTACCGGGAAATGCCTGATTTTCTGCGGTTTACAACATTGTTCAGAAATACACACATTCAATACTGTGAATAGCAGAAAACGATCCTGATCCAGAGTTAGGTCCAAGAGCTAAGAAAAAGTTAGGAAACTGAAGAATAAGATGTTAGTAAGAAAAGGGAAGATACATTTCAATCTAATGTTACTCACTCCAGTAACCATCACAGTACGATGCGTTACGGGACCGTCAGCCCACGCATCCACAAGAGAATGTCCGTATGCTCTCATAGGCACAGGTGGTCGTTGTCCACTAAATCCTGTCTCGAAACCCGTAGCGCAGATTATAGCATCAAATGTTCGTTTGGTTGTTGATGAGCCATCCCTAAACGAGAATACAACAATTAAATTCACAATTTCAGGCACTATGAAAGACAGGAAGAAGCAAAAACGATGGTCAATGTTAGTTTGCAACAACACTCACTTGGGCTCCTTTGTAACAATACCATCTCCCTCAACATGATCAATGCCAGCATCACACAACTCTACATTCGGTCTCTGCACATCCTGCAAATAAGAGGTCGTAGGCAAAATCCTCTTGCACCCCACATCATAGTTGGGCGTCATCTTTGCACGTAACTTGTCATCTTTAATTTGCTGCTTGTACCAAGCTTTAAGCATTTTCTTGGCTCGTGCTTGCGCAGCACTGTTGCGATACATTAGCGGGAAGAAGAGCAGGTCGCTAACAAGGAACCCAAAGTTTCGGAGAGTGCACATTACTCCTGGTACGTATCGGAAAACCCATTTGGCTGTTGCGCTGTAGTGGTCGTTTATGCGGGGAGCAATCCAGCCTGGTGTCTATAGGAAAACCTAGGTTTAGAATTCAAGGGAAAAAAGCGCCAACCAAATCGCAACGATACGTACACGTTGGTAAATAGTCAAGGTCTTAACTTTAGGAGCAATAGCCTGCACTATTTGCACACCAGAAGCACCAGATCCAATCACAGCAACGTCTTGTCCGTCAGTACAGTTAACAGGCTTGTTCCAACGAGCACTGTGTAGGAGAGTACCCTTGAAATCATGTAAGCCTTTAATGTCTGGCCAGTTTGGGTAGACGAGACCTCCAGCACCAGATAGCACGATTTCGGCTTCGTATGTTGATTTCGCGCCAGTATTTACATCTTCCAGTGAGATGACGTAGAGGTGTCGAACTATTCGGATGGTATTAATCAGAGCCTTTCGGTTTATTTTGCCTTCTATTAGCAGCTAAAGGACTGCTTACCTGGATCCCAATCAGCTCCAAGGACCTTGGTATTATATTGAATGTACTTGTGAAGATCGTGTTTGGTGCACTACATTACATTGTTGTGACGATGGTTAACAGTGGTGAAATCGCTTAACGGAAGAGTTTCACCCAAGACAAACTCACCACATGATCCAAATAAGCCCAGATCTCAGCACTTGGCGAGTAGATCTCACTCCAGTCTGGATTCAGCTCAAAACTGAAACTGTACATATGGGAAGCGACATCGCACGCTATGGAATCATACAAGTTTGTTAGACACAGGTGTATGGATCAAGCCGATCGCTTGTAAATCAGTTGCATTCAAGACATACCAGCTCCAGGATAGACATTATCTCTCCACGTTCCTCCCAGCCTAGGAGCCATTTCGAAAGCACGGTATGACTCAATGTCGCAAGACTTGAGCTTATATGCTGCACATATTCCCGAGATTCCTCCACCGATACATGCCACACGGGGTCGGTATACGCCTGAAGAACTCATTTTGATCAAGATCTAAGTGCAAAGATACAGTCAGCAACATGTTTGTTGGTGAATGTTTTCCAATCATCACGAGCGGTCGCTCATTGAGACATGAATGGAATGCATAAGAACAGGTTAGATTACTAGATACTTACCTTCTCGTCTCTCGCCGATACTTGAGCTCTGCTCACAATTCCAGGTCTCGATTTTCAAGCTTTTTCAAGGACAATAATTCATCCACGGTTTGTGCACAAAGGTTGAAATCGGAGTTTGGGGACTCGAGTAGGTTTGCAGGGGATCTCGATGCGATAACAATCTGTCCGAACTACGGTATCAGAGTCAGAGCAGCAGGTATCGCTCAAAGGGTCTGAAAATCACGGTTTAGACTGGAGAGCCAATGCAATCAAGGATTGGTAATCTGAGTTATCCAGCTAGTCAACGATACACGTTCGTTATGGAATTCTATTCATTAATTCCACATGCATGGTTTGGATTCTTACTCTCATAACAATTCAGTGTCGTCACTGCAGCAGCAATGGCCAACCCAAAGCAGTTTTGCAGTTTTGGCAAAGAATCTGCTTTCCAGCCTCCCATATTCGACATAATAAATTTGAGTTTTGATTACTAGATTCGATGTTACGGACCATCATTCATAAGTAATATTGTTTGCTGGCTGTCAAAAGTCTCGGACAATCACAGGGACGCAATTGGAATTTTCACACTTTGCGAAGCATTGTTCAGAGCATCTTTACCTTAATTGCATACGTCGTTCAGTACTTGTGGCGCTATAGCAGCTTCTGTATAATCAGACAACCAGGTTTGCTTGAAGTTGACATTGTTACAATTGCTGTTGCAAATTAGACTGTTTGCAGATGTGTATGGGTCATCGTTTCATGCTTTCTCATAAAAGTCCAAAGTGATTAATAAAATGGCACCATTACTTTGTAATATAAATCGTCTACCGAAGAACATGAAGGATTTGAATCACTACGACCACTGAGACTATAACTCTAAAATGATTGATACAAACATGTTCTTCGAAGAAATCTCGCATAAGAAACTAGCAGCGTCATGTGACTACACTCTTGATTGACTCAGCTGCATTCTTTTGCAAGGTACCAACAACTTCAACCACAAAGTCTACGTTCATGTAGTATCCGACGCTGGTCAGCAAAGCAGTAGCAGCCACTGCTGATACAGCAGTACAGCAGCATTGATAATAAGAAGCGAAGGGTGGTGATTTGGAATTTTTCTGCGAGATGATGAGCGGGTGGTCGAAGACTTGTTTTGTTGTTCAAACAACCACTTTTACTCGATATCATATTCAGACCACCTGATCCAAGCAATCCCCCACCATTGATTAGTTGCTCTCTGAGGATTCAGAGTAAAGTTCTCGCCTAAGAAGTTGAACAAAGTTCTTTCAAACTGGAGACTACAAAACACTACCAAACTGTAACACACCATCGTTCTTGCCATTGCGGTACCATGAGTCACACCCCGGATCAGAATTCCATACCTGTGTATGGGAAAAGAACATCGAGTTAAATCCACGAGAAAAACACAAACAGAGGTAAAACGGAACAAAAGCTCACTCGAGTAGCCCAAACTTTATATAAATTCTTTTCATATTCTTCTTGGCGGTGGTTTCTTCTTCACTCCGTGCAGGAATCCAGTGCAACCAATACAAGCTACTCGTGGCTTGAAGAGCTTGAAAGGTGTCATTTTCACGAAAGATGAGAATGTATGAAGCCAAAAATAGGCAGTAAGCATTGTGCGCGAGGCTGAAATTGCCGACTAGCACTGTAGCAGGCATGATTGACTCCAAATCCTCCTCCTGAAGCTTCGTTTGTTATTGTGAAAAAGGAGAACAATGGTCCTGATTATGTTCAATGTGAAACAGACGACTTTTCGAACTTACCTCAACATCATATTCAGACCATTTAACCCATGCAAGTTCAATCCATTGCATGGTAGCATTGTATGGGTAGAGTGAAAAGTTCTTGCCTTCAAAATCAAAAAAGCGTGTTTGAGAAAGAGGCGATACCACAAAATCCCGACTCGGTCCTCATAGTAAAAATCTTGGACCAAATGCTCACCATCGTTCTGCCCATTACGGTACCAGGAGTTACATCCCGGCTGAGAGTTCGGCTGCTTCCATCGAGCACTGTGTATGAGAGTGCCCTTGGAACCATCCAGCCCTTTAATATCTGGCCATTTAGGATTCACGAGAGCTCCGGCACCAGAGAGGAGGATTTCGGCTTCATAGGTTGACTTGGCTTTGGTTATTGCGTCTTCCAGGCCGATGACGTAGAGGTGGCGAACTAGGTGCAAAAAAACGTCGATTCAGAGCGAGCATTGTCATGACTTTCATCAACAATTGGATACTTTGACAGTTTGTAGTGCATACCTGGATCCCATTCAGTACCGGTAGCGAGAGTCTTGTACTGGATGTAATTGTGCAAATCGTGTTTCTTTGCCTATGAAAGGTGACCAAGCTTAATTACGGTGTTTGAACGATGACCAGTAAAAACGCATCCTTACAGCATTATCGAGGTAGGTCCAGATTTCAGAAGATGGTGAGAATGTTTTACTTCCATTCGGATTAAGCTCCAAACTGAAACTGTATGCTTGCGAGGCCACGTCACAAGCTGTTGTTCATCATCGACAAAAAACCGGCCAAGGAAATGAGATCACTCAGGCTTCTCAGATGAATTCAATAACAGGACGATAAATCAAATATCATACCAGCACCAGGATAGACACTATCTCGCCACGTGCCTCCAAGTTTGGGAGCAAGTTCAAAAGCTCTGAATGAAGCAATGTCCAAACTTTTGAAAGCAGGCAATTCCCGAGATCCCTCCACCGACACAAGCGACACGCGGTCTGTATGTTGAAGACATTTCGGATGTGTTTACTAGTTGGAATCTATCAAATGTGCCGAAGCGTGAGCGAAACATTGTTGAGTTGAAATGCTGCAAGCAATCTGAAAGTTGGCAGCTGTTGGTGTACATGATTCGCAGAATGTAAAGATGGTAAATGAGCGTGTGGACCTTACCTTGCAATCTTATTAGTCGGTTTGTTTGACGATGGGGGGTTTTGCAATGCGTCGATTCGCTGATGGTGGAATCAGTTGTAGCCTCCCTCGTATCATCTCAGACGTGTGTGCGGATGAAATATCGGAAAGCCAGAAAGTGCGCCTAAAAGTTGTCACTGTGTCAATGTGTCCAGGCGATCCATTGCAAGATATCGAATTTCTCAAAATGCCATATCTTGCGTCATGCATTCCGTTTGGACGGGTTATAACTTGATGCCATCTTCAAGCAATGTAGGTTTCGTTGACAGATTCTTTCAGTCCTTATATACAAGAAATGCGTCAATCGATCGTCCAGAGTTTGCTGGTTTCATAACTTATCGCACTATCTCTTAGTCACGGGAGTTACAGCATAGTAACTTCTGGCTGATCAAAGAAGTGTCTGTATTAGAGACTAGACGTTACAACCTCGGGCGGCGTTCGAAAACGTGAAACGGTAGGTAAGTACTGGCCGCAGTTGCTGTGCGAGTGATTTGGTACAGATCTAGATAGATCCACATCGCAAAACCATTGATTCAACATAAATATTCCACTGTAACGGCATAATAGCACTGTTATGGTGGCGAAAAACAAAGCTCTCAAGTATGCGAATACTGGTTCCGTGACTCATATACAATTGTGACAAAGGGCAAACTTACAGCTACAACTGGGTGCTCCATTTGCAAGCACACGAATAAGCTGTCATTTCCCTATCAATCCTTGTTGTCGTTGTCCCTCGCGACGGCATTCCTTTTTTCGAACTTTCGTTTTGTCCAAAGCAAGTTTTCGGAGCCTAGTAGATTACATACAAAAGCAGAGATCCGAGTTGGCCACAACTATGGTGACCAAGCAATCGATGATGTTATGGCGGTCCGTCGCTATAGCTCTCTGTATCTCTCTTGCAAATGCCCAATCATCTGCCATAGCTTTGAGCAGGCACTCCATGACTCTGCTACCTGACGGAAAGACGGTACTTGTCGTAGGTAATGTACCCAAATATGATCACTACCACCGGAGTGGTTTCCTTGTTCTGTACATAGCTTCCGTTTGCTACATTAAAGAATGCTACATTGACAAAACATACCGCAACACATAAGCCTTACTTACTCTACTCACACAAACAATCAGGTGGATTCAGCTACTCAACTGCCACCTCTGCTTTCGTCCGCTCTGGTGCCTCCTATCTCCTGGATCTCGGATCGCTGCAGTGGTCCACAACTGCAAACAGCCCCCCTGTAGAAGCTATATCTCCCGTCTTTCCAAACTCGACATTCTCCTCCTACCTACATGGCGCAACACTATCTGCTGCTGGCGATCGAGTCTGGGCATTCTCATCAAAGTTCTTTGGCTACTATGATATTGCATCAAAGTTGTGGAATGATGCTACAAATGCTGATTTGGCAAACTATCCTAAACCTACCGCTGGAGGTGCTCCTGTTCTTGGGCCTGCTATTGCTGAGGGGTTCAATAAGACTATTAGTGTGCTTGGTATGAGGAGTTTAACTCAATTCACGATCTGTTAACGGAGATTTTTTGCTCACACTCTCATCCAAAAAGGGTTGGCCGTGGATCAAACTCAAGGTGCTGCTAACGCTGGACGACAACCAGTGTTTTATGGATTGGATACTACAGCTGGTGGATGGACAAACTATGGTCTAGTTAATCTCAACATTACTGGTTAGTATCGAATCGATGATTTGACGATGTAAAAAGCCAGCATTTGATATTTTTTGCTCACAACTATCTATAGGTGCTGGATGGTTCTTTCCATCATCAATGACACGAATTGGCGATGTCCTCATTGTATTCGGTCCTGGATTGTTGGCATATGATCTGACTACCCAAAAATGGACGAACGTTACTGCTTTGGGTGTTAATGGTCCTTCATTCCCTCGTGGTTCTCATGCTGTTGCTTCTCAAGGAAGTCGCATGTATCTATCTGTAAGTTTCTAGTCTTGCTGTCGATGTTCTCTCCATAGACTTGCCAAAGCAAAATAACCCGTTGTGATGGGAAGCCAATGAGTTGTTGTTACTCACGTCTCTTACTAGGGTGGTGTAAACGTAAACTCTATTGGTGCATCAACCACAGGTGCCTTCTCCTTGTACAATGACTTTTGGAGTCTCGAGACCTTCAACAGCAAGGTACACCAAAACGGCGATTGATGTGTCTTCAGAGCTCTCGCTTTCCCGCATTCTAATGCTCATGATACTTATAGGACTATTTGACTTGGACATGGAAGAGCATCGCCACCGCCGGTGTAGCAAATGCTCCAGCCGCTCGATATGGACATGCCATGGTCGTAACTCCTTCAAACAATGCCTACGTATTCGGCGGCGACTCATCAACCGCCAACGATACCCCCGACAATACCATCTACAATCTAGACACAAATGCAGGCACATGGTCTATAGCCGCCGCACAATCCGGATCACTGTCATCCACATCACTAGCCTTAATCCTGGGCTTTGTGCTGGGCGGTGGTCTAGTCCTCATCTGCATCCCAGCGGTATTATTATATCTGTACAAACGTCGTAAAGGTGGATTTAAACGTGGCGGCAATAGTAGTGGTGGCATGAATGTTAAAAAAGGTGGTGCTTCGGCTGGACCCAAAGATTATGAAGCCGTGCCTCCGAAAGATGAGCATTCACTTGCCGTACCGTTTGCTGCTACATCTGCAATGGCACTAAACACGGAACAGCGTAAATCTAGTCTGAGAAACTCGGGCTTGTCGGCCAGAGACCAGATTCTCATGTCTGGATTGGTTGCGCTCGGTGCTGATGAGGCATCTGGTATGAAGACTATTCAGCCGCGTGGTGAATCGGAGGGTGTTGTGGCTGGAGTTACGGAAGCTGAGGGTGCTGGTATTCCTGTTGTCGCTGTGAGAAATTATCAACCACGTATGGATGATGAGTTGGCGATGGCTGTTGGGGATACTATTATCGTTAAGTAAGTGGCGTACGTTGTTGGAGGTAGTGAGATCCATGTAGTGGCGGCCTTGACTGCTATTTTTCGCGCTTGAGTTTTCGCTTGGTTCGCTACACCGAATCTCACAAATGTTTTCTTTTGATTCAAACAGGAGGCTCTTTGAAGATGGATGGGCAGAAGGCTCCAACAAGGACGCTCACGGTATTTTCCCAGTCGCTGCAACCACCTTGTCCACAACCGATGCTTCCGCCATTGCTGTGCCGTCCATGGCTCCTCACTCTGAGAGAGTTGCTCCAGTTGTAGTCAACAGCGATGGTAATAATGCAGTTACTGAACACTTGTTGCAGAGTGGTAGTATCTCAAATGTTGAATGTAAGCAATATGTTACCCCCTTGTGTGCATTTTTTGCTGAGTGGTTTGTTGAAGATTAATACTGACATAAATCGCCAATAGATGAGAAATTGAATGGTGCACCCGTTCCAGCTGCTCCCAGAGTTGACGATGGCAGCAAGATAACAGAAGCTGAAGAAGTTACGCAGCCTTTGCTTAGCGAGTAAGATGATGCAGGATTGGGTTATTGTATGTTTGGGAAGAAAAGAGGAGTGGAGAGGGGGTCTTTAAAGTAGCGGTTTGAGTGGAAGTGAGATCAAGAGAAGTTTGTTCTATATATTTGAAAGTTGTATTCTATTTTCCTTTTCGCTTTTTGTGCTCGGCAAGTAACAAGTAAGAGTTTGCATTTCAGAGAGGTATGATGATGTTGTTGTTGTTGTTCGATCGAGGTCGTGTGTGTTGGGTTTGCGTTTGCAATGTTCACCACTCGTTGCATCAGGCTGGACGCAAAGTGAGATTCAGCAACTAAGACCATTATGGACGTGAGTTTTGAGATCGTTTTCTAAAGTTGAAGAAGATCGAAGTCTCTCCAAGCACAAGCAAGGCAGCTTTATATTACACCCAACGCCTTCAACAAAAAGTTTCGGGCGGTTTGGTAGTAGCAATCCTCGTTCTGAATTTGCAAAACGAAACAAAAGCAGGTTGAACAAGACTACCAGAAGCATTCTGATATTATTATGCCAACCGTCCTATCTCATTACCTGGAACGCCTCGGCGTACTTGTACTCGGAATGATGGTGCTTTGTGTTTTGGCTGGTAGAGTAACAACGCAGTTGTTGTCTCCGAGCAGTCCTAGTCTCATCAATAATCAAATCTAATTTCAACATCATCCATCAATCTTTTAGCTACCGCAATACAATTCACTGGTTCCTGGACCATCATCCGTCGAGCCGTCATCCAACAATTGGGATGGCGATGGCCAGTGTGCTTTGACGAAGAGCACAAGAAGACGGACGCGCGACTGCAGGATGCAAGGAATGAGGTTCATGAAATTTTGTTAAGGAATTATGAGCTGGCACGACAGGTGCAAGAGCGCGAGGTAAAAAATCTCCACCGAGTTTTCAATGTCACTATGACATTTTGTGGAGCAACAATTTAAATACTGTTCTTCTTCATTTTGACACGCAGAATATCGTCACAAGTGTAAAGGCCGACTTTAAGAAACTCGAAGACGACTGGTATCGCAAACACAATGGACTCATAGATGCCGAATCTCAGATAAAGGAACTTGGCAGTCAGGTTGGAGTACTGAAACATGCATTGTATACTCAGAGTGAATCAACTGAGGAGATGATTACATCGCGGACACGAGCAGCAGAGCGACACGCTCGATCTCGGATCGAAGAAGCCCGGAGTGAAGCTGAACGTCGGGTACAAGAAGCTCTGAGCGATCCGGAAGGGCACAACCTGGCAGGTCTGAAGAAGACGGCTATGAAAGAGGCGAGAGCTCAGATACAAGCTGAACAGAGGGAAGCTGCGTCTCGGATGCGGATTGGTCCACGACAAAGTGCTGTTACTCGAGAGGAGATGCTACAGCGAGAACACGTAAAGATGGAAGCGTTGGAGAAGGAGAACGAGAGGCTTGTAGGAGAGAATCTCGAGTTGCGGGTGGGTCTTGGGACGGCGGGGCCAGTGGTTGTAAGTGTTTGGTTATTGGAAGGGACGGTTTTTATCATTGGGAGCAAGAAGCTTATACTCTTCGTTTCTCTTTTCAGAATCACCAGAATCCCCCATTCCGCCAGCCTCCTCCACAACCAATTCCAAACCATCATCCACAATCGGCTCAAAACGAACAAACTCCTCCTAGTAGCCCACTTCAACAAGCACATCCAGAACCTCAGCCTAGCCAGCTGCCTCGTCCACCTTGGCCTGGAATTCTAAAGGCTACTCCTGGCACTGCATCTCAACCAGTACGAAAATATGTGTTTTCTCATGAGTCTAATACAACAGCTAACCACGCCTTTCTCAGGGAGTTGATCCACTAATCAAGGCCGCTTGGAGGCACGTCTCTGCCGAAATGGATATAGTTGGAGTCAACTTGCGTGCGGCTGCAGATCAACGAGCAGCAGAGCGTGAGGCTGGTTACAGGAGGAATCCGCAGGTTCGCACTGCTGGCATATCGGAACGCACCAGGGAGATTTTGGCGGAGAGGGAGCTGCTTAATCGGCCGAATTTCAATGGGTTTACGTTTTATGATCAGGAGAGTAGGGCATAGGTGGTGTAGGTGTGGATCGCTGTGTATGGCAGTAAACGTTCAATGTGCAGGGCAGATCGAGGAAGTAATAAATAAGAGTTTGCATTTCAGAAAATGTGTGATGATGTTGTGTCCGTCAAGGTCTCGTATGTGTTGAGTTTGCCAGGCCATATTCACGAGTAACTTGAATGATGGACGCAAAGTGAGATTCAACAACTAGAACCTTTGACAGCGTGACATCTTATATTCTGCATACTACAATGACAGTCGAATCAAGGCATGCCAGTATCATTAGACGCCCACGGGCGTGAAAAAGTCTCCGGCGGTGAATCCGGTTGTGAATGACTTGTTCAATGTAACAAAAACTAATCCACTTCCACAGTTTCAAACGAGCTGGCTGGCAGGCGAGACATCTTGTACGCAAAACATGGCAGTGTTTTTCATTGATACAATAGGCTCAAACCCGGTGTTCATCTTGCTGGAACGTCTTTGTCAATTCTGTCTTGGGATTGCGGTTGTCATTGGTTTGGCTGGTAGAAACCTTTGGCAGAGATAGTTCGTTCTCAAGCAGCTTCGTCAAGATTGGTGAATAATTTTATGAACACATTTTCGGTACTTTGCTAGGTTTTGCTCTGCGATGCTTTGACAACCAAGCACCCTCATCACATCTGGAACGCAACCTGAAAGAGGTCGAGTCGGCATTGGACGACTCAAGGAATCAAGTTGCTACGTTGTCAGTGGAAAATGACGAGCTTAAAGTACGGATAGTGGATATCAAGGAGGTAACAATGCTGTGGGTTTCATTGCAAGTCACACATACAACACAACACGCACAACAAACCCTCCCGAACCTCACATCCAAACTTACTCCCTTGGTATTTAGAACGTCTCCAAACTTAAACATGACTTGTTTCTTCGAGACCGGGCGATCAAGGAAGCTGCAAGTAGGGAATTCCGTCTGAACAAAGAAATGACAGAATTACGGCGTCCAGTGGAGGCTGTGACAGAAGACGCACGGAAGGCTGCTGATGCGCTGGTCCAGGAAGCAAGGAGGGAGGCTGAGTCGCTGGTGAAGGATGCGAAACGACGCAAGCAGGAAATACTGGCATCGGCTACATCGTTTGACGAGGTAAGTAAACTAAGACGCATGGGACGGTTATTCAGCAAAATACAACTCTAATACGTGACTCTACTTATTCCTTTCTTTTTTGGTGGCAGGGAACCTATAACGCATTATTGACGACGCAAATCGCCAATCTACGAGATAAGTTATCACTAAAGGAAAAAGCTCATGAGCAAGCTTTATCACTGAAAGAAAACGCACACGAGAAAGCTATTACAGACATCAAGAAGGATGCCGAGTCTCGGTTTCGAATATTGTATGGCGAAGAAGCTGCTTCTCTCAGAGCTGAGATGCGGATTCACAAGGAGTTGGTAGATGCTGAAAAGGCAGAGTGTCAGTCATTAAAAGACGAGATTGCTAGGCTGCGGGGAGTGATTGTAAGTAGTGGTTGTTGAAAACTTTGTGCTCCACAGTTCTAAAGTTTTCGTTTGTTTGTTGGGTGTTTAGGATCGCGTTGAGGGTGGAAATCTAGATCGTCAAATCAACCGTCATGCCGCTCCCGTCAATGTAAATACAACGCCTCCTAGCTCTCCTCCACCTGGAGCTCTTCCCCATCAAGTACGAAAACTTTTCCACAGACAAACAACGATAGTTGACAACAACATCCATTCTTCTCCTAGACAATTTGAGGAAAGCAAAAACACAGGGATACGATAAGCAACGCTGCGTGGTCTGCTGACTTCCGAAGGAGGTGTGGAGGAGCAGCAGATCGTGTCAGCGACAACAACAACCCATTGTTTCGAGCTTTGGGTGGTTTGAATGTGTAGATTGGTTGAGGATGTTAAGATTTAGAATAGGTATATGATTAGGTCTTGATTGATTGAATGTACGTAATGTTTTGCCAAGGAGAAATCAAATATCAAACTTGGAATTCGGAGACGTTTGAAGGCTTGGAAGGTTGAAAGCATTGAGAACCGCAGAGCCGCATTTAAAAACACGTACCAGTTCGGTTTGGATTTCTTGACTTGGTCTTCCAATAGCATTCCATTGACGCGAAAACCTCAAGGTTGATGAAAGGACAGGGTGACTTGCTACCAGTACACTAAGGTATGAAGCGAGAAGTATACGTTCGTTTCGATTGTTAAATAGTTGCACCAATCCATGCATTCGATATTCTGTTCTCACTCTCGTTTCCTCTAATATCAACGTGACCAAACATCTTTCGACAAAACAAACAGTCAGAACTAGCCTTTGCCTTTCAATTTTAATGTCATGGCTGGTAAAAACTTTCATTGGTCTTCTCCTTTGTGCTCTTGTTGCAGACCATCAAGACATTTCATCCAGAATCATTCATTTCAGAGAAAAGTAATGAATCTAGTTTTAATCTATCGTTTAATCTATCTTTCTTCGCATCCAGGAAGTCTTGCATGGAAGGCCGGATCTCTCCTCGGAGCTACATCCGTAATATTAGGAGCATTTGGTGCTCATGGCTTACAATCTCGTCTCGCGTCGCTACCAGATGGAGCTCGTAAGAATCTACTTCCTTTGGGACTTCCGTATGAAAAGAACTAAAGAAGTGATTCTTAACAATCTATCAAAGGTCGTCTCGATAACTGGAAGACTGCTGCCCACTATCAAGCTATACATTCTCTTGCCTTACTCGCACTCTCAATACGACAATCCCAAACACGCTCACAAAGTAGAGCAGCGACGTACTTGTTTATTGCTGGTGTTGTGGGGTTCAGTGGGAGTTTGTATCTGTTGACGTTGGATTCGGAGAAAAAGTATCATAAAGTTTTGGGTAATGTTGTCCTTGTGTTGGTCTTTTGTTCGTGTGTGATGAACTCATATTCTTTGAATATTTAGGACCTATTACTCCTTTGGGTGGTCTGGCTCTTATTGGTGGCTGGGTCGCTCTTTCTCTCTTGTAGAAAAGATGAAGGGGTTTCGTTTCCTTGTAACAGTTTGTAAAACAAATGAAGTATATTCCTCAACTCGACAAACAGAACGTACAAGTGATGAGAAGATTTGTTTTTGGTCAATTATTAGAAGTTTCTATTGGTATGCAAAGAGGGAAAAATCTAGAATCAAATCTAGAATTTGGAAACGTTCACAGAATCAGGATATCTCCCAAGGTGCATTTGCTCTCAACAGGAATACTGGGACCCAGTCTGTTGGTGGATATGGCCCCAATCTTTTGCCAACGGTTTACGTCGACACAAAAGTTGGAGACAGTGGAGCTCCATTTTTCCAACTTTTAATCGACAAAAGATGGAGATAGCAAGTTTGGTTTGCAGCAAAGACATTTTTGAAGCCCCCTATCTCAGTGTACCAGTATCTCAACACACAACTATGAGAAGCACCAACTTGAAAACCAGAAAGGTCACAATGTTAAGGTCGACAACTTTGATCATTGCTTTGATTGGAATGGTTCAATCCCAGTAAGTCCAATAAAAGATTTGAGTTGTGTAGCAGTCGGAAAGTCATGACCACCATGTGGTCTTTCGATTCCTTGCTTTTCACAATGAACCAATATGTTATTTTAATCGCAAGAGCACTGAGCCCCCAAAAAAACTCGTATTGTATTTGTATACAGAATGGTAGCAACCCTTTCCGGCTCTCAGATGGGCATCGGAGGCACAGTGACATTCTCAGGCAATAACAATGCCACTCGAATCCGTGCAGCAATCACTGGTCTAGCACCTTTAAACGAACCAGTTTTATGGCACATTCACGTAAACAAGATAACAAACAATGATTGTGCTACTGCGGGTGGTCATCTCAATTTGTTGAATATCAATGAGGAGACTAGTAATTGTACTAAGGATGACAATACTTGGCCTACGAATTGTGCTACTGGAAATCGTGAGTTCGGCAAAGAAAGCTTTGATACGAGTCTCCACCAAATCAGTGATTGATCAAACACTCACATTATTTATCTCTCTTATTTAGTCGCTGGCAAGCTTGGTCTACTAAGTAAGAATGGAACTCATACTGGCGTCGATCATACGTTCTCCTTGGCTGATTTGCAAGGTCGTAGTATCGTCATCCACAAGAATGATGCTGCAAAGGTACCCTCATCTGAAAATTACACCTCACAAGTTTCGAAAACACGTCACTGACTGTAATCCAAAATCCTTGCAGACAAGGCTTGCATGCACAGACATTGTTGGAAGTGCTGGCGCAACAACTGTCGCAAAAGGAGCTAACCTCAAATTGGCAAGTCCCGAACCCGGTGCTGTGTTGGAGAGTCCCAAACCAGAAAAGGGAAAAGCAATTCCTCTTGCTACTGCCAAACCCAACAAGCTTGGAGCAACTCCCAAGCCTAGCAAAGGTGTTGCTACTTCTCCCAAGCCTAGTAAAACCCCAAAGTGACGCAAAGGACGGCAGATGTCTTTTGTGTGAAAGAGTCTTGGTGTCTTTGTATTGTGAAAGTGTTGTAACAACAATGCGTGTGAGTTACATAAACAGTCAGTTCATTCGTGAATTTACAGTGGTAGGGGAGGAGGTTATAAATTTGTTTTTGTTTAGTGATAATCTGTTTGCCACCTCAATTCGAGTCCGGTTAAATCGACCAACACGGTGGAGCTCGACGAATTGGAGATTTTAGCGGACGTAGCTCGAAAAAACCCACAACAAGCTCCACTATTGATCTACTTTGCCAAACGACAAAAATCGGGTACACTTGTTGATCAGGAGTTCTACGATCTTAACTTGCCTATCTTGGCAACTCAGTATCTTTGTGAGCAGCCACCCACTTCAACATACGTCGTAAATCACCATAACGAAAGGAAGAATGTTTAATCAATCAATGATTTTGGTACTTGGCATGATTGCCATGGTCCACTCAGAAGGGTAAGTCCTGCTACGATTTGATGATCAAAAGCAAAATGCATTATACATCTTTGCCTTAGTGTCGTTTTCTCGAGTCTTTGAAATACGACCAAATTGTGGTGTCATTTGCACTCCCACAACATTGTCATCATCTGGAGAAAAAAAAGACCATAATCGCTGCTGAATACCTTGACTTAATCTTCTCCTTCACCACTTCATCACACAACACCAAACTAAATCCTTCTTCCTCCCAACCATTCCACAAAGACTCATTGCCAAATTCACAGGAAACCAAAAGGGAATCGGTGGCTCCGTCACCTTCGTCGACTCGGACGGTGCCATCCGTATCCGTGCAGATGTCACGGGTCTGGACAAACTCGACGGCCCCGAATTCCTATGGCACATTCACGTAAAATCCATCACAAACAACAATTGCACGTCCGCTGGTGGACATCTCAACCTGCTCAATATCAATGAAGAGGCAACCAACTGTACGTCAAATGACAAGACTTGGAATACTACCTGTGCTACGGGCAATCGTATGTTTGATATTTCAGGTTGACGTGCATATTTGTCTCGTTCTGCCTCTTTTTCAATGTTGTTTTTAAGTTGCTGGCAAGTTTGGAGCCCTTACGAAAGGGGGAACCAACACGGGTATAGACCATTCATTCACATTGGCGCAAATCCAAGGGAAAAGTGTTGTCATTCATTTGAAAGATGCTACCAAGGTATGCATTTTTTGCTATTGTCGCTCGTTCTTGACTTGAAGACAGAAAACTGACATATACGCTCGTGTTTTAAACCAATAGACCAGGATTGCATGTGCAGACATTGTTCTCAATGGATCACCAGTAACACCCGGTGGAAAAGCTCTGGCATCTGGAGCTCCAGTGAAATGTACTCCACGTCATCGTCGCTAAACAGTCGTCTGTTTTTGAGAAGGAACCTGTGTGAGGTTTTTGGTAAGGCTTTTCTATTTCCAACCTATACCGATAGCGTTTGGTAATGAATCTGTGATTTAGTGAGTAGGTACTTACTGAACCGTTTGTCTTGAGTGAAGGAGAGTTGCTTGAATGCGTCGAAATGTTCCAACGATGGTTACTTGAGCCAACTGCAAACCCGGATTGCGAGACAATTGGGAATAATATGAATCCCGTTGAAACACGTAAAAGAAGTCCCGTTCTTGGTCGTGAATCGTAAAGTCCCTTGCAACTTTGGCTGTTCCGTCCGAAAAATAAAAACTTGAAAGTTGATGGAGGCTCGAGCGACCTAAAGAAAAGGAAGAAGGTATATCAAAATTTTAAATGAGACTTCTGGCATTAAATATCATAGCATATCCGAGTTTCTTAACTCAACGTCTTGTTTTGAAGAGATCTAGTCCAGGAATCAACGCTATGTTCTGTTTATGAAAGGGAAAAGAATAGTTGGGGTCGTCCCTTTACAGTCATCGATGACTGTGACGACGCCTTTAGAAGACGTAGGATTGTTGGTTTTCTATGGGCAATTCGCATGAATCTTACACTGTACCATGGCAAATTAGGACAACCAAGATCACAAGCGAAGACGACAACGGAGCCTGGTATGAAAGCTTTTATATTTGCTAAAGGAATTGCATTAGGACTTTTGGTTCCCAACTACACCTTTTGCAAGCCAATGTGCTGATTGCTTCAATTTATGTTGGTGTTCTTAGACTCGGCAGGAATCCACCACGCCTGAACCTGTCAGCGTGATATGGCCTGATTGGGAGCTAGATATCCCTGCTTTCGACTATGACTTGTCGTTGCCAACTGTTCCTCTATTCGACTTTGAAGCCCCACAACCATATAAACCAGCTGCTGCATGGACAGCGAGGCTAGCTATCAGCCCGAACAGCGTCTCCATACCGCTTCAAGGTACCGACGGTATAGCACTGACGAGTTACCCAAAATTCCTAACTTTGTGGTTTCTTTAGTACAAATGCACCCTCTTGATTACATTGATGTTCAAGATCTAGTCCAGTCCTTTTTTCAGTTCGTGTATCCCATTGCTCCAAGAGTTGCATATCTTCATCCGCCGACTCACATGGACTTTGGCATCAAGCCCAAAAGCCCGTTGCTGTTTCATGCCATTTGCGCCATAGGTTTGTGAAAACTTGTTTGTCTCTACTTGTATTATGAAATATATGATTGAACTTTACGAAACACTTAGGCGCTTCTGTTTCTTCTCAGCCGGCACTCCTTCATTTTGATGCTGCATCCCCGGTTCATCGTGGATGGGGTTATATAGAGAAATGTCATGAAATCCTGGGTGAAGCATTACAAAATCCGTCAGTGGATACGGTACAGGCTCTTTTATTGATGTCGCATTTTTTCAGTCGAGCTGACGATCGTAAGCTTGTTTTTGAATGTAACTGACATGATGTCGCCACTCACGCAATTCATGTTCTTTAGAAAAGCTGACGATGCAATTCGTGCGACTGTCTGCCAGGTATTTGAAAACTTGCAGCAATCTGCACGAAATAATAGCGCATTTGTGGACTGAAATTTTCTGTGGTATAGGATGCTTATGTTGTTAGATATGGATCAAGACCCAGATATTTTAACTCAGAAACATTTGTTGAAGCCTCAAACATTTTTAGAAGAAGAGACTCGCAGGCGGACGTGGTTTTGTGTTCATGGTCCTGAACAAGGTTGGGCTTGAAAATGCCGAATAAATAAACCCCATATCTATGTTTTCGCTGTCGTCGACTCATGAATTTATATTTGTTTCATCAGGTACTGCAGCGATGACCAACCAAACTTCAATAACACTTCGAGACCCCTACGAGCTGTCTGAAGTCTCAAAGGTGACACTACCGTGCTCAGAAAGGACATGGATGGCTATAAACCCCAGGACTGGAGCGATGCCAGCGGTTGTAGAGAGCGATCTCGTTGATTCTATACAGGCCTGTATCGAAGTGTGTAGGCTGTTCACGCTGTCTGTACGGGTGACTGTCCTATACAGTCTCGTAGGTTTGTGCTTACAACGCAATTTGAGATCATTTACTGACGTGGATCATTTTAAAAGGACTCTTGGGCACCGCCAGGACATGCTGCAGCTCGGAAACTATCCGATTTTCCCGATGGTGACGATTTGTTGCTTTGTGAAATCCACGATGGGAACTAACTGTCTTTCTTCTAGATGATTTAAGGCGAGGACTCACGCTCAAGGTCTATTCTTTTATCTTACAAAGTGCGGTACCATGAGAAAACAAATCATAAATATTCATCCTCTACTGCTTTTAGAATTTGGACTTTCGGCCTGTCATGGAAAGAGCCCTCAGAGACTTTTATCTCAAGTTACCCAGCTACATGAAGATAGAATGTGTCTATGGAAGCCCCACAGCCTGTAGTAAACTTCAAAGCTGGTTCAAGAATGTGTTGGAGTGCTCACGAACACCGAATGGGACAACCAACGGCTGGAACGTCATCTTAATACACATCATGTATCATACTGCGATACTAGGCATTGCGAAGGTATGGTTCAAATGTGGGACTTGATGTGCAGTTTTTACCTCGTTTGCTTACGCCTTGGTATTTTTGGTAGCCTGGAGTGATTCTCGCTCTGAAGACACTGTCAGCGGAAGAGGTACTGATGGACAAGAACGTGAACGATGCAAAGACTTCGGCACTACAGATACTTAGTTTCATACAACATATCATCGTTCCTTTCAATCCTACGTGGTAAGCACTGAATGTTTTCTCGCTCGGACACCCCCTAAACTAGCATTACTATCGCAGGGACCTTTTTGGAGAGTGGACGGGGTTCGGCGTTGACTCCTGCGTTAAGGTGAGCGACAAAAGCGGTATCTTTGAATTGCCGAAATCATTGATTTTAAAGTTTATTGGGTTTAGGCTCTGGCCACGTTATCTGCTCTGCCTGGCAATGAGCATTTCCTTCGGCTCGCTGATATGGCACTGAAGGGCTTCGCGACTATACGCCCTTACTCGGCGCTGGCCCGTCTAGTCGTAAACAATTGCAACGAGGCAATTGCGAAAGCTCGACATCATTCTAGACTAAAGAAATAGACAAGAGGACATATGCACAAATCGCATCGGGAAGTCCTGGACTTGGATGCAATAACCTCAAGATACTGTAATCATGTTGACAAGGTTTAAGCCGCACAATGTAACATGCCTCGATACCTGTAAGATATCCTTGATTTTTAATTTACTCCTTCTCATTGAGTGAAATTATTGAATGTTTTTGCGTGGTTGCTAAAGGCTTTCTATACTGAAGCGCTGATGGTTGCTTTGACGAAAAATGATATACGACGTTTGAATGCGTCAAAATGTTCAAGACGTTCATCAACATTAGAGTAGAACTCCAGGAGGTTTGAATGCTTTGAAAGCAATAATAGACATAAAACACGTTTGAACACGTGATAAGTGTTTCCCTGGAAGAGTTGGTTTTGTCGGAAACCAGGGCAATTTCTTCCAGCCGAAAAGCCTCCAGTTGATGCATCAGACCTTGAGCCAGCACCTAGAAGAACGGAGGAAGGTATGCAATGTTGGCCACAGCAGAACGTTCTAACGTTGAATAATTGTGAATATCTCAGATTGTCTCTTACAGTTCGACCACCTTCGTCTGTGACTAGTGATCTTGCAGGTGAAGGAAGGTGACGTGACTCACCATATGCTCTGTTAATGAAGAGGAAGGGAGTGGATGATGTCGTCTCTCTACAGGCATCTGTGAAGACGTCTTCAGAAGACGTGGGTCTGGTTTGTTTTCCGTGACCACATCCATAGATTTGACTATTTGAAATTTTTAGGAGGACAAGGAGGAGAGGCGCAAACGAAGACGGAGGCTGGTATGAATTTCCCGTATCTCATAACACAAAGATGCATGTTTTCTGAAAGCTTTAGCTTTCGAGATTGCCAATTTGCTGATTCGATTGCTTGCTCCAATTGATACACCCGAGATTTCTCCACAGGACACGACCACCAAGCCTGCTAACGTGATATTTGGCTTGGATTCGGGATATTCTGATTTGGATTTCTCATTGCCAACTGTTCCTGCGTTTGACTTTGATTTTCCAATTCCGATTGGCGCATCTGCAGGTCCATGGACAGTCAGACTGCCTACCAGATCCAGTATTGTCTCCGTACCGTCTCAAGGTAGTTTCAACGACCTGGCACTTACGGTTTGCAAAAATGAGTCTGAACAAGTGTTTGTGTATGATAGTACCAATCCACCCTTTGGACTGTATTGACGTGAAAGACCTCATTCGATCATACTTCAAGTTCATCTATCCAATTGCTCCGCGGTCATCCTTCCTACATCCTCCATCACATTTAGATTTCAGCAGACCCAGGAGTCCCTTGCTGCTTCATGCCATATGTGCAATAGGTTTGAAACGTTGAAGATATACGATATCGTCAGTAAAGGGTATTCAGTTGTTGTCTTCTTGACCTTAGGTGCCTCCGTATCGTCTCAACCGTCACTGATTCAGCTTAATGCTTCGGAACCGGTTCATCGTGGATGGATTTATATAGAATTGTGCCATGCTCTGTTGAGTGAAGCAATACAGACCCCATCTGTTGAGACGGTGCAGGCTCTAGCTGTGATGTCACACTTCTTTAGTCGGGCCGGTGAACGTAAGTTCGTCTTTGCATCATCAAGTCCAATTTCACCAACAACTGCAATCTCAAAACATTCCTCGGTTTTAGCAAAACTAGCTATAGATTTCATGCGACTTGGCGCCCGAATGATGATGCTCCTACAAATGGATCAGGACCCAGATATCTTGACTCAGAAGCGTCTGTTGCAGCCTCAGACCTTCCTACAAGAGGAGACACGCAGACGGACGTGGTTTTGCCTACATGCTCCTGAACAAGGTAAGGTGTATTAGCCACATATTCAGCTATTTTCGCTACATATTGACACTATGGTTCCTATCAGCCATGGCGATTATGACGAACCAAACGTCGCTAACACTACGAGACAAGTTTGAATTGGATGAAGTATCAAACGTTACATTTCCGTGCTCAGAGCAAACGTGGATGGCCATAAATCCAAGGAGTGGAGCAATGCCAGCGTTGGTGGAAAGTGACATGGTTGATTCTGTACAGGCTAGTATAGAGGTTTGCAGGCTTTACACACTCTCTATACGAGAAACAACTTTGTACAATCTCGTACGTTGCTCCTATTATCAGCCACATGCGTCAACTGCCCATTTCTGCTTTCTTCATCCTGACGCGAACATTTCGAAAAGGACTCTTGGGCACCACCAGGATTCTTCGCCTCTCAGAAACTATCTGATTTTCCTGATGGTATGGACCCGTTCTTTGATTTAATTACCAACAGGAAACTAAATGCCTTCCAATTCCTTTTGTTTTCAGACGATCTGAGGCGAAGGCTTACGCTCAAGGTGTGCTTTGGTTTCGTCTTGTAATGTACCATTGACAGAAGAGCGTCATTTTCGTATACTCACTGTTCACGACAATCCAGAATCTGGACTTTCAACCCATCATGGAAAAACGCCTTAGAAACTTTTATCACCGATTACCAAGCTACATGAAGATAGAGAGTGCCCATGATAACAAGGCGGTCGGGAGTAGTGGACTACAAGGTTGGTTTAGGGGTGTGTTGGAGTGGACGAAATTGTCGAAAGTGGACACGAATGCTTGGAACGTCGTCTTTATACACCTCATGTATCATACTTCTATACTTTGTATTGCGAAGGTATGTTTGAAACTTGACGTCCAGTTTGGGCTTTGTGTTTTCTTACAATGTGGTTTTGTTAGCCTGGAGTAATTCTTGCTCTGAAAACACTGACAGCAGTGGAAGCCTCAATGGACAGAAACGTGATGGATGGCCAGATATCTGCGTTTCAGATATTCAACTTTATACAAGATGTCATCGTACCGCTGAATCCTAGATGGTGAGCACTTGCAATTCGTTTCTCAACCATTCGCACAAACTAACCCAGAGCCACTACTACAGGGAGTTTATTGGCGAGTGGACAAGCTTTGGGGCCGAGGCTTGCGTCAAGGTAAGCGTCTGAAGCAGTGTCTCTGAATTAAAGAATGATGCTAACCTCTCATGTTGTAGGCTTTTGCCACTTTGTCCGTTCTGCCTGGCCACGAGCATTTACTTCAACTGGCTGAAGTAGCACTCAAAGGCTTCTCAAGTATAAGGCCCATCTCGGGCCTAGCGCGTCTCGTAATAAAGAATGCCACGCAGGCTATTGAAAAGGCAAAGGAGCACCGCGTCAAGCAAATGAAATGACATGGAATGCTGTTACAATTCTCATGGACTCTAGTTTGGAGTTACAGTATATCAACTGTGCAAAATGTATACTGTGTCAATAGTTGTAAACTACTGGATTGAATTTAACTTACTAGTTTTAATTTGGCAATTTTCTTGAGTGGGCTTGTGCTCTTCAAAGAGGACTACTATAGACTGAAGCGATCCAATCCTTATACACAAGGTTGCTCCAGTTTGTTCACCGGAAGAGTTGAATTTTGAGACGGATGAGAATGGTGAGTATCGAGAACAACCAAATAAATTCAAACACGTGACAGTTGTTTTGGTCTGACGTCTGCAAGTTCTTCCAACAACCGCGAGAAACAAATCCAGTTTACCGGAGTGGAGCGACCCAAAGGTAAGCAAGGATGAAACGTAATACGTATGAACTCGCCATAGCAAAAGATAACAATAATCTGACGTTAAATAATCGAGAATAGTCTCGTAAAACTTGTAAAAACGTGCCTCTAACGTTCTCTTTGTAGTCATCTATTCCAACAAATCAACTTGTGCGTCTGACAGTTTGTTTGTCTTCTAGATGAAGAGGAAAGGAATAGATCAGGTCGTCCCTCTGCATTCAATGGCTAGGAAATCGTGGTTCGAAGACGTAAGCAATGATTTAGTTTTGCCTGGCTCAGTTTGCATGAATCTTGACATTATCTTCACACGTCTTAGGAGGACGAGGACGACTATGATCAGCCCAAACGACTACGGAAACTGGTACGAAAACTCTCTCTATTATTATTACAGTTTTTTGGGCGTAAAGACATTAGATGCCAATTTGCCGTGATTCGCTGCTAGCTAAATCAACAGTGTGGCTGATTATTACTTTGCCCCGCCCCACCCCATAGGACACAACCCCCAGACACACCAACGTGATGATCGATTTCGGTCGAAATGGTTTTAATTTCTCCTTGCCTACTCCTCCTGGATTTAACCTCGACGTGCCAGCTAGTCCATCATGGTCGTCAATCAATATGGGGTCTGAATGGGCACCTACCCGATACAACACGGTCCCTATACCACCTCAAGGTAGGCTCGACGATCTCCTGATTTACATGTTACTACTCTAAACCAGTTCTATTTATTAGTACCCATGTGCCCGCTTGATCGTGTGGATGTCAAAGACCTAGTCCAGTCCTTCTTTCGGTTCCTCTATCCAATCGCTCCCCGTTTCGTGTTTTTGCATCCTCCAACACACTTGGATTTCACCAAGAGCAAAAATCCCTTGTTGTTTCATGCCATATGTGCTCTAGGTATGGTTGGGTTTGACTCAATTAGTTGGTCACTTGTTTTTGGTTTTCATCTTTAGAAACTTAGGTGCGACTGTGTCATCACAACCGGCACTGCTTCATCTTGGGGTCTCTGACCCAGTGCATCGTGGATGGGCATACATTGAAAAGTGTTATGCATTACTGGACGACGCAATGCAAAACCCATCAGTTGAAATCGTTCATGCTCTTGGACTGATGTTTTCATTTTGTGTTCGAGTTGGTGAACGTACGTCTCTAAAGTTCAATTTTCTTCTTTTTTACTTTCATGCTAACGTTGTTTCGTTTTTGTAGAAAGGCTATGCTTTAAATTCGTTCGGCTGGCATGCAGGTCCGGGAATTCCGACAAAATGACTTACAACCGCACTTTTTGACGCTGGCATATAGGATGATGATGACTCTCCAGATGGACCAAGACCCAGATATTTTGACACAGAAACGCTTGCTGAGGCCTCAAACCTTTCTGGAAGAAGAAACTCGCAGGCGGACGTGGTTTGCCTTGTGCGGTCCTGAACGAGGTATGAGAAGGATCTTTTAGCATCCACGTTTTCTCCATAGTGAACGCTTTTTCTCGGATTTCCAATAGCCATTGCGATAATGACCAATGAACCCTCAATAACGCTTCCAGACCAGTCCGAGCTGGACGAGGTTTCTAATGTGACACGTCCCTGCTCAGAGGCGACGTGGATGGTCATCAACCCCAAGACGGGGAAAATGCCAGATTTTGTGGAGAGTGACATGGTTGATTCTGTGCAAGTCTGCATCGAAGTCTGTAGGCTGTACGAGCTTACAATGCGGATAACAACCTTATACAACCTCGTACGATATGTCTACTCTAAGTCGTTTTTCGATTTGGGTCTCGTTAATTTGAATGTTTCCACAGGATTCCTGGACGCCACCGGGATACCTCGCGTCCCAGAAACTGTCCGACTTTCCTGATGGTACCAGCGCGCTTGCTGTCTTTGACTTGCCACAAAAAACTGGACTTGCTTTCATTTCTTAGGCGATTTGAGACGAAAGCTAACGCTCAAGGTGTGTTTTTCCTGCTCATTTTCCAAAAGCAACGGATAACACGAGGGTGCCATTTCCGTTGTACTAACCTCATGTGCACCAAATTAGAACTTGGACTTTCAGCCCATCATGGAAAAACGTCTCAAAGACTTTTATCTCCGACTGCCGAGCTACATGAGGATTGAAAGCGCCCACGGTACAAGCCCAGTTGGTAGCAGTAAGCTGCAGACCTGGTTCAAGGGTGTGCTGGACCGGGCACTTGACTCGAAGTTTGACACGAATTCCTGGAACGTTATCTTTGCGCACATAGTGTTTCATACTTCGATACTGGCCATCGCAAAGGTTATTGAATCCGACTGACATTTGAATGATGTCGTTTCTTACAGATTTCGCTTGTTAGCCTGGCGTTATTCTCGCTCTGAAAACGCTAAAACCGGAGGAGGCACTGACAAACAAGCACGTGAATGATGCCAAGAGTTCCGCAATTCAAATATTCAATCTGATACAAGATGTCATCATACCGCTGAACCCTAAATGGTAAGTTCTGGCAGTTTTCCCCCTCAGGCTTGAAACCCACTCTAACCTATAAAAATCACTATTAAAGGGAGTTAATGGGCGAGTGGGCGAGTTTCGGAGTCGAGTCTTGCGTCAAGGTAAAGTGAGAGAAGTCAGTATCTCTGGAATCGATGAGATTTGAATGTGTTTGATTTAGGCTTTGGCCACTCTGTCTGCTCTCCCCGACCAAGAACATCTTCTCCACCTCGCCGAGGTAGCAGTCAATGGCTTCCAGGGAATACGGCCCTACATGGCTCTAGCACGTTCAGTAACGGTTAATTGTAGACAGGCAATCGAGAAGGCACAAGAATATCGCTCCAACTGAAGAAATGATGACCTGGAACACCTGATTTGCAAAATCTCATAGTACAATCATGTTGGAATTGCATGGATGCTGTATCCTATGTCGATACTTGTAAGATATTAGTTTGTAATGTAAATGTTATTCTATATCGCAGTTGGATGGTATTTTTGATTGTTGTGTCTTGGTCGGGTAGTTTGGAGGATCAAAGTGGTTTGACGCTATGGTAGCTAGCCTCGAGGGAACTCGTTTGGAAACTCTTGTATTTTCTTGAATTTGCTTGAATGCGTCAACATGACCAGAATATGGTTGTTCGAGTTCAAACAACAAGAAACGTGAGATCCGACACTGCTTATGCCTTAAAGGTTAAAGACACGTAATGACGCGTAAAAGCTCTCTCCTGAATTGTCCTTGACGGTCTAGAACTCGTCCAATTTCGTCCGTTTTGTTCCGGCCGAGTAGAATGTTGATGACGGCTGAGCTACGATAAATTCAAACAAAACAAGGTGCGGTTTAGCTACTAGAGACTTCTATTGAATCACGCAAATGCATTAATCATGCTAAAACCGCGTGGCTTACTCTCTTTCTACCTCGATTTTTAGTGGTCTTCCGTGCACGTGGTTTGACGGGAGTGTGATGAAGAGGAAGAGAGTTGATGAGGTCGTCTCTATACAGGCATCTGTGGAGACGCCTTCAGAAGACGTGAGTCGAGCCCGTTTTCCTGGAGCGAAAACCACATTGATCGTGATCTTGACATTGCACTATTTAGAAGGACAATGAGGAGAAGAGCAAAAGAATACAAAGACTGGTATGCACACTATCTCTACTCTCGAATTACGCTACATTGATGCGTTTGTTTTACCTCAACCGATGAGCTTTTCAAGTTGGACTTGCTGGATGTAACCAAACACATGTTGCCTCGACTCGTAGGACACTACCACTAGAAGCTCCCACGTGATGTTTGGTTTTGATTTGGCACATTCTGCCTTTGATTTCTCGCTGCCAACGCCCCCTGCATTCATCCTCGAACTCCCAAATGGTGTTTATTCATCGATAAACGTAAGCCCTCGATGGGTACCTACCAGATATAACAAGGTCCCCATACCGCCTCAAGGTAGTGTCAACGATCTAGTCCGTACGGGATGCATAAAGTCAGCTCTGACAAGTTCCCTTATAGTACAATTTCACCCGTTGGATCGTATCGATGTTACGGACTTGATTCGTTCCGTTTTCAATTTCGTCTATCCAATTGCTCCTCGGGTCTCATTCTTACATCCTCCATCGCACATGGACTTTAGCGTAAAGCCCAAAAGCCCCATACTGTTTCATTCCTTATGTTCCATAGGTATGTGATCAGACAGCACTCGTGGTTTACTTGCAATTGCTTTACTCAATCAGTCTAGGCGCGTCTGTGTCGTCTCAACCCGCCCTGCTTGAACTGGGTGTTGCAGACCCGGTTCATCGAGGTTGGGGATACATTAAAAAATGTCATGCCTTGTTGGGTAACGCACTACAAAACCCGTCTGTTGATAATCTACATGCAATCATCATTATGGCGTACTTCTTTGTTCGAGCTGGTGAACGTACGGTCGTTGTCTTTGCGTCAGAGAGCTCAGATTTTCGCTAAAAATTATCCCTACCTCTTTAGAAAAGCTGTGCATCGAATTCGTGAGACTCGCTTCAAGGTTCGGAAATTGTCACCATGTCTATGTTACAACATATCATATCTTACAGCCCGTTCCGTTATAGGCTGATGATGTTTCTTCAAATGGATCAAGACCCAGATATTTTGACACAGAAGCGCCTGCTCGAGCCGCAGACGTTCTTGGAAGAAGAGACGCGCAGGAGGACATGGTTTTGTCTCTGTGGAGCTGAAAGAGGTAAAACTGCAGAACACCACATGACAGGTCATGTTTCATCAGGACTAACTTTTACTTTTATCGATACGTCGAAACATTTAGCTGTCGCCCTCATGACCAATCAACCCTCCATAACATTACGAGACAAATCAGAGTTGGACGAGGTGTCAAATGTGACGTTCCCATGCTCCGAGCGAACGTGGATGACAATAGACCCCAGGACAGGAGCCATGCCGGCTATCGTAGAGAGCGACATGGTAGACGCTGTGCAGGCGTGCATCGAGATCTTTCGATTGAACGGGCTGGCGACACGTGTGACTACACTATATAATCTCGTATGTTGTATGGTATCTGCAAGTTTGGTGAAGTTTTGACTGACCTAAACGGTTTGTTTTGAAGGACTCGTGGAAGCCACCAGGATTCATCGCACCTGAGAAACTATCCGATTTTCCAGACGGTATGCATTATAAGCTCTTGAAAATGATAAGATGGCGGCGTCTCTTGACCCTTTATTTTGTCAGACGATCTCAGGCGAAGGCTTACGCTCAAGGTACATGTCTTTCCCTCCCTCCCGCTCTCCAAATCTTGACGCGAAAACGCTCCCACCTTCGTGAATATTCATTCATGTCTTTCCTTTTTCTTCCACCAGAATCTCGACTTTCACCCCATAATGGAGAAACGTCTGAAAGACTTTTATCTCAGACTACCAAACCATATGAAGATTGAAAGTGTTCAAAACGGAAGTCCCTCGGCCGGCAGCAATAAGCTGCAAAGGTGGTTTCAGAGTGTCATCGAATGGACCAAATCATCAAAGGGAGACACGAATGCTTGGAATGTTATCTTTATACATCTCATGTATCATTCGTCGATACTTGCCATTTCGAAGGTACTTGGAGCAGTTGAAAGTTCCGTTGAGCCTGTCTAATTAATAATTGTATACTTTTAGCCTGGAGTGATTCTTGCTCTAAAAACATTGGCAACTGAAGAGGCATTACTGGATAAGAGCGTGAAAGATGCCACGAAGGCTGCACTGCAAATGTGTGATTTCATAAAGGACATTATTGTGCCGTTGAACCCCAGATGGTGAGTACGTGAATCTGCCTTCCAGCTCTCGTATCTAACCCTGTAAACACTATGACAAGGTCCTGGATTGGTGAGCCGACCGCTTTTAGTGTGGAGGCATGCGTCAAGGTACACAAGATGGAAAGAACAATATCCTGTTGAATGTAGTATCGTTTTCTGCTCCGTTCCTGATACACATCCTTTGTTTAGGCCTTAGCTACACTATCAGCTCTCCCCGGCCATGAGCATTTGCTTCAGCTCGCTGATGTAGCCCTCAGCGGCTTCTCAACCATCCGGCCCGTGACGGCTCAAACACGGGTAGTCATGGCGAACTGCGAGGAGGCTGTTGACAAAGCTCGCCAGCATCGCTCGAAGCTTTTACGCAAATCAACAGTTTGATTACTGGTGTACATTCTACATTACTGTATAATACTTGTAAAAGGTAAAACCGAATCTTTTTTTTTCTAATTTAAACTAGTTTCCTACCTTGATGTGAAATGGGGTTTAACGGTTGTGAGATGATTGTTGTTTTGCTTTGAAGTGTGGAAAAGGGGTCGAGAAGGGATGTTTAAGGGAAAGATGTAATTTTTGACCTCTCGCTGACATCGAGAAAAAATAACAGCTCTATAATCCTGGAGGATTGTGCTTTATACAGCATCTTAGAGAAGGTATGAATTTGATAGTATCGAATCCTGTCAGAACGTTAAAGCATGTAAACCAAGTCTGGTTACTCTGTGCTTCTCTTCGTAGTGCCCTTGTAGCGAATGAACGCGATCAAACACTTTTGGGCCAACAATACCAATTCAAAGCATCACAATGACCGGGTAATACTTTGAGATATGCTGTCCTTGTTGTTGTGCGGCAGAAATCGAAAGTGGAGCATTGGAGCAAGACGTTACTATGAAATTCGCCGTAGTTAAAGATTGGGTTGTTTTGTATTTCTTTCAAATCATCTTGGGAAGCATCTGGTGCTCATCATTTCCAGTCTCGGATAGCTTCCTTCCCGAATGGAGCTCGTCGCTCGATAACTGGAGGACTTTGCTGTCGTGAACCAACCGGTTAGCATTCCCTTGCCTTACTCACACTCTCATTATGACACCATCAAACCCGCTCCAGACCATGTTGCAACAACCTGTTTTATGTTGACCACCTATATGTACTACGGCCGAAGGCAAAAAAATTTCAATGGACGCAAGCCATCCCACCGTTTTGCGGTTCTATCAGGCGGTGTGCTCACATTAGACAAACGTGTAATCCGATGGACGCAAACCACTGCACTGGGCTCACCTTCCCACACCTCGAACGACAACATGAATCTGTATTTTGTGTTGACGACGAAACTTTGTGTCTTGTAAAGTTGCTGGCTATTCTTTTGCATGATCATGCTTCGTGCAAATCAACACACATGCTTTGTTTCGACCACCAGAATACGAAAAAATGACTTGGGGAGTCTCTAAAGACAGCGTTTGAGCCGGAGACAGGATCTGTTTACGAAACTTCCCAGAAGTCTGGTTGACTGATGGTGACAAGGTAAAGCCTAATGAAAGCGTAATCTTGTTGACAATATGGACTCTTACAAAATCACATCCATAGGTGTCGGGTGTCTTGCAAGATCTCTTTATTCAGTTTTTTTCTTTCGTTTGGAGGAATTTGTTCCGAGACTCATTATCTCGGTTCTTCTATTCTTCTATGTAGATCTATAATACACCTGGAAAACTCTTGCCTGGAAAGTGCTTGTGTCTTCTGTGTGGTTAAATTTCGCTCTCGCCATCTTGTATAAAGTTGGCCAAGAGTTTTACCATTCCTTGTACAAACTTTTGGGCCACAACAAATGAACTCAGCACATCTCTCAACCCGAAACAAGTCGCTTGAGTGACACACTTTATGTATGTAGCTGAAATCTCAAATCATTTACTTTAACGTGCGAAAAGCCCCCAACCAATGAATCCGCAATCTCCTTTGAGACTTATACAGCTTCTCTATCTACCTCTTAACTGGACACGTACGAACCCACGGAGAAGCAGCCGGAGCAGCTGCAGCTACCTTGGTGGTAGCATTGGCAGCCACTGCATAAATATTGGTTTGACCAGGTGCTATAGTCGCACATGCAACACGAGTCTTGCCAGCGTCAGTCAAGTGGAGTACGACGCTGCGTCCGAGGAGGGCGTTTGTGTTTAGTGTTGTGTCCTTTTTGAAATTGGGGGAGAGTTAGATTGGTGTAGAGTTGAAATGGCATGAGCTTTTGAAAGGAATCGCAATAGGTGAAGAGACAGAGGAGATGGAGAGGAAGCTTACCCAGTAAGAGGTTGTGATTGCACCATTGGTAGGCTTCCAAGTCCCGAATTTGCCAGCTGAAAAAAGCCACAAAGATGAGTTACGAATTTCAAGCTCTGAAACAGCGCACCAACACCAAAAAGATCTTCCTTTTTTCAAACCCACTCACCAAAATCACCAACTTGACAAGTACTCGCTATCATATCTGGATTTCCCGTTGCGCATTGACCCTCAGGTGCACCATACGGGTTCCAATGAGCTCCAGCACTACTACAGTTACCTCCATTCGCAATAGCATACATGTGTGCATGCCACAAGTACGCGTTGGTGTCTTTAAGACCCGTAATCGCGACCGAGATGTTGACGCCATAGGTAGATTGAGAAAAGCGGATGGAGCCGCCAATACCATTGTTTAGTGGGTTGGTGTCGAAGGTTGCGACAATGGATTGGGCGGATGAGAGTGATAAGAGGGATATGAGGAGTACTGGGATGGCTGCTAGAATCATGGCCTGGGTGTGCAGCAGTGTGTTTTTGGTGTGCTGTTTATGAAGATGGGGTTGCTAGTCTTGGGTTTTGCTTTATAGGTGGGTCTATGATGTTTTTCTCTTACTGCAGAGGAGTGCTGCTTTATTCGAAGGCTATGTGTTGTGTCGTTGTGCTGTTTTTTTTTGTTTTCGGAAGTTGTAGTTGCACTCGCACGATAAATTGGTGTGCGCCGTTTCTCTTAAACCTCCAACAGAGTACGTGAACAGTTGCACTACTCTCTTGTTCAGCCAAATAAACATATTGCATTGTTGTGTACATTTTCGTAAATAAAGGAGGGATATGAAAAAAAGTCTACTTAAAAATCGTGATGCAAAAGAGCTCCTTCACCACTATCTCCATTGATCTATGCCAAGATCAACACCACAACACTCATGCCCACAACAGCCCCGACCAGTACTCTCGAAACCATTAAATGCATTCCTGCATTAACAGCATTAGCATAATTAACAAGAATATTGGCACAAGCCAACCGTGCATTAGTTCCATTTTGATGAATTACGACTGAGCGGCCAATGATGCTGGTGGTGCCGTTGAATGACATTGTCGGGTCGGCGAGGAGGGTGGAAGATGCGGTCGTGTTGTATACTGTGATGTGAAAGTGTAAGCAGATAAGCAAAGACGTTTGTGGACTTTTTTGGGTGTAAGGGGATGTTTACCTCCAGAGACGGGCATGATGGCACCGAATTTGCCAGCCAAATCACCGACCTCGCATGTAGAGAAGTTGGAGGGGATGCACGCGTATGGTGTTGGAGCGACCTATGGAGGACAAAATATACGCCTCAACGAAACGGATGTGTTGCAAGAAACTCACAACAACTTACGAAAGGATTGAAGTGTCCTAATGCCGTAGCGCAGTCAGCATTTGAGATTGCGCTCAAATGGACATGGTAAGGATATGTAGTGGCTGTGAGACCGGATACAGCGACGGTGATTTGGACAGATGATGTGCTGGTTGATGCGTATCCTCTTTGAAAGAACTATGTCGTGATATGGAAGTTGGTTAAATGGTTGAGCAAGTGGGTGACCACCTAGGCCAACAGAAAAATGATCATTCGAGTGATGAGTGTGCTTTGAAGGCACTCACGGTAACGTTTCCAGTGATGGAGTTGTTCCCAGCAGATCCGTCGAATATTGCTGAATAGCTATTCAATAAAAATCAGCTAGACTGATTAGATTTCAAGATTGACGGAAGCGATGCAAACTATTCAAGATTTAAGCTTCACAATCCGCAGTTCAAGTTTACCTCGTATCAGCAAAGACACTAGCAGCCAACAAGATGGATGCAAATACACTGGATAACAACATTGTGCTTGTCCTTGTATGGGCGTACGCTATTGCGATGATGCCTGTTCTGCCAAGTGACAGCGTGAGGCTTTTTAAGAGATAAGTTTCCGGATCAATCACTAATTGTGTAGCCGCTATCGATCAGTTGTCAAGGTGTGAATGAGCTACAATGCTTGCTTATGTCTGACGTCTAGTTCCCTGATCTGCTTTGGTTGCTTTTTTAGCAATGTTTGGCAAAACGGCCGTTTCGTTAAGCTTGCTGAACTTGTGTTTGGTACGTGTTGTAGAAGCGAGAAACCGAATAATAAATATATTTGGTATTAATTCTCCCTGTCTTCGTTACGTGACTGTTATATATTACCTACTGCTACTCGTCCGAATTGTCGGTGTTTAAAAAAAAGCAATCAGCAACTGCTACGTAGGCGAGACGATGAGCAACTTCGAAGAGAAACGAGGCTCAAGCTCAAAGGGCACATCGGAACTAGCCCGGACTGCAGTTCATGACTACTCATATGGACCTGATGACAGACATGCATCGTCTGCATCATCCTCATCAACATTGGATTACGGTACAAGCAGAAGTAAAGGGATTATAACCCAGACACCGGACGAATATGATGTATTTGCAGGCTCAAGATCGCATATTCCATGGGATGGTACTAGTATGGATGGAAAACCGTATCATCAGGCTGATGAACACAATGTGCAATACGGGTACGACGGGAGTCTCATGTTGAAGGGTGGTCTGGAGAATGATATTGGTATGTGTGTATTGGAGACAGATATATGTTGGAGGCTGGCTGTTGAGTTAAATGGAGCGAGAGAAAAACCGCATCTTCGTAAAATCAATGAACTGACTTCTCAACTCTCGACACATAGAACACGTCTCAGATGCACTATCAAAAGCCTGGATTGAAGAATACACGTATCAAGAAGCTGGTGCTGAGGTATAGTACATGTGAAAAGAAATGGAACAATCCATTTTTTTGCAACTCACGACTCTTTTACACTCTCACTCCAACAGACCCCAGTCCTCCCCCACCATCCACAGGACGGACTCGGAGTCCTGGACTTTCTCCGAAACTCATCCTACACAGACGCAATCCACCACTCGCCCACATCAAACACGAACGATTTCTTCTCACAATGGCAGGACGCGTGGGAGCGCATGAGAGCACACGAGACATATGCAGATAAAGTATATATAGATGATTGGGAGGCTGAGCGGTTGAGTGATTTGTTGCAAAAGTATGATATGACTCTGGAGGATGTGAATAAGGGCTTGAGTGGTGTTGGAGGTGGCAAGACGGATGGGGCTGCGTTGATGAGGCTGAGGCAGTTGAAGGATCATTTGGTCATCGGTGGTGGTGGTGGTGGGAGAGAGCATGATGGGGTTGGGATTGTGGCGGGAGGTGCTGGTACACATTTTGGGTGATGAAAAGAAGTACATGTGCATTGTAAGATATAGGACATAAATTAAGATTAGACTCATATAAAGATCGTTAGGAAATGCGCGGCTTGTTCGATTCAGACATTCGTTGACGAGATCATAGCACAATTCATCATTTCACCTAGAGCACGTGAATAGTGTTGGCAGATGTTGACAGCTACATTGCGTCGAATACTCGTCGAAATTACGGCCGCTTGATCTATCGGAAAGCGGGATTAAAATGCAAAGTTTTGATCGCAGCAGTCGCAGCAAGTCACATCCAATCAGTTGTCAATGGTAGCATTTTCTTCTTCCACTTGCCGATTTGATTATTTTCCTAGCATCAAACAAATACCGATCTGGAAGGCAGTCAGTGTTGTAGAGTATTATTATATTAGGGTAGAGCATCCGTTATATATTATTATTTAGATCTCTCGTGGTGCTTATAGATTTAGATTCCTTTGCTTTTGCTGTTTCTCGTTTTGGGTCAAGGTAAGCTCCTACAAAAACCAACAGCAAACCAGGTTATTCATCAGATCTATCCTCCTAACACTCCAATACTATAGACTCCCTATTTATTAGCACTCAAACACACGCGGTCTACCCTCACTGCTTTTCCAACATCAACCATTCCAACACCCAAATCTCCCATCGCCTTCAACAAATGAGATTATCGTCATCCAACATGCCCCAACAACAACCAACAGTAGTCTCCATTCGCCGTGATATGTCCAACTCGCTCCACACTACTTCCCACAACATGACGCCAAACCAACCCAGCATACATCCAGTAAGTGTACATTGCATTTTCCTCGCTTGCGTTCAATGAACCGCAGACATTGCAATTGACAACTGACGATGCTTTCATCTATTCAGAATTTCCGACAAAAGATTGTATGCACCCTGACTTGCAAGCACTGTGATTCCATGGTCTGTACGAGGGGGATGAAGGCTATCTTGCTTGGTGATACGAGGGTATGTTCAGGGCGTTTGATCATGTGGCTTTTTTGTTTCTTGTTATTGGACACTACAGGAAGGAAAGGTTATACTATGTCTAACTGTTTGTTGTATTCTCACGCTTAGGTTGAGTTGTTTTCTACAGATTTACCACCAAACCGGTATGTTGATTGTTGAACTTCAGACATTGCTCGAACCTAGTCTCATCTTTTTTCGGTTACTATAGAGTCGAGCTTGTTGACAAGGATTACACTACACGAAACTGCCGATGCAAAATAAGGGATGTTGCCTGCCTCACTTGGTATGTGATGTTTATATATCATTCATTTTGTTGTTGGTACTTTGCGAAATCAAGTTATAGAAGCTGACCAAATACCTTCTTCCTTCTCGTTTATTCCATCGAATAGCGGAAATGTCATTGGATGTAAGCAATCAGCTATTAAATCTTTGCATCACAGCGCTCTTTGCTCACATTTCCTCCCCACTTTCTCACAGACCACGTTACTCAACCATGCGATGTATGTCTCGATGCCTGCAACAATGGCCACTTCCACATGTAAGTTACCCCCTTCCCTCCTCACCTCATTCTTCAAACTTAAAACGCCAAAAAAATCAACCCTCAACTCATCATATACCACATTTTTCAGGTTCCTATCAGACGGTGTATTCTCAACAGACAGAATGGGCCCCGATGGTCGCAAACCTCTCCTCTGGGCTCATCTGCCACGCGTCGAACGAGACTACGAAGCTGTTGTTCGTGTCGATTATGAGAATCTGTGTCGTTGAAACCTTGTGTCCCATCAAAGAAAACCCTCAAATTTCAATGTCACTTTTTCTCTCTACCCACACGAAACATTCAACTTTTTGGCATCCACCAAATCAAGACCAACAACAAACAAGTAATTTATGAAACGCCACACTTAATAGACATAGACAAACACACCTCTATATGGAAAAACCTCATTTTGGACATAACACTACAGCAACAAAACCACATACATATACACACAATCATAGTCAGAATGTAACCTCTTTTGTTTGGAAATAAGATCGTACCTCTTGGAAGAAACTGAAATATTTGAACGCACTGTTATGGCTTATAGTGCAGCTTCCTGTTTACGGTTTTGTTTGTACATCTAGCAAACTTTTAGCCATACTTAAAACACGGCCTCGTGTCGGTAAATGATGATTTATTATTGTATTTTATCTCTTCAACAAAGTATGATTTGGTATTAAAAAAGTGTCGTAACAGGTATGCCCAGTAAGTATGCCCAGTAAGTTCTCTCTGAAGCTTTTCAACAGGTCGTTAGAAAGTGCAAGCCCGGCGCGTTGCACTTATTTAACAACATAGGCATTCGGCTGGTTCGCTCCTCCAACCACCAACCACAGAAGCAAACTCTTGGAGAATAATGACAGGACCTGATACACACGTTCACCGAAATAGTATCCTGTCAAACCAAACAAGAGTTAGAGGCTAAATTGTAATGCTATAATGCCTGACAAGGACACAACGAACATACCCGAACCAGGATAATATCGGTCAGCCCACCACCCAACACGGTAGTACTGTAAATACATGTTTATCGGGAATGTCAGGAAGAAGAAGAGGTAGACAAAGAGGATTGCCCATACGAAACTTGGGATCTAAATCACGTAGACGTTAGCTCATACATGGCAAATATTGCACTGGTGTTTGATCCTTACAGATGAGCTCGAGACACCACCGATATACGCGAATATAGACACCCAAGGGACGATACCGGCGAACGAGCCATACCAGAAGGCGATAAAGTCTGTGTGGGTGCGGTTTGGGGGGTTCATTTTTTCTGTTAGGAGGCCTGCAGAGGGAAAGAGAGAATAAAAAGGAGGTAGATGTCAGAACCGTTGACTGGGAATGATCATTGTGGGCGATTTTCTGGTGTGTGTCTTACCGAAATAGTTCATGCATGCGTTTATGCAAAAGATGTTGACGAGGGTGATTATATCGTATCTGCATTGTACGAAAAAGGAAAGTGTTACGTTCCAATCACCAAAAGACTTTCACATCAGCCGTCAATATGCTCCAGCACAAATCACACACATCACGCTACTTACATGCCAAACAACAAACTAATCAAGAAAATCATCAGACTCGAACTCAGCGAGTACTCATACCATCTAAACTCGTTGATTCCTCGTCGTATTTGGGATACATAGCGGGCCCAGAATATGAGGACGAGCAGATGGAAGAAGGCGGATAGGAAGGAGAAGGCGGATGTTACTTGGACGAAGGGAATTAAGCCACGGGTTACGAGGGTGGGGACGGGGTAGCCTGTTGTCCAGACTGCGAATGTTGTTGTGAGCGGGAGCTAGATTTGAGAGGAGGTTTGTGAGTAGGTGTGACGGCCAAAAAAGATACACGGTATCTTTTGTAGTGAAGTTTGATTGGAATTTCCTTCTTTCGATCCAATATTTCTCTCCAGTTCATCCCACAAAGCTCTCCACCATTCCGTACTATTTCTTGCATTACCTTGAACTGCTTCAGCGAAGCCGACGTCGACCCAATCGCGAGACAAGCACATGCTTGCACCAGATGCAGCACCGTCATTGTTATATTCCATAGATACAACCTAATCCAAAATATCATTAGATCTCATTTTGCGTATTTCTCGATGTCGACTGCGAATTATGCATAGATCGAGTAATTATGGCACATTGTGCAGTACCAGCGGCCTAATTTCAAGCTGATAATGCAAAGATGTGCTCAAGAATGATGGTTATAACGCACCCTTTCTCATGTTTGCCTCGTAGTGCAAGCTGATCTGAATTCAGCGTTTCGAGTTGCTCTTCAGCCGATACGACCTTGTCTGCCATTCTAGTATAGCGGCCTTATAAGAGATGCACGATATAATGGTGTTTAGGTCGTTGTGACTCTCGCCCCTGGAAGCTAATCGAGATTTTTGTTTGCTGAGCCAGACCGACCACAAGGCGAAAAAAGCAGATCTGTTAAACCAGATTTTCGCCGCAGATGAGTGGAAAGGTGTGGAAGTGCGTCGGTTTGGAAGGTGATTAGTGGTTGGGATGCTTGGTGGTGCTGTGTGCTTGCAGTGGGTGGGTGTCCGCAATAAGTTTTGTGGGGTTTGGTGAATGGTTTGTGATTCTGCCATTGGTGATGAGGATGGCAGTGAAGAGTTTCGTGGTTGTATCGTTTAAGATCTTAGATCTACTAGATCTAGATGATTTTGATGCGTACAGGTTGGTTGATGCAGTCTTTTATGCATGCTTGGTCTTGAGCTTTGAGTCATCTAACCACACCATCAGAAGAATAATATTTAGATTAGTAAATCAACATGCTCCATACAAATGTCGCGTAAAGACCCGTGAATCCTCCAAAAATCTCATCCTCCACAACTCATCTCCAAATTTTCATTTGTCTTTATGACTCTTAAAACCTCGCGAAACCTTAAAATGCTCAAAACCATCAAAACCAAACCCAAATCTCGCCTCTTCCAACAAGAACACAATACCATACGCTCATACACACAAGCTCCTGAAAAATGACTATCCCAACCCTTCCATCAATGCCAACCACCACAGCACCAGAAGTCGCAACCTCAAGCTTCCGCAAAATCCTGGTGGGAGTAGACGAGAGCGAACACGGGATTGGTGCTCTCAAGTTCGCCATCAACGAGGTCGCCAGGGACAATGATGATATCATCCTGGTGAATGCAAGGGGTCCTGGTGGCTTGTTGATGAATGCTGACGCAAAGAGTAAGTGTCAATGCACTGCATTTGGGTTGGATGCAGTCGCTCACTGCGTTCGCTTCATGTAGAGGAACACGATGACAAGGAAGTCTTGGAAGGCAAAGTCAAGCTGGGTGGAATATTGAATGATCTCATTGCTGCCAGTGGCAAGAAGTTGGGAGGGGTTGTCAATGTTGAAGTCGGGGATTCGAGGTCTGTGTTGATGAGTGCAGTAAGTGTAATAAAACGGTTACATGATTGATGACGATTAGGAACTGATTTTGAGTTTATTTAGGTTGATACATTCAAGCCTACAATCGCAGTCGTCGGTGCTCGTGGTATCTCTGGTGTCAAAGCGTACGTTTTGATATTTCCATCTTTGAACGATGATTTTGCTTCTTCATATTGATTCGACGACGCCATTGCTATGTGGAAGACAGCAAACAATTTGAACGCACTACCCAAAAACCAGTCGCTCATATTACTTATTCAACATATAGGCTGCTCTTGGGCTCTACCTCAACCTTCTTGATCCACAACAGCGAAGTCCCCGTCATTGTCGTACGCAACTATCCCAAGCTCGATGGTGCTGCAGCTGCTGCTACTGGAACTACCACTGCCACTTCCACTGCTGCTCATCCTACAGGATCTGTTGCAACCCCATTGGCAACTGCACCTGTATCTCGCTGATTTGGTGGATCTAGTTGGGTTGTAGGTGTCTTTGTTGCGTGTATAGTGAGATTTCGCTTGTATGATTGTCAATATATGGTGTCGAACAAGACATTTTGGTTCTGGTTTGGATCGTTCGTTTATGCGTGCGTCTCCTAACAAATTCATATGCTTGAGCTTCCAAGTTTGAGCGACAAATCTAATTTGGATTACGGGTATCTATAACGAAGAGGCATAGACCAGGTATCAAATTCCTTAATTGGCAGTTGCAAGACTCTAAAGTCGCGCAGCATGCTCAAAACATTATGTAAACTGCCTCCCAAAAGCAGTTCGCGCCAATTCACGACTTTCTCAACATCCAACCAAAGTAGACGCACATTCGTCGACAGAGACTAACTTGACACCAATAGCGTCCGTATAGGTGCACATAAATCGTAGATCCAGTATCCATATCATCCCAAGATGGCCCAATTCACCACCCTCCCACTGGAGATCAAGGAACAAATCCTCGCAAGCTTAAACCTCCCTGACCTGCTTTCAACATCTATGGTCTCCACAAGTGTCGCATCAGCAAGCAACAGCAGCTATATCTGGTCTCGACAGAGTCTCGTGCTCCAAGAATCGGTTGTAACCGACATTACAGAACGGATTGCCATCCCTGTAAATCAAACCACATGTGATATCTTCCGTGAGAGGTGGTCGTGGGTGTCTGAATTAGAATGCTGTGTATCAGAGTATGATGGAATCGGGGCGCTGAATATGGTGTTGCCAATGTTGGTTAATTTGGGGCGTTTGAGGTTTCGAAGTTGTCGCTTTGTCGGTGTTGTGGATTGGTTGAGTAATTCTGTGCCTGTGACGTTGAAGTCGATTGATATGTCTGGAAATATAGAGGTTTTGGATGAGCATCTTGAGCTGATTGCAAAGTGAGGGTGTTGTTTTTGACGCATCCCGCCCTGTTACTTACAGCCTGCCTAACCTATGTTACATGTAGACGGTGTCCGTCTCTAGCCCACATAAACGCATCTCGATGCTCCAAGATCCAAGGCAGCTTCCTCCAAGTAGCAGCAACACACAAAATCCAAACTCTAAAACTCGGCACATGTTGGGGCATGACTCGAGAAAACTTTGATCAGGCGGTAGATCCCGATACTGGATCACTCGTGAAATGTAAGACGTTGAAAACACTTGACGTCAGTTATAACGCGCTAGTATCTGGGAGTTGGCTGGTCAAGCTGGCCCATGGTCGAGTCAAGAATCTCAAGCATGAACGACTGCCTTTGGATTTGGATGTTAGATGTGATAACATGACGTTAAAAGATGTTGATGGTGCGCTGGGTATAGATAATAGTCTGAGGATTCGACACAATGCGGTGCTGAGGGATGATAGTCCTGAGGCTATCAAGGAATATATACAGCTTTTGATATCTTGCTAGTGGAATTATTTCTTGTATATGTATTTATTTGCTAAGTGGACTAGTAGTATAATTTTGAGCCAATATTAAACTTATTTTTGAAAGCAACTCATCCCAAATATTCTCGTGTCAATCTTTACTTTATAGTTTTTGACTCTTCGACAGCAATGGCAGCTTGCACAGCACCCAAAAGGCCTACGCCGATGGCATCTCTAATGGTAGTAAGAGTCTGCTTAGTCTTCGTTTCAAATAAAGTACTCAGTGGCAAGCACTTGCGGTGGAGACCAAGCATCATTCCAGATCGGCTCCTCGTAAGCTTCACAGAAAGCCGTCAGAAACCCACAATTTCGTGCTGCTTGGCAATCCCAAGCATGACCGGCCACAAACCAGAACGGTTCATTCTCCTCAAGTTGATACGTCTTTTTTAGATGTATTTTGATGGCTTGATCTACATAATAGAACTTGAGCCCGCAGAATCAATCTCTCCACAAGACAAGATAGCCTTCAATGAGTACTCACACACTCTTGGATCAGTTTTTGCCGCACCAATCTCCTCACACGACAATATAGCCTTGCCTGAATCAAAATGCTGCAAGATGCTTCCATTCTTGAGAGCATTTTCGACCGTTGAGCGTCCACCATTTGTCACAATTGATACAAGCCAGCCCTTTGAAATCAAGAGCTCGAGTGCTTCTTGAGCGCCTTCAACTGGTTCCATTCCTCTTGCAAAAAATCTCATGAAACTTTCGATATTCTCCTTGGCTTCGTCGTCGACTGGTAGGCCTTGAGTTATGAGGAATCGTGGCACTATTTGATTCCGTTGTATGAGATGTTGGTACGTTCAAGTATGAGCGCAACACACACGACAAGTTGAGCGAGACTTACAGCAGTGTCTGAAGAAGTGAGACAGTGGCCTGTAATCACCAGAATATCTGGAAAAAGGAGAGCAAAAGGTTGAGAATTGCACCAACAGTGGTGAGATCGATTGCGAGCAACAAGACTTACGAACTGGCCATGTAATCTCGAAGCACAAATGGGAAGTATCTTGAAAATCCGTCAGGACCCAAGCTAGGGAATAGCTTGAAGAGTTGATTTGCTGGTCCGTCGAATGATAGTAGAGTGCCCAAAGCATCAAACACGATGGTTGGTGCCATGGGCAATGTAGCTAGGAGAGAGACGTGAAAAAATTAATAAATATTATAATCGAATTATAATTTAAGTGAAAATTCAAAAATTATCGTGGTATCCTTGTTCCTCGTTCACTTGAAATCTCTGAGCCAAACATCTTTTGAGTCAGTTTTCAAGTGCGCTACATAGGAAGAAAGCTAACGGCATCGCTTCCATCTCGTTCATCGGTCTGAACTGGACTTACTTGGCGGTGTGCTTTCCTACAGCGAACGGTATTATATCTGGAATTTCCTTGTCTTGTCAGCAATTTTAGTGATTTGAACTGACATCAAACCTGAACCTAGACGCATATACGTGACGAGATGGCCAAAGATCTGAATGGAAGCAGCGACAAACAAGCTCTACCACGAAATGACACGCCGAGAAAATCATCATCACGTCGAAAACCATCAACATCAAATCCCTATCAAACATTTTGGCCATCAGTTACCTTGGTGTTTGTCGTGTCGATTGTTATAGCGCTGTATAGATACAACGCGCTACCAACACCATTGGATTCACCGTATGATGATGCTGGAAGGCCGCAGTTTAGTGAGGGACTGGCTCGTAAAATCGTGTCAGGTAAGAGGTGCTCATCCGCCATTGAATACGCTTATGTGGAGATGTTAACGCGTCAGTAATGCTGCATTAGGACTAGCCGATGAAATTGGATTAAGGTTGACGGGCAGTCTTGGTGAAAAGCAGGCTGAAGACCTCATTCTTGGGAAGCTTGACGAGTACAAACAGGCTTCTATTCAGGCTGGTGGAGTGCCAGTGTTTGAGATATCGGTCCAACGAGCTAGGGGATCGCATGAATTCTACATTCTACAGTCGCCAGTGCTAAAGATATACGAAAATATTACGAATATTGTAGTGCGCTTATCTTGCGGGTCAGAGTGTAACAAGAATGCAGTCTTGTTGAATTCGGTAAGCGTGTGGCGTTGGAGATTTCCGTTGTCTCGGTGTAAAGAGACTGTCGCACCTCCTTTTTTGTTGCTAAAATTTCCATCAAAGCCCAACGTTGACACTATTCTCCTTAGCACTTTGACACCACATTGCTCACTCCTGGAGCAACAGATGATGCCGCGGGTGTTGCCATCATGCTGGAAACAATTCGAGTATTAGCGCTCAGTAAAACTCCAATGAAAAATGCCGCCATCTTCGTATTCAATGGCGCAGAAGAAACATTACAAGATGGAAGTACTGCTTTTATACGACAGCACGAGCTCAAGGATACAATCCGAAGCATTATAAATATAGAAGCTTGTGGATCTACAGGCAAAGCAGTCGTATTCCAAACCAATAGTCCTGATTTGATGAAGGTGTATGCTAAAACCGTGCCGTATCCATCGGGAACTGTGTTAGCAAACGATGTTTTCAAGACTGGAATCATCGGTAGTGACACTGATTTCAAGCAGTTCGTCGCTTATGGCGGACTGCCTGGTATTGATCAAGCATACATTAGAAACAGTTATGTGTATCATACGATGTTGGATGTGGAAGAGGCTATTGAACGTGGATCGCTGCAGCAGCTTGGAGAGAATACGTTGAAACTGGTTGAAGCCATCACCACCAGTGTTGGTGAGTATTTGCTTTCGACAGATTCATATCAATCGTATCGTACTAATGCATTCAATCGATAGATGACCTTGCTGATTGGAAACAGTCCTACGATATAATCTTTTATGATCTCCTTGGATATGTCGAAATAGTATACGATTCGAGTACGGGATTACGCCTCATGATAATCATAGTCAGCCTATCGCTGCTTCAAATAGTCCGAGATGTCAACAGGGAGCGTAACAGCTCGGGTGATAACGCAGTAGTAGCTAGGTACCTTGTCGCATATCTAAGCTGCCTGGTATCCTTTGTCGCATCTCTAGTAGGACCAGCATTGACTGGTCTCTATATGCAAACCAATTCAGTACCAATGAGATGGTTTACTCGTGAATGGTATGCCATTATCCTATTCTTTCCTAGTGGTATTCTCGGATTATTACTAGTGCAAGCGGGAACGAGAAGGATTTACCAATATCTGTCACCTGGTTTGGCTTATGAGAAAATGGAGCGAGCTACGCTGACAGGGTTGTTGGCATTCATGTCTACCCTGTTTGTGTTATTTACATGTCTTGGGCTTGGGTCGGCATTCGTATCTATGATTTATACAGCTACTCTATGGCTTGGTCTAGTAGTGGAGAACGTGTTTCGAGAGCCCAAGGGACTGGTACCTCCTGGTATCTACCATATAATCTTGCCTCTTCCAGTCATGGCTACCACCACGTTTGTTGCTGGATTACTTGATATGGTATGTGATTTTCGAACTTGTTTTTTGGAATTGCTTTGGAAAAGAATGCAGGATGCAATAACGTACGAATTTGCGATTGACAAAATCTTTTCCAAATCGTACAGCTCATACCATTGATGGGTCGGATCGGTGCATCCGCTCCCACAGACTTAGTAACTGGAGCACTCTCAGGAACACTAGTTTTTTGGATGGGATACATGGTTCTTCCGGCCTTCCAAAGGCTCAGTAGTTATTCTCAATGGAATGCTATTCGGCTTATTGCTGTGTCGTCTCTGGTGATGCCAGTAATATTCCAACTATTTGTTTCGCCATATGACAATGCTCATCCCAAACGAATATGGTATGATACTTTCCTCCATTGCATTTTTTCGACCCTTTCGTTTACGCGCAGGCGAGTTCTTTATCTCACATTTACCGTTTCATGCACTAGGGTCGAGTATAAGAACAATGCAACTAGTGGAGAGCAATCTCTGTTAGTAGCACACGCAGGTAAAAGAACTCGCATGGAAATGGCTACTATTCTCGATCAAGATAAACACCAATTTCACCCACTTAGACAACGCTATGATGCCTTCTGTACTAGCCACCATAGAGAAAGTAGTGAAGAGCAAACCGGTGCTGAGAAGTCCAGAAGTATCTGATTATGGTATGTCTGTGAGAAACTTCTTAAATCCGAATATCCGTACTAACTATTTTTGGCAACCATAGATTGGGCAGCATTATTCCCCTTTAGCCACTTTATCGAATCATACCACTTCACCCTCCCACCTGCACCAGCAGGTGCCAGTGACAACCCGGCACCCGAGATTCGAGTCTTGAAATCAGTTTACAATGAATCTAAAAACGAAAGAAGTGTGGTATTACATGCCTTCCATCCTAATCACGTATGGACTGTCATGTCGTTTTACGCAGAGGTGCTGGAGTGGTCGTTGGATTCACAGCCTGAAGATCATCCTTCGGTGTATGTTGTGAAGGTATGTTCTAGAGTGCTCTCGTGGTTTTGTTAACCGTATCGCAAACTTTAAAAAACAATCCACTTCTGGACTTATCACGTCAACCCTTCAGAACGCAGGTGGATACATCACTAACGGCTGGACCGTAAACATGACAGTTAGAGGAAGCGCCAAAATCCCCGTCGAGCTCACAGGTCTAGAACGAGACTCGATGCATGGACTCGGACGCTTCGAGGGTGAACATTCGAAACGGGCTGGTAGGAGCTGGTTGTGGAGTGACAATTATAGAAGTGCTAGAGTGTTGAAGGATGTAGAACGGGCTATTAGTGATTTAGAATACGTCAATGGGGCTTTTATATCCGTTGACGTTGTTAAGATTAATGTTTGAGTGAAACATCAAGGTTCAATATAAATCCATTTTTGGGTCTATTTGAAATGGCAAAACATGTATAAGAAACCAAGTGAAATGAAATAGAGGATGTGTTGGTGTATTCGTACCCAACAAGGACGTAAAGAGCCCGATTTTCTTTGATGTGACGATGAGGATGCATGCGCTCATGAGCACACAAGTGCCAACATATTTATCAGTGTTCATGTATGTAAGATACAAAATAGGAGTAATTTCATTGCGGATGCCTACATCAGTGCTTTTTTGCCACACCCTTACCGCCACCATCACAAATGTTGTACCTTTGATAAATCAGGAATATCAGCAGTAATTCTAAAAACCGTAAACTTGAATCTCAACCAAGATTTCTTTATAATACAAAGTTGTATTCCAAAATACCAAGCTCACAAATATACATAGTGTGTTGGCCTCTATAATCCCAACCAAAGTCCATTTGTATCAGTTATCTACGATCCCACAGCCTGCAACATAATCGGAGCAGACGAATATACATACGCCACAAACGGCGCGTCCATTGGATCCCATGTACTAAATATAGCTACATAGCCTTGGTCACCAGGCTGCAACAAGACCTTTTCAGTCGCAACGCCCTGAACGACGTTCGTGTATGGTCCTGAAGTGGTGATTTCAGGACCTGTTGATTTGGTGTCGGCGCCACGTTGGAAGATGGTGACGTTGATTGGCGGTGGTGGTTTTGTTATGGGTGTTTGGAGGCGTATTCTGTTTGTAAAACGTAGTTTCAGTTTCAGATGCAAAAAAAACAAAAGAAAAACAAAAGAAAAAAAAACATCATTGCGATTTGCGTAATGACTTACAAGACATAAGTAGGAGCAGGTACATCAATCGAGAAACGAGGATTCTGACCATACTGTTTGTGGAGTGCTGATCCCATTCCATTGAGTCCTTTCACCCTGTTCACAGCGATATCCAAAAAAGAGATGAATATATGGCAGAGTCACATAGCGTCGAATCAAATTCTCACCATTCACTCTGAATGACTTTACGTTGCATTCCCTAATTTCCACAAAAAATGTCAGACCTTCCGTTGTACTTCAGACATAATGCTGGTAGCTCACCTCTCCTTCAAGTGGTATACGGCCCATCTGAAACTTGCAAGTACATCGGACAGTCAAGAAGAACGATCCTTCTAAACCAGCATCGAATGTTGAACATATGATAGTGTAAGGTCCAGCTATACCAAAAGAAGTCAGTACCTGGCATTTCAATAATATCTAATGATGCCGAAAGAGACAACTTACGGGGTAAATCATTAGCTTCCAAATAACAAAATCCATGTCGATAGTCGCCACTGGTAGCAACCGTGTCCTTTGCCACACTATCGAAGAGAAGCATCATAAAGCTTTGATACCATTTGTTTTGCTTTAGTTCTACACTTGCAAACACAAACACACCTCGTAACACGTGTCCCACCACCAATCAGCTTCAAATTAGCAGGATGCGTCCGTGGCGCTTCAATCATAGCAAACAGTGAACATTTGCCATTTGATTTTGAATCAGACGACGGGATGACGATCTTGTAGTTTGGGTTGTTGAGGTATGTCGGGTGAGCGAGAGATCCACCTGCTGTTTCAGCAGTCCATGATGTAGATATCTAATAAAGTCTGAGATGTTAAGCCTGCTATCTTGGCGAGCCAAAAAATTAATGCAGAAATCAATTATAACACCCACGCGTTGCTCTTCAGAATACTTTCTAGGTATTTCACCAATCTTGAATGTTGATAGACCATATGCACGTAAGCTAAAATTCAGTGTTTTGCGTTTTTGATGTTGGGAGACAACGATGGTGTATCTTGATTTGCCAATAGGTGCTTTGAATCGTATCTGTGAGACGTTTGGAGTTACGTCAGTATTCGCTTCTTATAGTTGGATGAGACTTTTTCCGGTGTCGTTACCAAAATATGAGGACTAAAAAAACTTCGAGTGAGAACCATGACTGGAAAAATTCCAACGACTCCTCACTCACCTGTTAATATATACACCCTGTATCATGGGCTTGTCAGGATAATAGACTCGTTCACAATTCGTGTTTTCGTATACATGGAGAGCGATGTAGTCAGTATTCTCCTCCTACGTGACATCCATTCTATTGCTTGAGATAGAGATTCTAATTGCACGTCGTAATTCAGTGATAAACTTACAGTGACAGTAATATGCTTAGACAAGAGCAACCAAACGGCATCTTGTCTTGCGTCCTCCACATTGACTTCCACTAACAAAAGAAATGAGCACCAACAAAAAAAATGGTCAAAGACTGGACTTACACCCATATTGAGGATTGAATCCTACATCAACACATTAGAATATGACCAAAGACAACAAATAATGAAATAGACACTGCATTGTACCAAGATTATAGTTATCTCGAATGGGACCATCTTCAGCAGGCCAGGATCTATTCAATGAAAAAAATAAAAAACATACTACACATGAGGTGTTCAAACTTACACATGCAGCACATATCGATACTTGAAGAGCTCTGGATTCCTACATCGAAAACCTCATCAGACAAGCACGGGGACAACGAAGCCTCGCAACATATGCTCACCAGTTCAAATGAATCGAGTCGAATTTGGAGCAGACGGATTCAAAGTCAATCCAAAAGATTCCTAACGACGAAAAAAGAATCAGCATTTATACGAAAATGCACCGGTGCCGTACATTCAGTCACCGTCATCATTTTGCATAGCACCCAACTGATCATAATTCAGTTCTCGTTTGAGTTCAGGTGTCCAGTTCTTGGTATCCAGATGTGAGAATGGGCCTAATAAAGAAATGTGAATATGTTCTTCAATCTACTGTTACTTGGTTGCTTTTACCCTTCCATCGTTTATGGCTCCACGGATTCTTCACCTGCATCAGCCTCAAGCCACCAATTTCTCGTAAATCAAGTAATGCGTAAGCGTGAGTGGGTACGAGACCCAATGTCTCAGCTTCGCTCTCTGACATTTCGCCCTGTTTTATAAACGAGGTTGATTTAGGTACGTGGAGTTGGAACGTGAGGTTTCAACGATTCTTACAGTCGCGATAGTGATTAATGCATCACCATAAAGACACCCGTCTAGCAATCGCTGCCATTGAGTATCGGCGTTGAAGCTCTTCCTGCAAAGAGGAAGTTCAGCATAAAAAGTGTACGAAAAGGTACACGGATGACCATAAGTCACTCACTCTCTGATAAACACATGCTCTGGTATCCAGCCAGTCAGGGCTATGAAGAAGACGCTGTTACAGTCTGTTGATCAGTGGCATATCCAAACGGTTACTTACCATACAAGTCAATGCCAGAGTTTCTAATATTCACGAAAGTGTTGAGAGCGTGTGGTGATTTTTTATTTATGATTCTTTTGAATGATACTTACGATCCAGGAAAATCGTATCCACCCATCAGTTTCATATACTGTGTTGAGTAGGGCGTCAGGACCAAAAAGAGGAGTAATGGAGCTATCTTCGATGGTTCTACTAACCGCTTTCTCAATGATACTCGACCACAGCTCATTGCGGTTCGTTGAATATGTACACATCAGCGTTCCTATATTGGTGTTGAATCAGCATGCTGTCCAAGAGTACAGTTTGGAAAGATTCGTACCATCTTTTGATATCGGCAGCAGATCGTCGATCACTGTTTCAGATTGGACCGTGTCAGCAACGCACAAAAACAAACATGCAAGAGGTTCCCGCATACCAATCTATTGATTCAACGTTAGAACAGATTTGGAATTGATATATACACACTACAATACCTTTCTTGAGATGCCATTGTAAATCAATTTGATCATGTACTTGCCACTTGGATTGTACAGCGGCTGTCCATTCTTGTCTTGCGGATAGATGCAAGATGTAATCAGCTAATTGATGATTTGGTAAGACTTACAAAGGCGAAAAAAAACGACAACCGATCACAGAACCTACATTCTTTCTGAATCTTCTTTCATACGCAGAACTGACACAGAGAGAGGCCACAAAGGAGCAATCAGTTACAACGTCCTACATGTAAACAATGTTGATACAGCAAACCATGAGACGACGCCATTGCGATTTTTCCCCACCTGCACGATATTAGTCGAAGACACCAAATGAATCATCTTTGGAGCAGCCATAAACTGACAAGGTCTCTTCCACCCTCCAAATCGTGACGTTTGTCTCGCCGACAGTTTCAGCACACCATCAGGATCAGTAAACAAGTCCGGATAATAGAATCGTTCGTTCAAATCCAATTCTAGCCACGGCAAGTAAGCTCGGTTATTGACATATGAGGTTTTGCGGAGTACTTCGAGTTCTTGGCTGGTTAGTTTTGGGCGATTGGTTCCTGATGAGGCTGAAGAGAATGACGATGCGTTGTTTTGGAGCGACGCGTTGCTTGATGTGGCAACGCTTTGAGCGCGATTTGGTGATGGGTTTCGGAGGTTGGTTGTTGATGTGGTGCTCACTGGTTCCAAGGCTGAAATGTCTTGGTAAGTTTGATGGTTTTTTTTTGTGATTCAACAATCCAGCATATACCATACTTGAGGCAGAGGACATCTTCATGATTTCCTTAATCTCTCCAATCCTCTCCAAGATCTCAGACACTTGGCCACGAAATTGTGTCTTGAGTGATGGCACCGTCAGGTCTGCAAGAAAGAAAAACGTGTCAGTATGACAGACAGAGAAAGGAGCTTCCAATCTCTGATCACCTTTGAAGATGGATAAGAGCCCTTCAGCAGCCGCGTCGTAGAGAAACACTGCCTCAGTCCAATTCTTGCGAGCATCGTGCCATTGAGCTTGTTTCAACGAGAACTAGAAAAACATACCAGTCAGTTGTGAGTCGTTTGAACATGGTATTCAATACTAACTTGAGCCTGTTGGATCTTGTTTTCGACAAGCGATAACTCTCCACCTCCGAGTTTCTTTGATCCAAGCTGTCGTTTCAGCTGTTCGGCACGTTCTACGTATGATAAAGCCTTGTTTTTCACGGAGGTCTTCTTGTTTGAATTGGTCTCCACTAATGAGCAAAGTGCGAGGTCAGTCAACAATGTCTGAAATGTTGAGATTGTGTGAAGCTACAAACCACCACAACGGGATACCTTGAATGATTCTCAGCATTGTTTGAGCCGCTTCGTAATAGTAGGCTTGTGCGGTTGACAAGTCTCCAGAAGTGTCCGCTTCGACGGCGGCAGACGCCAATCCAATTCCATCGTTATAAAGCTCCTCTAGTGAGATTTTAATGGGATGATTCATGATCCACACGTTAAATATTAGCTACTGAAATGTAGCTTGACTGAGCTACTCATTCTCTTTGCTCAGTTTGGTCCAAACACTAAGTTCTGGACTCTATCGTTGGTGAAAGTTTCCATGCAATCGGCGTCTTAATCCCCTTTCAATACGATAGATGCGTGTAAATTGTCCGTTTATATATGTTCCATGAAGAATAATGTCATGTTGAAGTTGATTTGACACGTCACTGGTCTCTCGATCGTTCGCGATTCTCGACGGCAAAACTTCAACGTAAAGGACCAGAACGGGTTTTTTATTATAAGTTGCAACATTTAAGCACGATCGGCGCCCCTTTCTCTATTATAACTGTTACAGTTGAGTGCTCCACCGCGTGTATTTTCATTCCAAACGCCGTAACTAGAAGTGTCCTTATTGGTGTATAGGGATTTGAAGAAAGTTGGATATGGGTTCAGAGGAAAGTCCAGACACTGCAGGGCCAGCTAGTGTCGTCATGACTCCGTCAGGACCAAGTGCAGACACCCTCCCAAGTGAGGCATCTATTTTGATGGGACCAGCTAGTAGCGACAGCAATCAGAACCTCATTGATCACCCACTCGATCACCCATCACTAAAACGAGATGCTGTCATTGCTATGGGTCCGAACGAAGCTGCAACGGAATCATCAACATTGATTGCAAAGTGCTGGCCATTAAACCGTCATAATAAACCACCAAACAAGAAGATCATTTCGTACTTTGGACTGCTGTGGAAGTATGCTGATGCTGTTACAGTCTCGTATATGCTTGTCGGCACTCTGGCTGCAATGGCGAATGGTACCATCTTGTGTTTCAGGTGCTATGGTCTACATCTTTCAGCTAAACAGATTGATCGAATAGGTGCCGTCACTCCAATACTGAATCTTCTCATTGGCCAACTGGCTAATGTTGTTACGGACTATGAGAATGCTGGACCAAACTATACTGGAAATCTGCTCAATGAGCTTATTACACGAGTCATTATTCTCGCGGTGCTAGCTGGAATGAGTTTGATTGCAGGGTATGCAGTTGACAATCTAATGGCTGATCAGACGTGGGACTGACACGTCGACATGCGTTTGTAGGTTTCTGCAGACATTCTGTTGGACAATACAGGCTGAGAAGCAAACCAAGGTAGGATTACCATTTGTTCTCACCAGTCAATATGCCTCAGCTAAGGTGTTCCCGCTTAGATCATGCGACAACGATACTTTGCTTCACTGTTACGGCAAGAGTTGGCGTGGTTTGATACCAACCCAACTGGTGAATTAGCTTCTCGCATATCCGGGTATCTATTTTCAAGGTTTGCTCTCTCTTGGTCACCGACAACTGACGCTCATCATCTTTCAGTGATGTTAATATTATTTATGACGGAACTGCAGAAAAAGTTGGATTCACCATACAGTACACCACTTCATGTGTTGCTGGTTTGGTATTGGCGTTTGTTACTAGTTGGAGATTATCTGTAATACTGCTGGGTGTCTTTCCTATACCAGGTATGTTTGCTGCTACGGCTTGTTGTACACAGAATGTTTGTATCGAAAAAGGCTTTTTATAGCTATTGCTCTAAATCGCATGTGGAACCAAGTTGGAGTCAACCTTGACAAAGGTGAGCATGATATTATCGTAAATGGGGCACTTCCAGTAGCATATACTCATATCGGCTCTGCTTTATTAGTACAAGCTGCATACTCCAAAGCTGGAGCACTAGCAACGGAAGCATTACGTGGCATCATAACAGTCATGAACAATAACGGCCAACAGCAAATAATGAAGACCTACTATTCATATCTGGAAGAAGCATTCGGTATAGCTAGACGAATCGCTTACATCAATACTGCTGGTGTCGCTGCAGTATCCTTCTTCTTTATGGCTGTCAGAACACCAGTTTTTTACTATGGTGGTTTACTTGTATTGCAAGGTCAATTGACGGCTGGTAATGCCATATCGACGTTTTTGCAGATATCTTCAGGTATGTGTGGTGTGCTAGGTGCAACTAAGTTGATTAGACATGTCGGATTGCAGTTTTTTTCGTTTGCCTGACCATCTTACATCTTCAAACTAGGTGTCATGTTTCTTGGAAACGTCATGATGTATTTACAAGCTATAAATGAAGCACAAGGAGCTGCTCAAAAAGTATTCGAAGTCATTGAACGTCAGCCTGCGATAGATATTACGTCGACCGCTGGTAGAATATTGGATGACGTTCGAGGACGTATTGAATTCAGAGATGTTACCTTCCGGTATGCAATCGTTCGTTCCGGAAAAATCCCATTTTTGGTGGCGCTCACCAAAAGAAAATTATTTAGATACCCAGCTAGACCAGAAGTTGTCGTTCTAAAGAACTTCTCCTTAACCATTGAGCCAGGCCAGAAAGTAGCTCTAGTTGGCCAATCTGGATCTGGAAAGAGTACTGTCTTCCAGTTACTTTTGCGCTTGTATGAGTATGAAAGTGGTCAGATATTCTTGGATGGTGTTGATATTCGAGAGATTAATCTTCGTCATCTGCGTGAGGTAAGAATCGCTGTTATTTTTGGTTGATTATGATTGTGTCGCTGTCTAATATCAATGTTGAATAGGTCTTGTCTATTGTCAGGTAATTACGACAAAATATGTCGAGTTTCTTTCTTGCGCATCTCAGCACCTAGCACCTAATAAAATTTCATCTCAGTCAAGAGCCTGTACTCTTTGACACGAGTATCTACGAGAATGTGGAGCTTGGAGCACGTAGCAATCAAAAAGCAATGGCTCTAGACATTGAACGTGCACTTGCTGCAGCTAATGCTCTCGAGTTTGTTAAAGTATTACCTCATGGTGTTGATACGATTATTGCTGGTGGTACTGCATTGTCTGGTGGGCAGGTAACGCACTGTGTTGAGGGTGTGATATGAGACCCGACGGGCTCTAACTTTTTTCTCCAACCTTTTCGCTCGACAGAAACAACGTATCGGTAAGCGCTTTTGAATTTTCTACCAGTTCACAGAAAGACGTCAAACATTAACACATCCATATCTAGCTATCGCTCGAGCGGTACTGAGGAATCCGAAAATTTTGTTGTTGGATGAAGCTACAAGGTGAAATCTGCACTTAGATTTTCTGCCATGTTCCTTTTTTTCTCTACTTACACCGCATATCAAAACTTAAAGTGCTTTGGACACCAAATCAGAATCCGTAGTTCAAAAAGCTCTAGATCAATTGGCCCGAGATAGAACAACACTCACCATTGCACATCGGTTATCAACTATACAAGATTCCAATCTAATAGTAGTCATGGAAGATGGTCATGTCATCGAACGTGGCACACACGATGAACTGGTGCAAGCTGGTGGTGCTTATGCAAGTATGGTGAATGCTCAAGCATCCATGCCTGCTCCTCATGACGGAAATGGAACGACGACTGACGGAGGAGCTCCCAGTCCAGCTCGAATTGTAAAAGCCCCTATAGTGCCAGGCTCGCCAGCTTCCATAATCAGTACGTCAACTGGACCACCGGGTGATATCAAACTACCTGACATGTCAGCCAAAAAGCTCGACTCAAAAGTCCCTGGTACCGAAGACGAGGCCGATGAAGAAGAGAAATATGAAGAGAATCGAATCAAATTGGATGAAAAGAGATTGGGTGGTCAGCCATTTCCCTTCCAACGCCTCACGAAACTGTCGCTACCTCATAAATCATTTATTATAATTGGTCTGGTTGGATCTATTCTAGATGGAACATCAGTACCTCTAGAAGCCTTACTGATGGGTATAAATTTAGGAGTATATCAAAACCCAGCTGCATATGGTGGAGAAAGCGGTATCTTGAAATACTCGCTCTTCTTCTTAGGCCTGGCCGGACTAGCGCTCATATCCAAAGGCCTTCAGCAATACGGATTTGGTATATCGGGCGCTAAACTGACTCAACGGTTACGTGAAGTGACGTTTGAGAAATTGGTGTCACTCGATATGTACTTTTTCGATGAGCCTATACATCGACCTGGTGTTATGGTTGCACGTCTAGCCACAGATGCAGATACCGTGAAACGAGTTGGTGGACCTCTGTTGGGACAATTGCTGACTTTGATTATCAATTCTGGGTTGGGTCTTGCTATCGCATTTGGATATGGGTGGCAGTTGACGCTGGTTATGTTTGCTATGGCTCCTGTGCTGTTTGGTGCTACATATCTTGAGAGACGGGCACTTGAAGGGTATGTTGGTTGGTTGGTCAGTTACATTCTGGCATGCGGTACAATTTAGCGGCCCCTTTTTGGTATCTAGGTTTTTGGATGAGACTCAACGCAGTTATGCTGCGTCTGGAAACTTTGCAGCTCTAGTGTTGACCAACATCAAGACTGTGACCATGTTGGGTCGGGATGAGTATTTTGTTTCCAAATATACAGGTATGATTGAGTCCCTGTGGAGCGCCGCAGTGTCTCATGACATTCAGGTACTTACACTGCTTTTTGGCAATGCATTTAGAGACCCTAGAACCGATATATCAAACAGGATTCAAGAAGGCTGTGGCAGCTGCCGCTGGAGCTGGACTCTTTCAAAGTATGTGGTGGTGATAAACGTCAATTTTTTCTCCCTTTGCACTACTGACAATATTTTCTGTTTTAGTGCTACTAATATCAACACTCCTCGTGGCATTCTTCTTCTGCTACTATTTAATCATAAATAACATTCTCGCCTTTAATCGCATCACCGTCGTCATCCTAAACGTACTCCTAACCTCTGCAGCTGCAGGAGGAATGGCATCCGCAACACGAAACATTACAGATGCCAAAGTAGCTGCTCTCGCAATCTTTGAAACCATCGATACCAAACCACGAATTGATATTGATGACGATTCAGGACGAAAGGACAAAGCTGTGGGTAACTCGAGTGTCGAGATATCCAATGTGAGGTTTGCTTTTCCTAGTCGTGATATGGTGCAGGTCTTGAAAGGAGTTAGTTTGAGTGTCAAGCATGGAAGTAAAGTTGCCATTGTTGGAAGCTCTGGGTCTGGAAAGGTACCAATTTTTGTGAACCCAATGTAACCTCCATTTGTCGCAGGCTGAAATGTCACATTTTACCCTGTAGAGCACACTAGCTCTCCTAGTCGAACGAATTTACGATCCGGACTCGGGATCCGTGTCATTTGCAGGCACAGACATGAAGGACTGGAATCTCAAAGCACTGCGAGAGCAGATTGGAGTTGTGGGTCAAGAACCGGTCCTGTTTAACTTGACTATTGAAGAGAATATCAAGTATGGGTATCCGCAAGCTACCCAAGCTGAAGTAGAAGATGCTGCGAAAGCTGCTAGTGTGCATGACTTCATCATGTCGCAGCCGCAAGGTTATCAAACTAGAGTTGGTGAAATGGTAGGAGCGTTGTTTTGCAGAAGGTGAACTTTATTAAACTGACACTGAGTTTTGCTGTTTCAAATGTAGGGAGGTCGATTGAGTGGTGGTCAGAAGGTACATGACTTGGCTCTTGGCTTTTTTTTTTGTTGCTAATCCCGAATTTTGTCTTGCTTATAGCAAAGGATATGTATAGCCAGAGCTGTTGTTCGTAAGCCTTCACTGCTGATTCTAGGTATTAATTTTTCTCCTTTCATTGTTTATTTTTTCACCAATGAAAGTCGAAACCTTACAAAACTGATTTCTTTGAATAGATGAGGCCACTAGGTTTGTTGACAATTGGCTATCTTTGTGCTTTGCATACTCAATACTGACTTGATCCTCATTCATAGTGCTCTTGATGCGTCAACAGAAACAGTTGTTGATGAAGCCTTGCATAACATATCGTCTGGTAATTTCCTCCCACTGTTTGATGCTTTTATTTCGTCTGATCTCCCAAACTCATCGACTTTACTCTCTTTAGGCGTGACAACACTAGTCATCGCCCACAGACTACGAACAATCCAAGGAGCTGACAGAATCTACGTCTTGCAAAATGGTCTTGTTGTTGAAGATGGAACGTATTTGGAGTTAATGGCTATGAATGGACACTTCTATAGTCTTGTGCAAGCTCAAACGAGGCTACATGCCATAACGGCCGAAGTTTCTTAGGAGGGAGAGGAAGAATGTGTTTGCATTTTTCAGCTGTTTGGTGTTGTAAAGGAAACTTGAAATATATTGCTTAAGCTTATTTTCAATCAAAAAGTAGGTTTTTTAAAAAGTAAACTTGTTTTGACTGGTTTCTGAATTGTGGTGGTGCTTCCTATGTGTCTGTTCGCTTTGAAACACAACTGCGTGAAAAGGAGCTAGAGCTGTGTGACTGAAGGCACTTCTTCGGTATCCTCGTATATTCCCTACTTTTTTTGGTGTGTCTTTTCTTCCTTTCATTTAGAAGACAACACCGCACCATCTTTTTCTAACATCATTGACGGCATGGTTCCTCCTAGGGGGGTAGCACATGGTGATTGGCCCTTCGTAAGACGGTGAATGCTGTGTTAGCTTGAGAGTTTGGGTCCTAAGCGGATGCTGAGGATGGAGAGAAGGAAGAGTAGATTTGCGGAAATGGTGTTGATGCTGTGACAAAATTTGATGGATTGATGATCGTGGAGAATGATGTTATCATCAACTTTGTTTGTCAAACAATTGGATTTGGAAGGTTGGTTGAAGCATGTGAAAGTTTTAGATGCTACAAACCTGTCATTAGATTTATGGTCAGCTCGACGTTGAATTTGAGTGTGAGCGGCATGGTTGAGGATGGAACGAAAAGGGAGGTCTCCTAATGTCTTATGGGTTGACCAACACCTCGCAGTAACTTTCATCGTTTTCAATGAATAGGAGATGCAGTCCTTATCAAGCCCGTACCGAGGTCTTTTACTGTAGATATCCTGTCCAGTACGGTCTCTTGTAGACCATGCGACCAAGATACTTTGGCTTGCTATTACGGCCAGAGTTGGCATTGCTACTTAACGACGCAGCTGGTGGATTGACTTCTCACACAATTGTGCATCAGTCGGTGGTCGTAATTTGTTTTTGTGTGTGTGTGTGTGTGTG